AGGGGATGCCTTGAACAGTGGCCGTGGCCCCACGGCGGCTTTCTCCGCCATACCCATGGGGCCCGCCCCCCTGCCCCCCTGGCTTTCCAGAGCCACGGACGGATCTTGCACACGTTGTGCAAAGCAACTTCTAATGCAGCAGCTAAAACCCAAGTGTCAAATGAACACAGGTTCTGTGAAGCCATGCGAGGCCCCGTACGGAGGCCTGAGCCTCCGACTGTCCACGTAATGGGTGCAGGTGGGAGAATGTTCTATCCCGAATGAATCGAATCCCAAGGCTGCCACGGCGAGCCCTTCACACCGTCAGAGGAAACCCAACCTCCTTTGGACCTGAAATTAATTTTCAGGAGACAATCAACATTATCCCTGTGCCTCGGACGAGCTTGCGGCCTGGCTCCCGCCGCTTTCCAGAAGGGGGGCCCCCCCGTCCTCGGCCGAGGCGCCAGGAACACCACGTCTCCCCCCGGAACCATGCTGGGTGAGCACTTCCCGCTGGGAGCCTCGCTGGCCTTGAGGCCGGCATGTGGGAGGCAAGGCCATCTGGTGAGCTGCCTGCTGAGGGGACGCCTCCCTCCGCCCCTGTTCTTCCTCTAGGAATGCGGGGCTCCGGGTGGCTTGGGGCCCGAGCATGTCGGGGAATTAGTACAAAACCAGGACACGGCTCTGCCGGGGTCGTCGACCCAGCTGTTTGCTGTGAGCGTGGGTCACGCCGGGCAGTGGCAGGTCCTACTTGCCCACCCCGGGCCCTGGCTGCCGTCTGGGCTCTGGCCCTCGACATTCCATGCATAGCGACCAGGAGGCCATGCCGGCCACGCAGGCCCACATTCCTCCCCTGCATCTGGTTGGCTGGAGTCCAGTGACCTCCCGTAACCTGGCCGGGCCGCACCCTGGCCCCAGCGCCTCTTCACACAGAAGGATATGGCGTCGGTCCATGTTGAAACCAGTGCAAGATATTATTTGGGAGAATACGAAATCCCCCTGTGTTCAGAGTCCAGACAGACTTTGCAGAACAGCGCAGAAAGGATTTTAGACACTGTCCAGCCTTTGTGCTACAGGTGGGGAAACCGAGGCCAGGAGAGATGGTCCCAGAAGGCCGGGCAAGACTAGAAGCCAGGCCCACAGGCGCCCGGCTCTGCTGAGCACTGGGGTGACTCTGCTCCTGGACTCTAGGGTTCTGTGCTGACCCAGCCCCCACCCCTGCCGGCCTGTGAGGCCACCACCGGGCCGAGGGCAGCCCAGATTCCCCGGCCTGAGGCCCGGCCAGCTTCTCCACTCCTCTTACTGGAATGGGGTGAATGGGGAGGCCATCGTGTCCTAGGTGTAGCCCATCCCGGAACATGGGGCCTGGGTCACGTCACCGCCAAGGGAACTCAGCCTTTGCTCTGTGTTGTCCACGCCTCCATGGGCCTCGGGAGGTGATACTCAGAGGTAGGATTTCGGCCTGTTCGGGGCCTGTCCGGCACCAACCTCCCTCAGCCTCAGCTGCATCTCGTCCCTCATCCCTCGGATGCTCTGCACTGGCCCCCGCAGGGTGCACGCTCCTCTCATCTCGCCAAGGGGGCCATGGGAGGGGGACCCCTGTGCTAGGGCCAAGCCCCTCGCCGGCAGAGAGGCCGGAGTCACCGTGCCTCTCCAGTACCTTGTCTTCCCTCACTTGTCTTTGCCAAACTCCATTCTCCCTCCTGGGCATCTGCTCCCGGGACCTCATGCCAGCTGCCTGGGGAGACAACTGCCCACCGCCCAGGCCCTCTCTCCAGTGCAGGCTGTGCTGTGCTGCTGAGTCCTTCCCGCCCCACCCCTACCCCCGCCAGGGTGTGAGCTTGTGGAGGGTGGGGCCCGCATCGCCATCCCAGGGCCTCAGGGTCCAGCAGCGCCCGGCACCAGTGTGGGGGAGGGGCTCCCAGCCAACATGTCCAGAATTAATTCTAGAGCCAGGTGGGAGTGCGGGGGATGGGCGGTAGAGGGAGGGCAGAGGTGGGGAGAGGAACTAGCATCAGGACTAGATCCTGCAGTTCAGTCAGAGCTCAGATGAGACCTGAACTGGCTGCGTGTGAGCTGATGAGGCCAGCCTCCCGTGGGCAGGACCTCATACCTTTGCACCTGCTCCCGCGTCACCCCCCCCCCTTCCCCCCCCCCCCGCCCCTGCAAAGGCCTAGGACCGCACAGCGCACGGGGAGGAGACAAACTACCAAAAGATGGGCCAGAACACACCACGGAGTGACCCAGAAGGCTGGGCCTGTGTACCTGGGACACCACTGGGTCTGGGTCTGCTTCTGGTTCTGAGGAACCTGCCTTAGGTCAATAATCAGAGTCGTCAAAGGACCATGGTCAAGGGCGGCGCATCACCGGGCTATTCCCAAGCATGGACGCTGCTCAGGGAGCTGAGACACCATCACAGGGGTTTCCAAAGCGGCTCTTGGGGAATGTTTGGAGGAACCGGAAAACTTACAACTGTCATCAGAGAATAAAGCTGCGTGCACACGCTGTCCACACAGACATCCCCGCTTCTGCTGGAAACCTTACAGACAGAGATCGGGGAAAGCAGATGCAGTGCTAGCCTACTAACCTCGGCTTTGCTGGGGGCAGAGTTACAGGGGCTCCACGTCCTAGCCCTCGGTTTACACACGTTCCCAATATTTACAGTGAAATGCGGCGCCCACCATCTCCTCGGCCGGACTCTGGCAAGGCGAGCTTTGTGCCGGCATCTCGTGCGAGGCCCCTGCCCACGCACCAGCCATCCCCGGGGCCGAGGGCAGAGAGAGGAAGCTCCGACATGTCCCGCCAGGGTCACACTCAAAGGGGTCTTGCGAAAAGTGAGCTGTGCCTCCAGGCCCCTCGTTCTGACCACCACACGGCACCGTTATGCTTGGAAACCGAGCACTCGTTCATAAGGTACTAAAACGCTTTTTGACAAAACCAGGAAGTGAGCTCCAGAGGAGACAGTGAGGAGAAGGCACCCCGTGGGTGCCCTGTGCCCGGACCCAGGCGTCTCGTGCCACCCTCACCTTGTGTCCGGCCTTTCTGTCACCCTAGGGAGGGGGTCATCCTGGAGTCTGGCCTCGCCTCCCCTTGGCCGGAGACCCGGCCCAGCCCAGCTCCCCGGCCCTGCTGGCCAAAGTGCAGCCAGGCGGCCAGGGGGAGGCGGCCAGGGCTGCGAGAGGCCGGCCCTGGGGGCGGAGGCAGCTGAAGCACGCTGGCCAGGAACGGGTCCCAGGGGCCTCGGTGGGGCGGCCTGTGCCAGGAAAGGAAGTGCTCCCACCTGCTGCCCTCCCCCACTCATCCCCCCAGACACAGGCAGGCCGGCGGACACCAAGCCTCTCAACTCCCCTTCACACCTCCACAGGCCAGAACCCAGTCCCAGACAGGGCCGGACGCTGCCCGGACCTCGCAGGGGCCCACAGCCCAGCTGCAGCCGGGGCCGGCCGGGTGCCTGCCGGCGCCTGGGTTGAGCTGTGCCGCTTTCTCAAAGCACCCACCCTCTCTGGTCCTGGCAGGCAGCTCTGAACCAAAAAGGCAGGAAGCAAGCTAGACAGAGGAGGCAGAGACCCCTTCCCCCGGCTTCCTGTTCCTCAGCTCGGCCTGCGGGGAGTGAAGGCAGGAGCAGAGCCAGGTCAGCGCTCCCCTGGTCTGCACACCCGCCTTCGTCCCCGTCTTCTCTCTGCGGCCCCCTCACCGAGTCCAGCGCGACCTTGTTTCTGCGCTACCAGGACCCAGGTTGGGCCCGGACCTCCAGCCCCCCGCAGGCCAGGACCCCACTCCTCACCAACGTTCCTGGGCACTTTTTCCACCAAACCCCGGACGAACATGGAGGCAGAGGAAAGGGAGAGGTGCCCCCTGCCCCGGCGGCCCAGCCCCCGACCCCCTGCCTGACGGCCCTGTCCGATCTGGGGACGTGTGTTTGGTGCTTTAATGTTCATTAGCTGAGGGCCGCGGGCAGCTCTCCGCGCTGCCGTAGGGCCTGGGCGTGACCACCGTGCGGGACGATCACAGACTAGCTCCTCTCCTTGGGCGAGTCTGGCCCCTGGGGCCGCTGGGCCGTGTCTGGACACACTTGTGGCTGTCACCGCTGGGGGTGCCCCTGGCACCGAGTGGGTGGAGACCAGGGGTGCTGCTCAGGCCAGCCTCCAACACAGAGTAATTTCCGGAACGTCCACAGTGCCGAGGCTGAGGGACCTCCTAACAGAACCTTCGGTGCTTGTGTGGATTAAGCGGGACATGTGCAGCCTGTGCCCAGAACGGTGCCCGGTGCCCAGCAAACCCCCAGCGGAGAGTGGCCTCAGGGAGTCAGAACGGAGACCAGGATGCTTCGTTTCCAACAAGGACACTGAGGTGCAGGGAAGGGACGTGCTGGCCCAGAGCTAGACCCGCCCCCGCCCCCCTCCGCCGCCCCCCTTCACTCTGAAGAAGGTTCCTGCCAGAGCTGGGCCCCACTGAGCCCTGACACCGCCCACTGTTCCAGAAGCCCTGGGGCCCGGGACCTGGACTTTCTGGAGCTGGGAGCTGCTCGAGAGGAGCCCCTCTTCCCCCCGCAACACTGCGGGAGGGGGGGCGGGGAGAACGCCAGGGAAGGCCAAGTGCCTCCCCAGAGGCCACAGAGCCCCCCCCCGCCCACGGCCGTGAACTGCTCCGCTGTCCCCCATCCTGTTGTTTCCAATGCGGTGGAGGAGGCGCGTGCCACCCTGACTGGGGGGGACAGGATGCCCCGTGCCTCTGGGGAGGGGACGCTGTGGGCGGCTGTGCGGCTGGCGAGGCTGTCTCTCTTGGTGGGAGCTTGGGGGTGAGCCCCCCTCCCTGGGCAGAGCACTCGGGCCCGTCACCCCTCTCCAGTCCAAACGGCCGGTGGGCAGGACCATCTAAGTCCCCGCGGTGAAGCGGCGCACAGAGGCTCAGGGAAGTCAGCAGACCTGCATGAGGGCACGCAGCGCCCCCTCCCCCGGGTCCTGGCCCCAGGCTTGCTGCCACCGCCCACAGCCCGGAGCCAGCGGCCCCTCGGTACCTACCAGGTGCCCAGCGGCTCTCACCAGCTGGTGGGTGGAGAAAGGGAAGGCCTCATCGCTCAGGTCTGCGTCGAGCACCTCCTGGAGAATGGCACGGCTGGGAGCAAGAACAAAGTCGGTGAGGCAGTCGACAAACACTTGCTGAGCACCCGTGGGCGCAGGCTCTGGGCAGGAGGCAGCAGGGAAAGAGCCGTGAGCAGGGCAAGCCCCTGTCGACGTGACGCAGACTGACCACAGACGGGCATCAGCAAAAGCGCGCAAAGAGGACCACGTGCCCAGAACACAGTCCACTAAGACACCCGCTCAGTAGGAACGGGGTCGGGGTAGCCCGGCCTCACATGAGCTCCTGGGGCCAGGCCTAACCAGCTGACGCCCCCAGGTCCCACCAAGTCCCAGGGCAGGAGCCATGTTTGTGAGCTCCCTGAGCGCAGGGGCCGCCCTGCCCGCCTCCCGCACCCTGGCACCGGTACCCGGGGTCTGGCTCTCGTGCTTCATGGGTCACCTGAGAGCTCGCTGGGCCCCAAGCTCTCAGTACCCATGGAAACCTTCACTTCCTGGGCCCCTTGCCCTCTCACCTCCTTCCAGGACTCAGTTTACTCCTTCCTGCCCTCCTTGGCACAGCCACCCAGATGCCCTGCCCCGGTTAAGACTTTGTCATCCTTCAGGTGTTGGCTTAGCTGCCACCTCCTCCAGGAAGCCTTCCCCGACTCCCTGAACCAGGCTCAGGTGCCCTTTATCTGGGTCCTGAGGCTCTGATACAGCTGACAGGGCACCTCTCACGTGGCTTGTACTTGCCCCCACCCCCATGCCACCCCCAGACCAGGAACTCTGTGACAACAGGGCTCCTGTCCCAATGTCCCTGGCACAGAGGGCACACGGTAAATGGAACAGATTGACAACAGCCTGGCTTTGTACCCCAGGGTGGGCTCCCCGTTGGCAGGAGACAGCCCCCCACAGGGGTACCAGTGGGTGCTGGGGCTGCAGGGTACGGCTGCTCAGAGTGCTTGCGGCCCACCCTGATTCCCGCGCCCACAGCGCTGTGGAGCTGCCCACCCACGCCGGCCCGAGGTGGCCAGCACGCTGCAGGCTGCGAGCGCCTTATGTAACTCACACCCCCGGCACCCACGTGCTGCCAGCCCCCAGAGAGCCCATCTCCAGCCCTCAAGGAGCACGGCCCCTCTGGTGCCTTCCCGGCCTGCTTCTCTGCAGGGGCAGGAGTCTGCGGCTGCTGCCCCCCGCCGGGCCAAGGGTTTGTAGGGGGTCCGCAGCGCGACGGGTAGCTCTGGGCACCAACCCACCTAAACCGGGTTGGGGCGCAGGAGGCTGTCCCTCCACGAGAGAGGCAGCAGGTGGCGCTGGGGGGCACGGGCCAGAGACACTGGTTCAAGTCCCGGCTCACCTCTCACCCCCTCCCACCCCCGCACCCCATCCTCTGCTGGGGCAGTGATGCCCCCTCCCAGGGCACTGGTGAGGAATCAGTGCGAAGGCACGTACCAACCGCCTGGATGTTGGTAATTGTGACAGGGCCCGTCCACTAGCCACCTGTGGCCGCTTGAGTTTAAGTTCATTACGATGAAATATTCAGTCTCATCAGACACATTTAGGGCTCAGTGGCCACCTACAGCTTAGCGGTAGGTGCCGTACCAGGCCCACCCAATTACAGAACGCTTCCAGAGAGCTCTACTGGACAGCAGGTCACTTAGCATCGCCCACGGTCAGGGTGCTGGGTTAAATCGCTTCCCACCTGACAACTCAGAAGGTCCAGCCCCCACCCGTGGTGCCAGTGCGGCTGTTCCTCTACAGGAATGCGGGGCTGTCCTTGAAGGAGAAGGCACATCGGAGCAGGAAGTTAAGAAATTACCAGGGGGGTGGCCGTCATCACCACCCACCTGGAGTGGCTTCCAATGAGGCAGAGGAGGCTGGCCTGTCCCGCAGGGGCCCTGCCTTGGTCTGGCTGCTTGCACCCTCCCTCCCTTGCCCACCCACCTCCTCCGTGCTAAAATTAGCTCACGCCGGGCCGCGGGCACTGTGGTATGGGTCGGGGGGAGGCTGCCGAGGGCCGGCCGGGACCCCCAGCTCCGTCCGGCCCACAGACTGTGAGTGGCTGGCCCCGGGGAGACCAGGAAACCGCCCACGGTATCTGTGCCGGCCGAGCTGGGGTCCTGGGCCACCCCCCCCTCGGGCCCCACGTCCCTCCCCTTAGCCGTGGCCAGCGACCTCGCTCCGCTCCACATTCCCCTCCTCCCTTCTTGGGTCCGCGTGCTCCCGCCCAGCCGTCCCACAAACCACCCTCAAGTCCACTGCAAGTAACAAACATAATGCTCGGTTTTGGGTCTTCATCCCGCTGGGACCCCCGGGCCACCTGGACACGGCTTCTCCGGCCCCCGAGCTCCTCACACCCCTGCTGACCTCCTCGCCCTGGCCGGCATCAGATCCCCTGTAAAGCCCAAGTCTGACCGCGTCTCTGCCCTGCTCAGTGCCCCTCACTCACAGCCCCCCCCGCCACAGGCTCTTGCCTCCTCTGCTCCCCAAGCGTGTCTCCGCTGCCCTGCTCCAGCCAGCCTCACTGTTTTCCCGTCGACACACAGGCCACCGAGCCTTTGCACCTGCTGCGTCCTCTGCCTTGGAACACCGTCCCTCCAGAGCGCAATCCCTCGTTTCTTCCAGGGCTTTGCCCAAACGTCCCCGCAGTGGATGCTGGCATTCGTGGCAGCCTCAGGTCAACCACTTGACAGATGCCGATCCACATTCAAGTATACGACGTGCTCAGATTCGTCCAGCAAGTGCGCATCTGCCGGGTGCCCCCGGGGTCCCAGAGGGACTCCCGCTGACACGGACACAGCCCGGGGGCACCTGGCTGCAGTGCGTCCGGCCACCCCCCCCCCCCCCCCCCCCCCGCCTCCGGCTGTTCTGTTCCCATCACTTTCCAGGAACACAGCCTTCCTCGAACACGGGCCCCCAGAGGCAGGGCCCTCCCCCGCCCCCCCCCACTTCACTTCTCCAGTCCCGCAGTCCCGTGGGGAGTCTCCCCCCCACCGATGGTGCCTGGGCTCCGGGGCCAGTGATGGAGCACCGAGAGCACATGCGTCGTCGCCAAGAGGGTGTGTAACTCCTCGGGAAGGGCGACGGCAGGAGTGCGGCTCTCAGAGCCCGGGGGCGGGTCTGCACGCACGCGCCCCGACACTTACGAGCATCACCACCCTGGGCAAACGTCTCTCTGGCATAGGGTCTGGCGCCTCACAGGTGCCCGGTTGGTGGCTGTTACCACGATTATTCTTCCCCACTGGTCCCCCGTCCCCAAGTCCCTTCCGGAATCCCCGCCAGAGGGACCTCTCCAAAGGGCACAACCGCCCAGGAGCTCCTTTGCCTAAGCCAGTCTGTGGCTCCCTGCACAGGCCAGCCTCGGAGGGCCCTCCAGGCTCTGACTCCTTGCGGGCAGGAATGCAGCTCAGCAAGTATGTACGGAACGAATGAATGACTGAATCACTCGTCCGGAGGTGTTCGGGCCGTGGGGGGGTGGCCTCTCAGTGTTTGATAGACTTCTCAGCCCCAGGGTCAGGGAGAACCCAGCCTGGCTGTACACACTGGAGTGGGCATCAGTAACTGCTCGACTCTACCAGTGACCCAGAGGCAACCCCCCTCTGGCACCCCCAGGCCCTCTGCAATGCCGCAGCTCTCGGTGCAGACTCCTGGCGGTCCAGTCTGTCCCACCGAGAGCTTTCCTGTATTCCGGGGCTTTGAACGTGATTTCTCCGGCGTGGCGTCTCTGGGTTCACGAGAGCATTTAGCTAACCAGAACATCCCACTCTGGACCAGTGCCCTGTTCCAGCCACAGGTCCCAGGTGGAGGGCCCCGGGTTCGGGCCCCGGGGGGCCGTGCGTCCAGCTGCGTGGCTCCCGGTCCCGTCCTTACCTGGCGGGGCCCTGGATGCTGATCATGCCCAGGTCCTCGGAGCTGTCGATGAGCTGGCACCGGAACTTCTGGTCCTGCAGCACCGAGCTGATGTGACACCAGTTATGCTGGGCCACGGCCCCGCCCACGGCCAGGTAGTAGCCGTCCCCTGCAAGAGAGGCACCCGGGCTCAGCGAGGCGGCGGGGCCTGGCCAGAGGGCAGCCACCCTCCCCAGTGGCCCTGGCTTCTCTCTGGGGGCTGGGACTGGGGGCTGCGCACAAGGGAGCCCTGTTCTGGGAGAGTCTGAGGCTTTCAGCCACTTCTCAAAGGGCTCCCGGTCCAGGAGAGGGTGAGAGCCCCCCACACCACGGAGCCCCGTCCGTCGTCAGTGCTGGGCAGCCTTGGGCAAGTCCCTGTTCCTCTCTGGCTGTGCTTTCACTCTGTATTCCCCTGGCCCCTGGTCTCTGGGTCCCCTGTGGCCATATCAGGACTTGCTGGGGCTGGGTACTGGGCCTGGCTTTATAGGTAATACCCCTTTGATTCCTCCCAGGAGACTGATGCTCAACACCACCCCAGGGGTTCAGAAAAGGAGACCGAGGTTCAGATAGGTCATGTGGTAGATCAGACTCTGTCCATCTCTGAGTCACAGGCTGGGCCACACTGCCACCCAGGTATGGGTGCATGGAGGGCAACCCGTCTCGGCCCAATGTCCAGGGAGAGCCCCTGCCCCCGGGAGCTGGGACAGCTGTGTGGCCTTGGACCTGTCACACAGCCTCCCTGAGCCCCTGTGCTCTCATCTGTCATTGAGCAGCAGCATAGCTCCTCTGCGGGGATATTGTGAGATCCAGCCACTGCCTGTGCCTGGGGCAGGCGGGCACTATCTCTCGAGGAGCCAGGGAGGTGGGCGAGGTGGGGAGGGAGGGAGGGGGGAGGCTCCTTCATCTCAGCTTTCTCTGGACCTCCCCTCCCATCCCGTCTCTTTCCTTCCTTGTTAGTTTCAACAGGGCTCCCCCACCTCAGAGCAGAGGTCCCCAGGAGATCCCTGACCCCCCAGCCGCTTCTCCGTCTGTATAATGGGAACAGGACCGGAAATGCCCTCACGAGGGCCCGGTTCACACAGTTGCTGCGGACGGGGCCCCAGGGAGGGGCCTGAGCAGGGCTGGTTCTGCGCTGGGAGGGGGAGGCATCCTCCTCTCAGGGGCCTGTGGCAGCTGCTTCTTTCCACCTGGGACACCGCTGGCTCTGGGCATCAGCCTCCAGGCCGGGCATAGCGAGTGGGTGTGGGGGGAGATGGGCAAGGGGCCCCTGAAGCTGGAGAGTCCCCCTAAGTGCCTCTCCCTGGACCATACCTCACCCCACCCCACCCCCGCAGCTGTGGTAATAGGTACACTACCCACCACGACTGACAAGTAGGCACGCCTCACTACCCTTCCCTGCAAAGGAGGGCCCGGCTGGTGGCAGAGGGCTGGGGATGCAAGGGCGCCAGGCCTCTCTCCCTCTCCGGGAGCACCTGCTGGCCGGGCTCTCGTTGGGGGGTGCCCAGGCAGGGTGGGGTGGGGCGGGGCTGGAAGCTTGGAGCCTCCTCCCTCCTCAGTTCCACCCCAGAAGGAGCAGAAGCACGGGCTGCGGGCCTCCTTCCACCCTGTCCAGGGGGCCCCTGGGACATTCCCCACCTTGTCATCCCATGTGCTGTGTTCCCTTCTGCTCCCCCAGGTGCCACGCAGGGGCCTTAGCTTCCGGGAAGCCCTCCCTGAATACCAGAGCTAGAGGCACCTCCTGGCAGGTGGCCAGACCCTGGGGTCGGCAGCGGCCCACCATCTCCTGTGCCCCCACATCCCAAAGCAGCCCCCAAGTCCCTTCTCTCAGCGCCCATAGGCAGCAGCACCCCTGGGCCGGCTCTGTCCCCTCCTGGCCCAGCCTCCAACCCCACCCCCAGTCCTGTCCACCACATCTTGACCCCCTTGCTCCCCAGCCCTCAGGAGGGACCGAAAGCACTCCCTCCGCCCGTCAGAGCCCGCGCCTCACAAGGCACGTGGTTTGGATACACTTGGCCCGTCTTCACCCAGGCCCTCCACTCACTGGTGCCTCGCCGGACCCAGCTCAAACACCTCCTCCTCCGGGAAGCCCGCTCACCCACCCCAACCCTGCAGAGCAGCAACGCGCCCTCACCGCAGTGGCCTGCCCCGTTGCCCGTGCCTGGGGGCCGCGTCTGTACCCCCTCCCCAGTCTCCCTACAACCAGGACAACACCCTGCACGCACCTTCGGATCCTTTGGGCTGTGGGGCTGGGAAACAGGCTGCTCCCCAAGTCCCTGTCACACCCCCCTATGGGGACACTTTGCAGGGACACTACCCCACCCCACCCCGGAGGACACTGTCTGGGAATCACATAGGCCTTGGCACCAGGCTGGCCTGGCTGAGAGGGGGTTCTGTGGCTTGATGGCCTCACTTCTTACTTCTCTGAGACTCCGTTTTCTCATCTGTAAGATGGGCTGAACCACACCTGTCCCCATAGGACTATGAACAGCATCCACTGGGTAAAAAAATCTACCAAAGCACCAGCCAGGTGTGACTGAGTCTCCTCTCTTCCTCCTTCCTCTTAAACTGATGAGCACAAAGGGAGACAAGCCAAAAGGCCAAGTTGGCCCCCAAAAGGGCCCCCTGACCTCTGGGCTGGGGACTCTTATGGGCCCCATCCTCTGTGTAGCACCAGGGGTCTGAAACCACCCTAGGCCCCTCCCCAGGGGTGTTGCCGGGCTGCCTGGGGCCAGCGGGGTGGCAGCTGCGGGGCCTGACGCTCTCCTGGCAGCTGTCCCTCACTGAAGATCCAAAGTGCCAGGTCCTGCGGCCGCAGCGGGCTCAGCTCCGGGCCCAGCCTGCAAGCAGCCATGGCAGAGAGGGCGTTCAGTGGGCACTGAGCCCAGGGGCTCGCGTTCCAGCCGGGTACCTGGGGGCCGTGGATTTTATCTGGCACCTTCCTGCAGTGTCAGAATGTCTCCTGCAAGCACGTCTTCCTTGGGGATATCAAAGATGGTTCAAGATCACGGTCAGCATTGACAGCTGCTCTGTACGCAACCTTGATCGAATGCAAACCGCCCCATCCTCTTCGACTTCATGGTGATCTGATGTAACAGGTGTAATTAACCGGCGTCTAAAACATGCATATTTAACAGGCATGCATATTCATGGCAGGAACGCTACAGTTTTTAAGGCCGAAAATAAAACGCAGTCCACATGCCGCCGGTTTTCTCGTGTTTGGCCGTGTCCCCGGGCCCGGCAGCACGTTCCAGAGCCTCCCGGGCTGTGACTCAGGCGTCACGGCGCCTCCCTCGCCACGGGTCCCGCGTGCTCCCGCTGGCAGGCTGAGCGCAAACCCGCCCCCCATGCCCAGGCAGCCGTGCAGTCTGACTCAGAGGCGCCGGAGTCTGGGAAGAACACCTCCGAATTACGAGCACCGTGCCCTTACCTCGGCTCCACAGCCTGCCCATGCCTGGCCCTGGCAAGGCGGGTGCTCCTCAAACCATCTGCGCCAGGAAGCCACCTGCTGAATCTGGGCGCACCTGGGGCAGCGGCTCAGTATACAAAGTGCTTTCACTATAGCTCCCTGTGGTGAGGCGACCAGCAAGGTCCCCATTCTCCAGATGGGGAAACTGAGGCTTGGAGCCATGGGCCACAGAGCCAGGCAGTGGCAAGACCTGGCCCAGGACTTTGGTGGTTGGTGCCCTCACTGGGGTCCCTCTCCATCCAGCTGTTTACAGTCACCTTTCTAGCTGTGGCAGCTCCTACCCATCCCCAGAGGCTCAGACCAGAACATCACCTCCTCCAGGAAGCCTTTTGGAGGCTACTTCCATAGCCTCTAGAGCCCTGCTCTCTTCCATCCCCTTGCTCTTCCACTTGGTGCTCTATGGTCTCTTCTTGGCCCTGTGTGATACCGTGAGATCTCGGAGGCCCCAGCCAGCCTCCTTCCTCTCCTGCCTCCGCTGGCTGCCCGCATCTGTCTTACTGTAAAGGCTCTGTGAGCACTGGGAGAAGGAAGGGGCGATCGAGTTCATTCACAAAGCACAGCCGCCCTGGCTGCACCCACTGCTTTCCCGGCTCCTGCACCACCAGCGCCAGGAGGTGGGGGGCCCCCAAGCCCTGGCTGCACCCAGTAAGACCCCTCACCCGCACTCACAGCCTCCGGTCAGCTGGTGCTACGCCACGACACTGTGTTCAGCAGTCAGCCAGGGACCCAGGAGTCCACCCACCCTCAGCCCCCAAGTCCACCCCCAAGGAGTCCGTGTCCAGCACAGCAACCTTGTCCCATCACCCCTGCACCCCCCCCAGATATAACCCCAGGGGCTGGAGTCTCCTGGGTGCCTCCAGCAGCCTGGGAAATGGCAAGTGCTCAGCAAGTACTTGTTGAACTTGTGCACCTGCCCGGCCAATGAGCCCTCCTTCTCACTCGCCGCCCCCTCCCCCACGGCCTCGGGAGCTCGCCCGCCAACCCCTGACTGAGTCTCACCGAGGACACAGCTACATCTGTTGGCAGCATGGAGCCGGGTCCCCGGGGGCGGGGGCGGCCAGCTTCTCTGAATGGGCTGAGTCCTTCCTGCTGACGGACCCTCTCCCTGGCATGGCTGACACCCTTCTCCTCTGCAAACCCAGTCTCTCAGAGTGGCGATGGGGCCCCTTCCTGGAGAAGGAAGGTGCTTCCTGCTCTCTGCGGATCTCAGCCATCTCTCTTCTTGCCTAGCCAAGACGGTTACAGGACTAGAGGTGACCTTGCTCCCGTGAGAACCGAGAAGTAGGGTCGGGGAGTTGAAGTGACAGGCAGCAGATCTGGCTCAGCGTAGCTGTCAGGGCTGTGCAGACAAGGATAGCAGGTACTGAGCTACCTGTCACTGGAGGCATGCAAGCAAAAGTGAAGGGGCTGCAGAGGGCAACCGAGTAACAGCTTGAGCACCGAACCATATACCTTCTAAGGACCTGCCCCAGCCCGAGACGGGATTCAGCAGAGATCAAAGTTCCAGAGACATTGGTGGCAGAAAGGAGCTAATGTGTCCAAGTGGGAGGGGACCTGGCCCCATCTGTGGCTCCCTCTGTTCTGGGCAGACAAGCTGAGCACGCCCACGTCCACGCCACGCCACGGCACAGACAGATTCAAAGACATAATCACGGAGCACTCAGAGCCGCCGTCAGTGCCAGAACAAAGCCAACCTCTGGCCTGAAGCGACACCCCTAATCTCCCAAGCCCTGACCGTTGCGCGCGCCACGGGTAATTACAGAGCTGCCCGTGGCAGCCCATCCCCGACCCAGGGCTGCAGTCACAGCATCACTCAGCCCGTGGGGCACCTCTTACCTTCAAAGGCGGGGGCCAGGGCCGAGGCCTGGGGGGTAGGGGCCAGGCGGCTGACGGTCAGGTCGCTCTCGGTGCCGCCCCTGTGGTTCAGCATGCATGTGTACACGGTTGAGCCTGGGGGCGAGAGAGAGACCCAGAGTGTGTGAGCCGCTCAGCACAGCCCGGCACACACGCCTGCCTAGCCACTCGATGGGGTGCCTGCCCTAGGGCGGGTGACCTCGACAAGGCGATGCCACCAACACGGAGGGGCCCAGAGAGGGAGGGACGGTCACCCACGCTGTCATTCCCTGAGGAGGAAGGATCACGAGCGGGGCTTCTTTCTTCTTGAAACACCTCGACCTGGGACATGGATGTCCCCCACCCCCCACATGCCAGAAAGTTCTTAGGAGCAGGGCTCCGGTCTCGCTCACTCTGGTGCTTCCGTGTCTGCTGAGCAGAGGCTCCTAATGTCTGTGCATAAATGACTATGTGGATGGATGGATGAATGGAGGCAAATGGGAAGGTGGATGGAGGGGTGCTGGGGTGGGTGGGTAGGGGGGGCAAATGGGGTGTGGGTCACGGGGAGGTTTAAGAGGAGGTGAGCAGGAGGAGCAGGTGGGTTGACTGGCTGAGAAAATGGTGTCATGGGTTGAATTGTGTCATGAAATGATATGTTGACGTCCGACCCTGAGTACCTGTGAATATGACCTTATATGGAGATAGGGCTTTGCAGCCGTGATCGTGTTGGATGGTCATTGTGGTGGGCTCAATCCGGGATGCCTGGCCTCCTTGTAAGGAGAAGAAAGTGCAAGGAGCTGTGACATCAAGGCAGGGGTGAGGCTGGTGCAGCCACAGCCGAGGAACACAGAGGATTGCTCGCCCCCCGCCCCCAGGAGCCGAGGAGCCTGGAAGTGTTCCACCCCGGCTGTCAGAGAGAGCACAGCCTTGCTAAAGCCTCCTGAATTCTGTATTTCATCCTGTATTTGTATTTAATTCTAGAAACCCTACTTGGGGAGAGTGTTCCCGAATGGGCTCCACAGTCCCAGGAGACATTTACAGAGAGCCTCCTGCCTTGTATCCTTTCTGGAACAAAGTAAACAGAGAAGGAGGGAAGGAGGAGGGGGAAGGAAGGGCAGGGGGAGGGATAGAGGAAGGTGCTGGGAGCCTAGGGCCTGAGGCGTGGCAACGAGGGCAGAGAGATGTAGACGCAGGGCCCAGGGCCAGGCCAAGGGGCAGAGCCCTGAGTGTCAGGATGGGGCTCTGTGTCAGAGGGGGGCGGGTCAGCTCGCCGCCTGGCCTCAGTGTGCAGGGCTGTGCCCAGGAGGTTCTTCCTGGCACCAAAGTGGGACAGAAGCATGGCCCCCGGAGCTCGTACCTGGGGGTCGGCTGACATCAGCAGAGAAGAGCCAGTCGGCAGCCTTCCTCGCATCCAGACCCACCAGGTAGAACTTTCCAAAGTAGGACATGTTGAACACGGCAGCGGCCCCTCTGCAGGCCAGACACTCCTTCTTGATCTGAAAAGTTCCAGGGAGGAAGGATGCCATGAAGGGCTCGGAGCCACGCCTCCCCAGAGCTTGGGGCACTGGCCTCTTTGCTGCACACCTGCCCCGAGATCCCCTCCCCGCTCCCAGCTGGCAACCCACCGTCACCATTCTCCTCAAGCACAGGGAACGTTCTCCCGGCAGACTGTACACCACCAAAGAAGACAGTGCAATCAACGGCATGCTCTTGGACCACAGCAGAATTACATTCAAGTCGAGGGCAGGAAGAAAGTTTGCATGTAAGTGACATTGAACAGCCACTCCTGAATAACCAAAGGATTGAAGAAAACATCTGGGGTGGGTGGGATAGGAAAATACTTTGAGAAGGATGCTGACGGAAGAGGGGATGAAGGCAGGGCCGTGCTCACAGAGACCTTACACCTGCAAATGCTGCCATGGAAAGGAAGCTCTCAATCAGTCCATGTCTCAGCTTCCCAGTTGGAGAAACTGGAAAAAGAAGAGCGAACTAAACCAGAAGCAAGCAGAAGGAAAGACTTAATAAAGACCAGAATAGGAAATAGATGAAATGAGGAATAGTTGAGAAAATCAGCAAAAACAAAGCTGGTTCTTTGAAAAGATCAACAAGATTAACAGACCATCAGCTAGACTCAGAAATAAAACAAGACAAGAGACTCAAAGTACTAAAATCAGGGAAGGAAAGAGGAGACATCACTACCCACCCTACAGCAGTAAGAGGATTCTAGGGGAAACCCACGTGTAACCATATGCCAGCACGTGGCATGTGAAATGGACAAATTCGTAGAAAGACACAAGTTACTAAAACTGACTGAAGAAGAGGGATGCCTGGGCAGCTTAGTCGGTTGAGCATCTGACTTCAGCTCAGGTCATGATCTTGCAGTTCGTGAGTTCAAGCCCTGCATCGGGCTCTGTGCTGACAGTTCGGAGCCTGGAGCTGCTTCAGATTGTGTGTCTCCCTCTCTCTGCCCCTCTCCTACTCGTGCTCTCTCTCTCCCTCCCTCTTTCTCAAAAATAAGTAAACATTATAAAAAATTTAAAAAAAGAAACTCCCAAGGAACCCACTAAAATCTATTACAACTAACAGTTCAACAAGGCAGCAGGATACAAGATCAAGGTGTAACAGACAAATAAAAACTATTATATTTCTGCATTTCACTAACAATGAGCAATCAAAAATGAAATTCAGAAAATAATCCCACCTACATCATCAAAAAGAATTTAAAAATACCAATAAATTTAACAAAAGAAGTGCAAAACTTATATTCCAAAAACTCGGCAATATTTTTGAAAGAAATTAAAGAAGGCCTGAAAGAATGGAAAGACATCTCATGCTCACAGGATGAAGACTTGATATTGCTAAAATGATGATGTGCTCTCCAAATGGATCCAGATTCGGCACAATCGCCATTAAAATCGCAGCGGGCTTCTTGGCAGAAATTGGCAAACTGATCCTGAAGTTCATACACAAACGCAAGGGACCCAGAATACTTAAAACAGTCTTGAAAAAGAAGGACCAAGCTGGGAGACTCCTGCTTCCTGATTTCGAAACTGACTGCAAAGCCACGGTGATCACACTAACACAAGGGTATGCACATAGGTCACTGGAATGGGGTTGAGAGTCCAGAAATAACCTCCCACGTTTATGGTCACGGCTCTTCCACAAGACGCCAAGGCCGGGCGAGGGGGAAGCCACGGTCATCAACATGCAGTGCGGGCACAGGGGGACAGCCACATGCAGGGAAGGAGGTGGGCCCCTACCTCACACCAGACACGAACCTTAGCCCAGGTGGGTCCAGACCTAAGAGTAAGAGCTGAACTATAAGATTCTTAGAAGAAAACACGGGAGCAAGTCTTCATGGCCTTGGGTCAGGAAAAGCCTTCTGAAATATGACCCAGCACATAACAATATATGTTATATCTCAATATAAAAACCAGTAACCCGATTTAAGATGAGCAAGGTGTCTGAACAGACATTTCTCCAGAGAAGATGTACGAATGGCCAATGAGCACATGGGAAGACGCTCAACATCATTAGCCAGGAGGGAAATGCAGCTCAAACCCCCAGTGAGATCCCAGCTCACACCCACTAGGATGGCTGGGATCAAAGAGAGAGATTCACAAGTGGTGGTGAGGACGTGGAGAAGTCAGACCCTCATCTGCTATGGGTGGGCACGTGAAACAGAGCGGCCACTTTGGAAAACAGTCGGCAGATCCTCAAGACGTTAAGCATCGAGCTCCCATATGATCCGGCCACGCACCTGCTAGACATCTACCCAAGAGAAATGAAACCTATGTGCACACAAACACCTGTCCGTGCATGATCACAGTGACATGACTCCTAGAAGGTAAAGAGTGGAGACAGCGCAAGTGTCCGGAAAAGTTGCTCAGAAAAAGAAGTGACGAATCACGGATACGACTGAAAACGAGTACGGATCTTGAATATACTGTGCCAAGCGCAAGAAGCCAGTCACGAAAGACTGCATGATGTAGGACTCCATCAGTATGAAACGTCCAAGCGGGTACAGTGCCAGCGACATAAGAAGCTTTCGTGGTCGTCTGTGGGTGGGGACGACATGGGGACAGAGTGGAGGATGGGGAGTGACTGCTGGTGGGTCAGGGTTTCTCCTGGGGGTGGACAAAAATATTCTAACATCACCTCGTGGGGACAGCTGCACTGGCCCGGGGGGTAAATTTAAAAACACCGAATTGGGGGGCGCCTGGGTGGCTCAGTCCCTTAGGCGTCCAACTGCAGCTCAGGTCATGATCTCACGGATCGTGAGTTCCAGCCCCGCGTCGGGCTCTGTGCTGACAGCTCAGATTCTGGAGCCTGCCTCTGATTCTGTCTCCCTCTCGCTCTGCTCCTTCCCCGCTCACGCTCTGTCTCTCTCTCAAATATAAATAATCATTTGAAAATTTAAAAAGAAAACACCGAATTATATACTTTAAGTGGATGTGTTGTGCAACATGTGAATTCTATCTCAGTAAAGCTGGTTGGTTTGCTTTTTTACACAAAGAACACAGCGCACCTGCTGGCTGGTGTACGGATGCCCCCGCCGGGCCCTCCAGGTCCCGTGTTAACTGTCCATTTTTCTGCCCCGTCTTCTGTCCGGGCACCATGGCATATTCGTGCTAAACACATCACCCACTGCTGAGTGGAGGCGCCCCCCCTTGGTATCCGTCGCCGAGCGCTGGGGACCTGTGTCACCTCCTCCCACCCCACACGAGGAGGCTGCCAGGAGCGCCCTCTGAGGGCCCGGGGAGGGGACGCACGGTTGGCTGCGGGCTACGTGGCTGGAGGACCAAGGAGCCTCGCATCCAGCCCGCGCTGTCGAGCGGTGCCCCCCCCAGCTCCGCGTGGGCGCATCGGCATGAGCGGTGAGAGCGTTTACACCGGGGAAACTGGCCAAGGCCCCACTCGGGCTTCCCCGGGGGGTCTGGCACCCCACAGGAGCCCCAGATGCCGCCACCCCACACCCCGCAGACACTGCTGCCCTCTGTGGGGCTCCTGCTGCCCCTTCCCTGCAGACCTTCCCTGACGCCTGGGGCCGCAGAGCAAACCCTGACACGGTCTCCGGGCTGAGTCCCGACACCCCGTCTCCGCGGGCTGGGGAGGCTGCCAGCACTGAGAACAAGTGTGTGTTTCATGCTCTGGGACTGTTCCGGCGCCTTTGCAGAGGCTGGACGAAGCCACCGAGCCAAGTTGGCATCCCCTCCGGGCGCCCACGTCCCCGAAGGCCAGACGTCCTGCAGGCCCTGGGAGCCGCGGGAGCCGAGGTGCCAGACTCCAGGCGGCGCCAGGGACCCCAGAGCTTCGCGACACGCGTGCCTCCGGCTTCCGACGCCCAAGCCCCTCCCCCGGTGCCTTTACCACCAGAGCGAGCTGGGGCGGGGCGGGGGAGGAAATGGATCTCTCCCTGGGGACCAGCCGCAGAATCTGTGAGGCCCGGTGCACAATGGAACCTCAGGCCCGGTTCCTAAAGCATTAAGGGTTTGCAGGTGGCGAGAGCAAGTGTGAGTCCCCACGTGGGGCCCTCTGAGCCGGGGCCCCGGGTGACCTCACAGGCCGTCCGTACAACCAGGAATCTGGCTGGCTGCCTTTTCCTCCGAGAGGGTGCTTCCCCGGGCGGCCCCGGGCTGGGCGCCCACAGGCTTGGCTCCACTGCCACACTAGGGGCGGGCGAGGCCTCCCTCGCTCTCTCGGCCACGTTCTACTGGGTGATCCCTTTACAGAACGGCGGGCCGCTCAGCGTGGAGGCTGGCGTGGCTCTTTCTGCCCAAGCTTCCCTCAAGAGCACCTCTGCGTGGTGCAGACTGCGGGGGGTGGGGGCAGCCCGGCCCCCACAGCCTGTCGCCCCGACCCCGGCGGGAGTCAGGTCCAGGCACGCCAGCCAGAGCGATGACCAGCGTCGCCTCCCCACTTCTGGAGCCAGAGGTGCAGTGAGCAGACCCCAGACCCCAGACCTCCTGCTCATCCCCTGGAGGGGCCCATATTAGGTCTACTCTGTGAGAGCCACCGATAGCAGCTCTCCGGAGGAGCCTGTCACTCACACAGTCTCAGGAGGGAGGGAGGCCCAGAGAGGGGCAGCCCCTGGCTGGGGCCACACAGCCAGCCCCAGCCCCACCACCCGAAGCGGGAATACTGCCGTGAGGCGTGGCAAGGCCGTGGTACAGGGGAGGGAAGAGAGGAGAACATCAAAACCGAGTCAGCCCAAAACAGGGGTGAACAGTGGAGCCCACAGGGCCTCTGCCGGGACTCGCGTGGGGTCCCCGAGGGTCAGCCCCACCGGGAGCCCCACTTTCTCCTCCCTCGGGGCTGGGGGGCTCAGCCACTGACCACGTCGAGGTGGGGCGGGAAGTCGAACGTGTACTCGTCCCCCAGCAGCCGGCCGTAGGCGTGGTCGCCGTGCGCCTGGTTCCCATAGGCACCGTAGTAGTCGTACTTCAGGACCTGAGGGAAGACAGGCTCGTCACCGCCCCCCGCCCCCGTCCTTCCCGCCCCGCCCTCCGCCCCCCCTACGCTCGCTCGTGCGCTCGCATGTTCATGTGCGCACACGGCTGGGCAGGCGGGGAGCCGGTCCCGCAGGGGTGAAGGTGGCTTGGACGATCCGGCCTCACCGGCGCCCTCTGGAAGGCGGTGTTGGGGGCACAGCCTGGGGGAGGTGAAGGGGTTCAGGAGCCCCACAAACCCTGGCACAAAAACACCCTCGTCGCCGTGGTGGTGGTGCGTCTGAGGGCCGGTGGGGAGGCTGGGCTGTGCCAGCTGGGGCCCAGAAGGATGGAGAAAAAGTGGGGTGTATTCGGGGTGGGGAGAGACGGGCGCGTCACCGGAGAGCTCTGGGCCACCGTCAGGGCTTTCACCTCAAGGCTAAGACAGCAGGATAAGACCCCAGAACCAGGTCCCCGAGGAAGAGGGTGACGGAGTCTTGGGCAAGCCCTGCTCCGAGTGCCTCAAGCTTCTAGGGAGGGAGATCCTTTCCGCAGACGAGTAACTGAGGCAGAGATTAAAACTCGCCCGACGTCACAGGCCTGGCAGACCTTGCCGCGTGGGCCCCAGAGGCTGGCTCCTCGACTGCCCCTTGCCTTGGCCCATCCTGCACTGTCAGCGGCTCTGAGGTGCCCACACACGGCCAACCCTTCCCCAGCCCTGCTCTTACCGAGGGGCCAGTCAGCTGCCACCCCCAGCACGGCCAGACCTACCCAGCCTCTTATCACAGGTGCGAGCCGAGTGCGGGGTCCTGGCTGAGCTGGGTAACTCTGCTCCCCGGGCCCCAGCTCGAGCCCTGGCATCCAGGGCAGGGGCCTCTGCACAGCCATCTCCCTGCCGGGCCCCTGAGACCCAGAAGGGACATCCCAGCTGCAGCCTGGCTAGGCGTCAGGGATTTGGGGGACATCTTGTCACTCAGTGCCCTGGACTCCCAGGATGGCTCCCCGGTGAGAGGGTACAGAGCCTTCCCATCTCCAGTCCAAAGGAATGTTCTCGATCCCTGATCCAGTGTCCTCTCCTCACCCAGGGGACAGGGGTTTCCAGGGACAGGCCAGCTGGGATGTGGACGGCTGTGCAGGGGGCTGTTGGAGACCCACCCTGTCCCTGTGTCCCCAGCCTGGCAGCCTCCTGGGGACAGGCTGCGCCCCCTGGCGGTCTTAGAGAGCCCAGCAGCTCCAATCGCTCCGTGCCTCACTCCGTTCGCCTGTCCCTCCAGTGGTTAGGACCTCAAGGGAAGCTCTGTGCTGCCGAGTGAGCCCAAGAGAAGGGACCTGCCCGGGAAGGCTCTGAGAACCCTGGCTTCCATCTTGCCTAAGGATGCCCTGGGACTGGCCTTAGGCCGTGAGTTGCTATGGCGACGGGAGGTAGTTGCACGGGAAGGGGGCCTGGTAAAATACAGCAGCAGGAGAGGGTTTACATTTGCACAAATCTGGATGCAGCTCTGTCCCCCCGATTGGGCTGAGAGCCCCCCACCGCCCACTCAGGGGACCCCAGCCCACGAGTTTCACGAGCATGCTGGCTGAGTACTTCTCTGACCACCTGGGCCTGTGGGAGGCACCGGGGGAGTGGGGGAGCCCCCAGGAGGGCACCCAGAGGCCAGAAGGCTGTGAAATCCCAAGTTACAAACCAACACGGAATGCATAATTCTGTGCTAAATCCTCCCACTAACGTAAAATAACAGTGGCAGTTGCCAAAAATATATGAGCAAAATTATGAGAAGATGCGCTCATTTCTCCTGCACGGCGGGGGAGTCCTGTGCGTGGCCCCTCCCTGTGGGACAGCAGCTTTCCCGGGGGCCCCCGGGCTCATCTAGGCCTTGGAAGGCCTGGCTGCCGTGGGTGGTGAGTGACGGCCCCGGAGACATCTGTAGGGGACGGCCCCGTGCTCACAGCCACGTCTACAGGGGCTCAGCCTTCCCGCACGCAAGGGGACTCACCCGCCGCACAGGCCCCACCTTGGGTGGCGGTGGCAGGTGGGGTGGCGTGGACGGGTGTGGGCGTGGGCGAGGCCCGTGCCTACTCACTGGAGCTGTGCCTTTCGGGGTGAACCATCCGGGCCGCTCCCAGCCCTGTCGCTCCTGGAACACGCAGCCTCGGGCCAGCAGCTCCTGGGTATGGGTGGGGAACGAGCACGCTTCAGGGGGGCCAGACACCCCCTGCCTCCCGCCGTGCAGGGCAGCAAGGGACCGAATAGGCCACTGATCACCCCAAGGAGCAGAGGGCAAAGAGGCCCTGACTCTCGGAGCCGGGACCCGAGCCCAGGCTGGGGCTGCCCCAGAGCCCAGCCCCTCAGCACCCCCTGCAAGAGAATCCCTACTGAGTTACCTTCTGCTCAGGACACAATTGCATCCCCCAAATTCCTACTTAAAGCCCTACTCCCCCACCCATGTGACCACAAATGGAGGTGAGGCCTTTAAAGAGGGGATTAGGGGGGCGCCTGGGGGCCTCTGTCAGTTAAGCATCTGACTTTGGCTCAGGTCATGATCTCACGGTTCGTGGGTTTGAGCCCCGCGTTGGGCTCTGTGCTGACAGCTAGCTCAGAGCCTGGAGCCTGTTTCAGATTCTGTGTCTCCCTCTCTCTCTGACCCTCCCCTGCTCACTCTGTCTCTCTCTCTCTCTCAGAAATAAATAAAACATTAAAAAAAAAAAACCATGGCAGACGTGTGACGCGTGCTATACCACAGGCCAGCCTCAAACAGAGCGGGCCAAGGGAAAGGTCACAGGTTGCATGTGACCTTCTCTCATGACCCTTCATGAGCCACTTTCATGAAGCGTCCAGAACGGGCAAATCCTCGGACAGAAAACAGATCGGTGGCTCATGCAGGCTGGGGCGAAGGTGGGGAGAACAGGGGGTGGTCACTGCTTCCTGGGCACATGGCTGCCTTTCGGGGGCATGAAAATGCTCCGGCACCAGATGGTGGTGAGGTTGCGTGGCGCTGTGTACGTACTTCCTCCCCCGAATTACGTGCTTTAGAATGGCCAAAATGGCAAATTTTGTGTGATGTATGCTTTACTGCAATCCCAAACCATAATAGACTGAGTTCGTTTTCCGGGCCTGATGTGCCCGTGCATGTGTGCTGGCATCTCCCACACAACACCAAGCAATTCTCGGGCCCCAGGAGAGGGTCCGAGAAGCCAACCCAATTCTGACACTGCCTACCCGAGGGCAGCAGCAGATCTCCCAGGCTGCGGGCTTGGTCCCACAAGGCTGCCCCCATCTCCTACTCCAGGCTGTTACTGGGACTTGTGACCGATGGGCCGTCGAGCAGACCCCCCTCCTCGGGCCAGAGCATCTCACAAGACTCAGAGGAATGCTTTCCCCACTGGATCGCCCGCAACTCCAGGCTATAGCTCTGGAGCAGCCGGACGCGGGAGGGGAGTGGGCGCCAGGTGTGGGGAAAGGGCACGGGGCTTTCGTGGCCCTCCAGGCCCCACTCTGCACAAATCTCCACGCGCTCACCAGGACAGAAGCTCTCTGAGCCCCTCCTTTGGGGTTTTTCTGGAGGCCCGTTATACGGGCTCGGTGGCCTCCGTGGCCGCCGGTGAGCAAGTCCGCCTCTAGCTCCCCCTTTGAGCTTTCATCATTCAGGAAATTCCAAGGTTTGGGGAACTTTGTGTCAGAAACGGGACTGGACAAACACTAAATTGGTATTTCTTATTATAAGTCACAGTAGCACACGGATACAATAAAGGGGAATAGTGGCAGAGTTCTTTGACTGGGGGACAAACAATAATCTCCACTCTCAGGTTTGGGGGGGCCCTGTGGCCACGGGCAGCCTTGGGGGACCGGCAGGAGGGCCCACAGTGCGCAGGCGCCCACGGCTCCAGACAGGCTGTATCCGCTGCTCCCGTGGACCCACCCAGACCCTGAGCGGGCCGAGAAGGGGACACTGCCAACCGGTGGCACCGAGGAACGTCCTCCTTGGACACCCAAAGGGGGCAGCACAAGGGGCAGTTCTCAACACAAAAAAAAAGCCCGCCGTGAGTGTGGCCCTGTGGCTCAGGGAGGTCACCTTCCCGAGGAGGGGATAGGGGCGTGGCCTTCTCTAATAAAACCATTGTGGCTGGGAGGTGTCATGAGCAGGGCTGACCACGCGGGGAAGCGGGCTCTTGGGTGAATTCGGATCACGCTCCCGCGCCTGCCATGTGCCCCTTTCCACGCGCCTGGAAAGCTGTGCACGTCCGGGTAACACTTCTGAGCCCATCTCCTTCCAGTGCGAGCCAGGCAAGCCCTGTGCTGGCTGGGGAGGCTGTGGGGCTGTCAGGATGGGGTGACCCGGCAGGCTGAGGACAGCAGGGCGGTCACCCATGGCCCGAGGTCCCAGCTGGCCCCCCGAGCTCAGCCAAGAGCACCGGTGAGGTCCGCGAGCCTCTGCCCGGGAAGTGCAGGGGACACTGGGGCCCTCTGGGGTCCAGTTACCGGAGTCCCAGACGAAGGAGTTTCCTTCCTTCAGCTTCAGTGCCACCTGCCTCCCGCCCCACCCCCCATTCGGCAAACACCCCTGAATGCGTACTAAGGGTCAGGACTCCGTGCTCAGTGCTCAGGAGCCAGAGAGATGAGGACACAGCTCCTGTCCCCAGGGCCCTGGAGCAGCCGAGCTCGCAGCACAAGGTGTGGGGGGTGGGGGGAGAAAGGGGAAGTGGAGCTGGGCTGGGAGCGCGGGGAAGGGGCCTGGGCTGTCAGGGGCTTGGCGGAGTGCCACAGCCGGGCTCCAGGAAGGGCACCTGACAGTGGGTTTCATCGTATGAGTAGAAGCTTGCCAGGGAGGAAAGGCATCCCAAGCAGGCCCTACACGCAGGGTGCACGTCTCCTCCACGTGCTGCCCTCTGCCCATGCCCGTCTGATGCGAGACTGCACACACCTGCCAGGCACCCGCCCCCCAGAACCCCCCCCCCCACCGTAGCAGTCAGGGAGGACCGCGGGCTGTGCGCTCTGAGCACTGTCCGTTAGTCAGAGCCGGGAATGACTGAGCCACGCCTCACCTCGCCCGCCCTGGAGCTGGGGTGCCCCATCCCTTCCGTCCCCCCCAAGCCCTGGACTGCGCGTCGGGGCGCGGCACCTCGTGCAGGGCGTCTTTCCTCATGTTGCGCCCCGCCAGGGGCTCGTCGTGGGGGAAGACCACCGAGTAGTTCTTGGCGTAGGACTCGTGGCTGCGCTCGCGGACCCAGCGGCGGTGGTCGGTGAGCAAGGGATGGAAGCGCCTGCGGTGGATGGAGGGGCGGCTCACTACCGGGAGCTGTTAGGGAGGGGCTGGCCAGGGACCAGGGCAAAACCGGACCCGCGTCCCTCTCCCAGAGTCCTCCCTGGGGCATGGGTTCAGGAGGGGGTCCGGCCTCTACTCCCCCGCGTGGGAGGGAGTCTGGGCTCTACTCCCCCATGTGAAAGGGGTCTGGCCTCTATTCCCCAACATGAGAGGGGGTCCAGGCTCTATTCCCTGTGTGAGAGGGCAGCTCAGCCTCCTCACTGTGACCCCCCCACCATTACGTGGCCTCTCCTCCAGCCTTTTCGTGGGCACAGCAGCTGAAGACACCCAACAGCTTGTCTGCTGGGTGTCCTCGAATGGCCACGGCTGCCAGAGCCCACTGCATAGCGGCTGGCGCACCTGGGTCACAGGCCCCCAGCCCCTCCCACACACAAACCCCCAGACCAGCCTCCCCATCCGTCCCTTCCCTCACCGTGCACCTGCTGGGGTCTCCCACTCCCCCAGGCCTCTCCTCCTCATCCACAGTCCGTCCTCTGTGACTCCTCACCGGGCCTAACGGACTCTTGGTTTGCACGTTGTTCTGATGGGGGCGGGGCTGCGGATGTGCGTTTGTCACCGTAGGTATTATCGCCAGTCGTGGGGGTCATCTAAGGAGCCCCTTCCTGGCTCAGGCCCAGGGCTGGGCGCTGTGCACGGGGACCCTGTCTGCCTCACGCCGCCGTCCCTGCTTTGACTCACTTCCACACGAGAGGAGACCCAGCCTGCACTTGTGCTGGGAGGGACCCACGGAGCTGGGCCACGGGGTCTGGGGAGGCTTCCTGAAGGAGAAGTGTGCTGGGGTGCGGGGTTTGGGAATGCATGGCAGGCCTTGGAGGGGCTGAGGTGGGTGTGGGGGGGAGGCTGGGAGCCTGCCCTCGGCTGATGGCCGCTCTGGTCAGGTTCAGCCCATCACCAGGAGCCGGCACAGTTCTCCCAGACTAGACTGATAACCTTCCTAGTGCCTTTGAGAGTCAGTCCCAGCGGGGCGGGGGTGGGGCGCGGTGGGAAGGGGGGTGCTGGATGTCCTCAGTCAGGCCCCCAGGACAAAAGAGGAAGCGGGATCTGGGGCGGGGCGGGGTGATCCCTGTACCCACAGACACCGCCCCTCCGGCAGGTTTCCAGTCTGCCAGAACTGTCACCTCTGCGCACACCTGTGCACGTGTGTGTGTGGCCGGGGCGTGGGCTCGAGCTCAGCCAGAGCAGGACCAGGGACCTGCAGGGGGATGGACCGCTGCCTGGGGCCACGCGGCCTGGCTCCAGCACTCCTCCGTGAGCAAGGCGGCCTGCGGCCAGGGCCTAAGCGGGGGCCAGGGTCAAGTCACCCCCCGCGCTCTAACAAAGAGTGGCTCCTCCTCTCCGGTTACTCGGACCCCAAGGGCTTTTGCTAAAAACCACGGCCTACACCGCAGACCCTGCCTGAGCCAGGGCCGCTGATGCACGCCGCCGCAAGGAGAGGCATTGCTCCCATTTCACAGACGGGGAAACCTTCTGCCTGAGCCCCGAGGGTGAGTGGACGAGTTCACTGCCCCACCTCTACCCGCCCAGGCCCCAGCCTCCTCGCCATGAACCAGCCCACAAAACGCTCCTGCCAGGGAAGGCAGCTGACGTCGGGAGGCCCAGGCCCATTCTCAACGGGGCAGGGCAGGCCTTCACAGGACTCTGCACCCCTGTCCCCGCAGGGGCTCCCCCAGCCCAGGAGGGGTGCAGGCACGTCAGCCACCCTCTGTGGGCCAGGAGGCTGCCCGCCGAGGCCTGGGGTGAGCCCTGATGCGTCGCCTGTCCCTGCGCCGAGGCCCTTGCCCAGGAGGGAGGCCGGAGGCCGCGCCCCTGCCCGTTCTGGTGTGCGCACCCCGAGACTGCAGACAAGTGGCCTCCCGCAGCGGCGCCTCCTCTCCCTGTGTGTAGCAGGAGGGGCTTGGACTGGCCCATCCCCGAGGCCCCTTGCAGCTATCATTTCTGGAACATTCCTCTCTTGGGATCGTGTAGGCACAGCCCCAGACGGGCTCGGAGGCAGCCCCAGAGCAGACTGCGGTGCCAGGGCCGTGGAGGGGGTGGCAGCGGGGGGATCTCAGTGTCCATCTGTCTGCCTCTGTGGGGGCCAGACACCCCCTCCCCCAGCAGGTGTAATGTCTCCAGCAGGCCAGGAAGGGGTGAGGTTAGCAGAGCGGCAGGGGGCACATGGAGCTGAACCAGCACAACTCCCTCCAGGGCCCTGTCAGGGTCTCCTCGGGAAGGCTATCCGGCAGGAGCAGTAAGGGGGGGGCGAGCTGTGTACCCACAGGGGCGCCCCTCCAAGCCGTCGCCCCGACTGCCCCCTGCAGGGCACAGGCACCCCAGACCCACCAATTCCCGCCCTCCAGACCCCCTGCCTGGGAGGGCCTTCGCCCTGCCTGCAGATGGTGGTGGAGACCAGGCCCCCTCCTCCAGCTCTGACGACAGCGCACCCCCCCCCCCGCCCCCGGCTCAGGCTTGTCTAGTGTTTTCTCGCACACGTGATGCAGAGCCTGCGCCCACACAGACCTCACTGCCCGGGGCTGCGGCGAGGAGAGAGCCCGGCACTGGGTCTGATTAATTCCCGCCACCCTGCACGGAATGCTCAGCTGGCCTCCGGGCTCAGGGCTGTCGGAGTCCCAGACTCGGCTCGCGCTCATCATAACCACCCAGCGCAGCCTCACTCCCTGGGCAACGTGTGCAGTCCCTCCTGCTCTCCAGGCCTCAGTCTCCCCACGCGCAAAATGGGATGAGGCGATTCCGCTGCTGATCCGAAGCTATCTCGCCAGTGGGACAAGACATCCTGGAAACTGTCAACATCCGTGGATGTGCCAGACCCGGGCACCTGAGCAACGCCCCTGCTGGCAGCCTTCTCCCCCTTCTTCCCTTACTGGGGCCTCTTCCAAAGCCCTCTGGATTTCAGGGAAGGCTCCTTCCTAAATAGCCCTCGCTATATGCCCCACTCTACCTAATCCCGGGGCTCCTGGTAGCAGCCGCCCAGCCCACAGTCTCTGGTGCACACTCGCCTGATGTCATAGCTGTACATGTCCTTCTCCGGGCGCCCGTGGATGATCCAGTGGGCCAGCTCCTGCCCACAGCCGCCACCCAGCATCATGCCTGGAAGGAGCGGGGCTGGAGGTGTGCATCTGCCCTGGAGCCCCCACCTCTGTATCATGCCCCTCCCGCGTCCACAGCCAGCATCACCCCCTCCCCCAGCCCCTGATCTCACACCTGGGGTGTCACACTCCTGCTAACAGGACCTCGCCCCTCCCTGCAGCCCTCCTCTGCCCTCACCCCTGCCAGCGGCCGCTGTGCTCCGTGCCTGGGGGAGCTGTGAGATCGGGGTGCTGGGGGTCAAGGAGGGGCCCCACACGCACCTGCACTGTTGAACCCACAGCCCAGGAAGAACCCTCGGAGTTCAGGTGCCTCCCCCATCAGGGGCTTGTGGTCCGGTGTGAAGGACTCTGAAAGGAAGGGGGGCCTGAAGCTCTCTCCGGGCCATATGCGCCCAGGGCGGGGTCTCCCGAGACTGCAGAGATTGGAGCGGGGTCTGCAGATGCTCCTTCACCCAGACCTTCCCCGTCCTCACCACTCCGCTCAATGCCACTTCCTCCAGGGAGCCTCCCCAGTTGCTACTGCTGTGTTCCCGAGCTCCTCAGCATCTACTGCCAGAGCCACCCAGCTGGGACCGGGTTCTGCTTTGCAGGATCCAGGTTTGTCTCCTGCTGAGGAGGGGCCTCTCCCTGAGCCCCGTCACAGTGCGCCACCTTCCTGCCGCATCACTGCTCGTCATTCTTGCCTCCTGGACCATGAGTATGCTAGGGCAGGGACTGGGCGCCACTCAGTACTGTGTCCCAAGGCCTACACGGGGCCCAGCAAACAGCAGGTGCTTGATAAATGTCCACTGAATGAAGGACTGCTCCCAAGTTCTTTGGGAGAGGGCTGGGGGCTTCTGCTCTGTGGGCCGATGGCGTGTCACGGGCAGAGGCCAGAGCACGGAGGACAAGGGCACCTTGGGGAATCAGTATAAAGAGCTGAGCTTTGCAGCCACGATCCTGGGGTTGAACCTGGCTTTCCCCTTCGTAGCCCTGTGACCTTGGGCGAGTCACTTCGCCTCTCTGAGCCTGAGTGTCCTCATCTGTAAAACTGGGATCATGCCACTGACTTCACAGGGCTGTGAGTTAGTCCATCTACAAATACTAGCAGCCCACCCGAAAGTGCCCAGGGCGCGGCTCTGAACAAGACTGGTCCCACCCCTCAGGGACGGGGAAGGAGACAGTAAATACATAGATAAGCAACACAGAGACTATCGGGAAGAAAATACAATGGGAGAAGCGGTGGTGAGTGACTCCCACCGGCCCTTTCTGCTAAGCACTGTGGTCACTATGGTGTAGGCGTGGACACTGGGTCACCCTGCTAGTGGGTCATGGAGCCAGGGGCCGGTTCAGGGCTGCCTGACCCCCAGCCGGAGTTCTCAGCCTCTGTGCGGCCTGTCCCCGCACCGGACAGGGACGGGACCCCAGTGATGTGATGAAGGACAGGAGCCTCCCGGGCTCTGCTGGGGGGGGGGGTCTGGCGGCAGCATGAGGCGAGGGTGAGGCCAGGGCGAAGGTGACAGCAGTGTGGCCGGGTCACCCAGGGAGCACTTCGGGGAGGGCTGGGGACGTTTCCGGGCAGATGGGAGGCTCAGAGAACCTCACGGGGCATCTGAGGAGAGAGTTTTGTGGGGGGGACAAGAGTCTCCTGAATGTTTAGCAAATGACTCAAGACGAGCACGAGGGTGGATGCAGGGGCCCCCACCTTGGCCATGACCCCTGGGACGCAGAATGGAGCTCTGCCAGCCCCCAGATGCCCCGGAGTCAAGGGGACATGGGACTTCCCAGTTCTGTTCTGGAAGCCAGAGGCCATTGACCGCCCCTGTCCTCTCTGGCAAGGAGGAGCAGTGTGTTCCCCACGAACCCCCTCCCCACGCAGGAAACCAGACCCAAGATGTCCTCACATGCACCCCTCCCATAGGGCTCCCTGGGAGCAACGACTCCCCAGTTTAATTAAACAGAGGATGCTCCCGGGTGACTCGGGCGCCTGGGATTGTTTCAGGCCTGTGCTTCTCACTGCCAGCCCCACACACGCCCGGGGAAGCTGTGGGGAGAGGGCAGTGAGCCTTTGGCCCACGGCCGGCTCCCCGAGTCCAGTGCTCAGGGCCCGTCCATCCTGCCCACCGCGGCTGGGCCTCCTTATGAGCCGATCAGACTCAAGCTGGCACCGGGCGGAGAGGGCTGGACCCCCTGCAGACCACAGGCCCCTGGGTGTCAGAAGCTTCCCCTCTGCTGTCCAGGCCTGGCCCTCACTTCCTGCGTGGCTGTGGACGATCCATTACTCTCTGGCCTCTGGCTAACTGCCGCCCCTCAGGACTTACTGCAGTTTGCTGGTCCAGGCTGTGCCCTGCACCCCACACGTGGCTTCTCCTCCTTGCTCCCCTCCTGCTGAGTAGGTATGCTGGCACCCATTTCACAGATGAGGACACTGAGGCACTCACAGCCTCAGATACAACGTCTCCTCTGTGACTTTTGGAACCTGTCTCCGCAGCCCTGATACGGGGCAAGGCCAGTCCTACCCATTTTTTTGCCTTGACTGAGGATTAAAGAGACCCTGTGGGTGCCAGGAAGAAAGGGGGGTGGCGTGGGGGAGACCCGTGTGCTTCTGCAGGAACGACAATGGGGCGGTGTGTCTCCGTTCCGCTCGCGGCAGGGACGGCCCGGGTCGGTGCCCGACACAGGCCAGCCTCGCCTGTGTCCTCGCTTCCAGCCTCCTCACTCACCCGGGCCACAGACTGTGGACTTGACCCCCGTCTTCTCCAGCACGGGCACGCGGTTGATGGCGCCTTCGATGTGCTGGGTGAACACTTCCCAGTCCAGGTCAAAGAGGCCAAAGGCAAACTTGTCTGACACCTGAAGGGGCAGGTGGGGGGAGGTGCCCAGTGAGAGCCGCCCAGTGGGAGCTGAGCCCGGCCAGTCCCTGCTGAGGTAGGGGGGTGACAGGGCTGGGCCCCTCAGGCCTCCTGCACCAACCCATCAGTGGGCCTGTCTGTCCCCTTCCCCCGTGCTGGCCCAGGCCCCCCGACTCTGCGCTGGACTGTGCAGTGGCCTCCACCCGGTCACCCTCCTCCCCACCCTCCTTCGACCTCCTCAGAAGTCAGACCATGCCCTCTCTTGCTCCCCAGCACCCCTGTGGCCCCCCATGGCTCTCTGGGGCCCACCGAGCCCTACAAGAGGAGGCCCTGCTCCCGTCTGGCCCTGACCCCCAGCCTCGCTGACCTCCCTTCAGTCCTTCAAGAAGGACAAGCCTGACCAGACCTCAGGGCCTGCACCCCCGACCTGAGGCAGCTCCTCGTCCACCTGCTCTCTCTGGGGGGGGAGGGTGCCCTGCTCTGACGTCGCCTCCTCTGGGGACCCTGCCTGACCACAGTGTGAGGGACAGCCTTCCACACCCTTCTTATGAGGCTTATTCCCAACCTGCTGGCTTCCTTCAGCACAGATCACCCCTGCCCGTCTGTTTACTGTGGGTCTCCCCACCCAAATACAGGCACCCCGGGGCAGGGACCTTTATGCTGCTCTCCCTCTGTCTCCAAGAAGTAAAACAGAATCTGACCCAAGGCTGTCACTTAATCATTCAGCGTCTGCATGAACCCAGGAGCGAGGGTGGCCCAGGCACGCCTGAGGGGGTCGAGGGGGCCGCCCGACTGGCACGCAGCCCCAGAAGCTGCTTGAAAGCCTCCAGGCCTGGGCAGCCGCCGCCGCGGGGCCGGGCTCACGGCTGTTTGCTGTGGACAGAGGGTTTTAATGCGTCTGTCATCTTCCAGAGCCGCGAGTTTACATTTCCGCAGCCTCCACTGATGTGCGAGGCCAGTCCTCTCCCGCCCCGGGTGTGGATCTACCTGTGTGCCACGTTCAGAGAAAACGGACTTGACCCTTCTGGGGTCAAGGGGCCTGCCATTTCTCAGGTGTGCAGCCGACGAGCTTCAGGAAGGTGGGCTTCCTGGAGGAAGGCTTCTCCAGACTGAGACGCAGCCCTGAATCACCCCCTGACCCCTCTGTGTCTCACCTCCTCCCAGAAGATGGGGTTGGCCTCGTAGCCGCCCACAGACAAGGCATCCCCTTGGAGGCGGAGGTAGACCGAGGCGTCGTGGTCGCGGACATTGGGCATGTTCTGGAAGGCAGAGCAGAGAAGCCTCAGGGTCAGCCAGGGCTGGGCGGTGGGTCCCGTCCCTCCACCAGGGGGCACAGGCCCACCGTGGACCACGGCGCCTCCTTTTTGTAGGAGGGCAGAGTGGACCCAGGGCCTCAGGCTACGCTGTGGACAGACCACCCCCGCTCAAGTCTCTCCTTCCCCAACCCCCAGAAAACAGCGGCAAAGACGTAACAAGGTGGGGGCGGGGGGAGGGATGAGGTACGACCCACAAAGCCAGGAGAGCCGTGGGGAGACAAGGGCACGCAGGGGATGGGAACCCACACCAGAGGACTCGGAGTGGAGGCCGCGCCCCTCCATCCCTTCCAATCTGTAGAGACCCAGCTGCGGCGACCCAGCCCCCTCGGCAGGGGCTGATGGGCAGAGTGCGGGGCGTGTGTGCACATGCGGCGTGTGTGTGCACACTCGTGTCAATGTGCGCGCGTGTGTGCAATGTGCGAGTGGGAGGGAAAGAGAATGTCTGTGAATGGGAAGACAGGCCAGGGTGTCTTCAGAGCAGGGGCCCAGATCCCCTCCCTCCTCACCCAGCCCAGCTAAGGCCTGGCCTGGGGACGGCGCTAAGGGCTGGAGAAGTGAGTCTCCAAGGGCTCCAGGCTCAGGGGGGAGATGGGCTGCCATTCCCCCTCGACAGCGGCCTGGGGACTCTACCATAGAGACACGGCATGGCCTGCGGAAGGCTCGAGATGCGACACCAGGGCCACTTGCCGAAGAGGACAGCTTACCCCCACCCCCCGCGAGATGCCCTCCTTCTCCAAGCTTCCGGTCGGGCTGCAGAAAGTCCCCATTAGAAGTGAAAGCGCACCAGGAACTTCTGAGATATGACAAGATTGGGTCCGTAAAACAAGGTGCCACGGGAAAGGAACACTCCCAGATCAAGTGAGAGGTCTCGAAACAGGAGGTGGTCAGCAAAATGAAAAATCAACAGGAGGTTGGATAAAACCATCTTCCAGATAGGAAGATAAACGAAATGAAGAAATGGAAATCAGGAAAGGAAAACATAAGGAAATCACAAGGTCAACACTAAAGGTCCGACATCCACCTTATCAGGGTTCCAGAAAGACAAACAGAGGAAATGAAGTAGAAGAATGTCAGAGCAATAAGCCAGAACAACTTCTAAGACTGAAAGTCATGGATCTCCCTAGGGAAGGAAGGGGTCCCACTGTGGCCCATGCGAAGACGACGTGCTCTCCAAACAGATCCAGATTCAGCACAATCACCATTAAAATCGCAGCGGGCTTCTTGGCAGAAATTGGCAAACTGATCCTGAAGTTCATATGCAAATGCAAGGGACCCGGAATATTTAAAACAATCTTGAAAAAGAAGGACCAAGCTGGGAGACTCCCGCTTCCTGATTTCAAAACTCACTGCAAAGCCATGGTGATCACAATACTAACACAGGGTACACACGTAGGTCGCTGGAATGGGGTCGAGAGTCCAGAAATAACCCCCCACGTTTATGGTCACGGCTCTCCCACAAGGACACCAAGGCCGGGTGAGGGGGAAGCCACAGTCATCAACATGTGGTGCGGTGCAGTGGGACAGTCACATGCAGGGAAGGAGGTGGGCCCCTACCTCACACCAGACACGAACCTTAGCCCAGGTGGGTCCTGACCTAAGAGTAAGAGTTGAACTATAAGATTCTTAGAAGAAAACACGGGAACAAGTCTTCGTGGCCTTGGGTCAGGAAAAGCCTTCTGAAATATGACCCCAGGAACACAAGCAACAGAAAAAATAATCTGAAAGTTGGATTTCACCCAAATCAAGACCTTCTGTGATGCCAACAACACCATCAAGAAAGGGAAGAGACAACCCACAGAATGGGAGGAAATATCTGCAAAGCATAACAAAGTCTCTGGTAAGAGATTTGTACCCAGCACATAACAATATACGTTATGTTATATCTCAATATAAAAACCAGTAACCCGATTTAAGATGAGCAAGGTGTCTGAACAGACATTTCTCCAGAGAAGATGTACGAATGGCCAATGAGCACATGGGAAGACGCTCAACATCATTAGCCAGGAGGGAAATGCAGCTCAAACCCCCAGTGAGATCCCAGCTCACACCCACTAGTACGGCTGGGATCAAAGAGAGAGATTCACAAGTGGTGGCGAGGACGTGAAGAAGTCAGACCCTTATCCACTGTGGGTGGGAATGTGAAAGAGCGCATGTGCTTTGAAAGCAATCTGACAGTTTCTCAAACAGTTAAACAGTTACTATATGAATGAGCAATTCCACTTCAAGGTATCTACTCAAGATAAATGAACACATATGTCAACACAAAAACATGGAGATGAATGTGCATAGCAGCATTATTCATAACAGCCCAAAAGTGGAAACAACTCAAGTGTCCATCAACGGATGTCTGGACAAATAAAATGTGGTCTATGATAGAATTTTATTTAGCCATTAAAAGGAATGAAGCATAAGAAGTCAGACACAAAAGATCATGTATGGTATGATTTCATTTTATTGAATGTCCAGAATCGGAAAATCCATAGAGAAAGATATCAGATTAGTGATTATCTAAGACCGGGGACAGGGTGGGAAATGGGGAGTGACTAAAAATGGGTATGGGTTTGGGGGATGAAGATAATGTTGATAGATAGATAGAATTAGTGACAGTTACATAGAAAACTGAGCAACTGGAAAACAATGAATAACTCCAGGAAACACAAAAGTTGGACACTATTTTGCTCAGGAGTTAACAATATTTACATTGTCAGTATATTGCAAACACTGACTACTGATTTCACCAATAAATAAACCAAAATCATTGTAGAAACTGAGCAAGAGTGAGGAGACGCCACATCCCCTGCTGCTCTTTGGTGCTGGACTCGCTGCCCTCCCTTGTGGGCCGCTTACCCTGGGGAGGCACACAGGAGATGGGACTCCTCTGCCCATCTCCACGGAGAGACGGAAAGGGGTAACCTGGTGGGTGCCCCTCCCTCCCACCCCAGTCTCCTAGTTGTGCAGCTCTTCTGTAGAACTGGAATAAGAATGTGTGCATCGCGGACTGTTGTCAGGAACTCGTAGGAAGTTCTCCGTACCTGAGCACTTCGGGAACGGTAATCGTGACAGCATTACCTCTAATGTCACTACTACTCTAAAACAAAACAAAAACGCTAGAGCTGCATAGAGCAGGACAGTGGGGACACCTGGTGGCCAGAGAAGTCCCCGACTTTTGCTCCAGCAGGACCAGAGTCCCCAGCTCCCGGCCCCAGAACGCTGAGCTGCCTTGAGTGCCCTGCACATGCTCAGCTCAGCCCCAAGGCGTCCTCCGGGCACTCTCACTGCCGTCTGCACGCAGGCCACCCTACAGGTACGACCCCGGTCCCACTGATGTCCCTCCCTCCTGACCTCAGCCCACACCCTTTCATTAGTTTTCCTGTGCCCCACTCCATCCAAATCCTGTTGGCCACTCCCCCTGCCCGGGAGCTCCAGCCTTCCCTAATCTTTTCCTCTGAAGCACCGGCTGGCCGGACCACCCTGTGCCCCGTGGTCCTGGTCACTGTCATCCTCACCACCGGCTACAGGCCAAGCACCGCATCAGCCCTTCAGCTCACGAAGCCCACGGCTATTGCTCATTTTGCGGAAAAGGAAAGCGCGGCCCCCGGTGCACTATGACTTCCTGGCTGGGTCATGGAGGGGCTGAAAATCATCCCCGGAGCCTAGGCTTTCCCTTTGCTTGGTGCCCAAGTAGAACAGCTTCTGCAGAAGCAGGCAGAGGACGGTGGGAAAGCCGGACCAGCAGAGAGCACCGGACTCAAACTCCAGGCCCAGAGAGGGAGGCACCAGCTCGCAGGGGAGCGGGGACTCCGCCCTGGGTCAGACCCTCAGAGCCAGGGGTACCCAGGGCAGCACAGCCCTGTGGTCACCCAAGGAGGATGATCCCTCCCCAGGACACAGCCCCTGTCCTGCCCCACAGCCTGTGGTCAGAGCCCACTGTGGCCTGAGGGCGACTCCTGGCGGCCACCCGGGGAGCTCCCCCCACAGAACCACGGAGCACGTGGCACACAGCAGCCCTCTAGAGGCCTGTGCACCATCACATTAATCTCATCCATCCACGAATGGCGGGGAGGACCCTGTGTCAAGGGACAAGAGCAGGAGCGGTGGGGGCCCACCTAGCAGCCAGCCAGTGGCTGAAGGGAAGCCGGCCTCTTCCAGGACCCTCTGTGGGGCTGCGTCTCACACTCTCCCCACCAACCCCCGCCCCCCGGCCCCTCTCTGAACTGCCTGTGGGTCCTGCACGGCCCTTCTCCTGCACCCCTTGCCTGGGCTGGGAGCCCCGGAGCAACCCTGTGCCAGCCTCCTCAGAGCCCTGCACCCCGCCCCCCGCACCCCCATCAGCCTGCTCCGGAACTGTCTGCAGCTGCCCCCAGCTTCACCCCGACAGGAACTGGGTCCTTCTCTCTGTCACAGCCCTAGTTTTAGGATAGGGCCGGAGATGCGGCAGTCACTGTGTGCTGGAGAGCAGGGTGAAGGAGGGAGGGTTACAAGGAAAGGGGGTAACGGGGTTATAAACGGATGGATGACGATGGAGGGAGGGAGAGATGAAGGGGTAGAAGGATGGAGAGATGGAGGGATGGAGGGGGGGAGGAGTGGAGGGAGGGAAGAAGGGAGGGGGAGGGGGATGGAGGGAAGAAGGGAGGGGGGGAGGGGGGGGGGGGGGGGGGGGGGGGGGGAGGGAGGGATGTACAGTGGTTTATTACAAATTTTCTTGAAAACTAAATGATCCCGAATAGCATAGTACTTAGGAAAGGATAGGTGCTCAATACCATTAATTATTGTCCTTCCCTTCTTTGTCTTTCATTTGCTTATTCTCTATAGAAAGCNGAGGGAGAGAGGGAGGGAGGGGGGAGGAGGAGGGAGGGAAGGGGAGGGGGAGGGAGGGAAGGGGGAGGGGGAGGGAGGGAAGGGGGAGGGGAGGGGGAGGGAGGGATGGAGAGAGAGAAGGGAAAAAAACGGACGAGGGGGGAACAGATGGAGGATGAGGAAGGGACAGCTGGATGACAGGCACAGGACACCAAGGTGACAGGAGGCTGCTGGCCGCACCAGAGGGGGGGGTGAGAAGGGAAGGGACACACGACTGGGGCACCTCCAGGCCCCTGGGGGGGATCTGAGCCTGGCACCCAGGGCATATCCGGGAGTATGGCGACACGCGGGGGTCCCCGAAGAAGTGCCCGGGGCACAGAACACGGCAAAGTGCCAACTGGCCGCACTGGGCAGCACAGGCTTGGGCATCGGTGAGAAGCTGTGCCCCCAAGGTCAAGGGATCAGCACCAGCAGGGTCACACCTGTGGTGCTTCATTTAACGGTCACCCCACCCAAACACACGGGGTTCTGATGCCCATTTCTCAGATGAGGCGACTGACGTTCAGGGTGGTGAGCCACCTGCCAAGTACTGGGGTTCGGAGCCAGGTCCTTGCACCTCCCATTATCTACGTACCTGGATCCCCTCAATGCGCTCAGTGACAACGTAGGCGTGGTGCATGGCCACCAGCGGGACCTTGACTCCGGCCATCCGGCCCACAGAGCTTGCCCACACTCCTGCGGGCAGAGCAGGGATAGGTCAGCACTGCTGTGCCTGGCAGGGCGGCCGGACAGGTGGGCATGGGGCGCCTGTGTAGGCACGTCTGTCCCGGCGGCAATTCCTCCACGTAACACTCAGGTTCCTCTACCCCCACCTTGCCCAGAGAATACTCAGGTCCCCCCCCACACCCCACACCCAGAGAAAGGCTGGGCTGAGGGAGCAGCCAGCATGGCCACCGAGAGCCAGGGGAACCCTGCCCACCTGCACAATTGACCACACAGGGCGTCTGGATGGAGCCATGCTCTGTCTCCACTGCTGCAACCCGCCGCACCCCAAAGTCATCAGTCCGCACGCGGATGCCGGTCACAGGGCAGTTCTCGATGACCTGGGAGCGAGAGGGGCTTCTTCCGGAACCATGCAGGGCCCTCCGAGGGTGCTGACCACGCCCGCCGTCCCCATCCCCTTGCCCAGAGGGGACCTGAGAAACCACTGGGGAAGTGGGGAGACCATAGCGCTGGAAACTAGCCCCAGGCACTCCTTGGCTTGGGGAACTTGATCCCAGACGCGGGCTCTTTCTCATATAGTGGCTTTTAAAAAGGAAGGCTTGCTTCACTAATGGGTGTTTGCGGTCTAGTCTTTGGTAAAAAAGTCACGGAAGTGTGTGGTTTGGTCCCACGTTGTAAACATATATATCTTCCTCAACACATATTTGGGGTCAAACTAAAATGCCAACATTTGTACCCTCCGGGTGATTTTCATCTTCTTTTTTGCTTTGTTGTCCTTTCCAATGTGTTCTACAACTCTGTGTTTATCTCGGATAAGAGATGAGAAACATACGAGATTTGCAGAGGACTGGCTTGTCTAGTGGGCCAGAGCCTCGGGGAGGGAGGGCTGACATCCTCCAGGGGCCGAGGCGCTGCCTGCCTTTGTAGGAGATCAAAAGGCCCAGAGAGGCCGTGGTACACGGCCCAAGGTCACACAGCAGAGAATGGCACCTATTTTCTCTCCTTGGGCTCTTGGGGTTCTTGGGGCCAGGGGCGGGGGACACAGGGCCAGGTGGCCTTTGGTACCTGTGCTCCCCGGGCGGTGGCAGCCCTGGTGAGGGCGGTGCACATGCCGGCGGGGTCCATCGTACCGTCGTGCGGCACATACAGGGTCCCATACAGGTCGCCTACGTTCATCAGCGGGTACAGCGCCTTGGTCTCTGCCGGGCTCAGCACGTGGGACTCCACACCATACGCCTTGCCCAGCTGGAGGGACCCAAAGGGAAGTAACTCAGCCCTCAGGGCGCAGACCTCCTTTGGCCACCCTCCTCCCGGTCCGGGCCTCCAAGCGTCAGCCCCAACCCTGCCTCCTCCAGGAAGCCTCGGCTGGTCACCCTGCCCCCGCCACCCCTGTCCCTTGGGCCGGCTCCGCTTAAAGGTAAGGAGCGTGGGGCTCCGGGCTGTCCCACCTTCTGCAGTGTCCCCAGTGCCGACGGAGGTCATGTGACCCGCAGCAAGTTGCTTAAAGTTCCCCTGGGGGCATGGTGGGTGATAATGGCTTCCGTGGTTGATACCCCCAAAGGGCGCGGACCGGTCTCTGGTGAGTAAGGGCTTCTCACAGAAGCAAATACAATACCCCCCCGCGGTCTGACAGGGGCTTGAGGATCAGATGCCCCGGGCCGACCAGCTCCCGGGAGGCCCCGCGGCTCGCAGTTCCCAGGCTCCTGACTTAGCAGGGCGGGCCACGCAGGCACAGTTGATTGGCCCACGGGCAGCCAATCAAGTGGCCCCAGCTATCAGAGCCCGGACAGGCCCCGCCCCGCTAGGAGGGAGCTGAGCCAATCGGATTCTCTGTCTGAGAAGGAGAAGCGGCTGAGGCTTCGCGGAGCTGCTGGGACCTGCCGGGAAGGCTGGGGCGGGGGCTTCCTCGGGGGCCTCCGTCCCAGCTGATGAGCGAGCCGAACGGGGCAGCTCCTGCGCCCGAGGCCCCGACCTGCCCTGCCTCCAGCCTGGGCACCCGGGGGACGCAGCACCCCGGCCGGCCACACCGCTCATGCGCCCTGAGCGGGTTGCAGTCGGTGCTCTGTAAAGGGACCGATTGCTGGAGGCGCGTGTCCCCACCTCCAGGCCCTTCGGCAGCATAAAGCTTTCTCCTTGTGGGGGGGGGGGGCGCCTGGTGAATACGGCTTCCTACTGACCCCGTCTCCCGTGGGCACCGCGCCCGGTGGCGGAATAGCTCCAGGACGGGGCCTCCCCGTGTCCGGGGCTCGGCGCACTGGGCTCCACAAAATGGTCCCATTTTAAAGGCGAGAATGCCAAGGCTCAGGGAGGCATGGCCGCTTGTCCCCGGTGGCCCGCGGGCAAGGGCTCCTTGCCTGCGCCGTGCCCCTCCTCCCACCCACCGACATGAGCCTCTTGTACTCATCCAGGCGCTGCCGGTTGGACGCTATGAACAGGCCCCCATTCTGGATCCAGCCGGTGTGCAGCCCCGTCTCCTCCTCCAGGTCGCGGCTCACCACGCGCCGGGTGTGGGCCAGCAGCTCCACCTCCACGTCGCTGGGCCGCAGCTGCCACAGCAGGCCTGGCGGGCAGGGGCAGGGCGCCCTCAGTCCCCTGCCGGGCGAAGGCCTCCTGAAGGTCAGGCCGCGGGCCCGGGTCTTCCCCTGAAGGCCGTGTGGGACGCAGAGAGGGGGACCAGCGAGAAATCTCAGGGTCGGGGCGCCCGGGGGGCTGGGTCGGTTAAGCATCCGACTTCGGCTCAGGTCACCATCTCAGGGTTCATGAGGTCGAGGCCCCCACTGAGCCCCACACTGGGCTCTGCGGACAGCGAGGAGCCTTCCTAGGATTCTGTTTCTCCCCGCCCCCCCACCATGCTCGCTCTCTCTCTCTCTCTCTCTCTCTCTCAAAATAAATAAAATTTTAAAAAATCACAGGGTCGGGGCTCCTGTGTGGCTTAGTCGGTTAAGCGTCCGACTTTCGCTTAGGTCATGATCTCGCGGTTCGTGGGTTCGAGCCCCGCGTCGGGCTCTGTGCTGACTGCCCCCTCAGCCTGGAGCCTGTTTCAGTCTGTGACTCCCTCTCTCTCTGACCCTTCCCTGCTCACGCTGTCTCTCTCTCTCTCCTAGAAATAAATAAAAATATTTTAAAAAAATAAATAATTAAAAAAAAATCACAGGGTCAAAGCTGACTCGGGGGCGGGGCTTCCGGCCCCTGGGCACCTACGATTGAGGCACTACCCAAGGTCCCATTTATGGAGCACCTACTGCATGCCAAACTCGGGCTGAGCCTGTCTCGGGCTGACAGAGCGGCCCTGTGGGGCCAGGACCCCAGCCCGGGACCCACAGCACAGGTGCAGGCTGTTCAGCAACAGAGCGGCTCATTCCAGGCAGAGGGTGGGGTGTGGCCAGCCTGGGGGGGTTGGGAGGAGGCCAGCCTGACAGCGCGGGGGGGCAGGGGGGCCCACAGAGGCAGTGGTGGGCAGGGCCCCAACCTCTTCCCAGCTCCATGTTCAGTGACCTCATGCTGGCAGCACAAGATTAGCCAAGGTGGGGGCATTTACCCCACAGAAACTGGCGAACTTAACCCAGGACCCAGGGTCGGCTGCCCTGGTGATATGCATACAGTGGGTGCTAAATACATGCCCACTGGTTAGTTAGGGGGATGAAACTCAGGGACACCCCTGGTGCCCACGGAGGACACCGCTCTGTACCACCCCGACAGCCCCTTCGCCGTCTGCGCTCTACACCCGCCCGGGGACCCCCCACCGCAGCCTCTGTCCGGGGGGAGTTCCTGCTCCTGGAACAGACAGCTGCCCGGGCCCCCAGCTCTGCTCGCAGCCCTCTCCCTCCTCCCCGCTGCTGCTCTTCAGAGGCATGGGGGGCAAGGGGGAGCCCCCCGTCTTCTCTCTGTGTCCCTCCTCCTCCAGCTCAGCTACCTCTAGTTGCCAACCCGGAATCGGCCCCTCCCGGCGCCCCCCTGCCCCAGCCCCTACCCGCCGTGTGCCAGGTGGTCCCGGAGGTGAGCCGCTCCCGCTCCAGCAGCACCGCCCCACCCACGCCCAGCTTGGCCAGGTGGTACAGGGTCTGGCAGCCCAAGCTGCCCCCGCCGATGACCACCACGCTGGCCGTGCTGGGCAGGGGCCGGCTTGGGCCCTGGGCCACCGCCGAGGGGCTCTGCGTATCTTTCAGGGTCCGCTGGTATGGCACGCTCTTCTCGGTGGTGGGGCCGGCTTGGCCGCTCAGGTTGCGCAGCACCGGGCCCCGGGTCCAGCTCAGGCGAGGGCGTGTGGAGGCCACACGCAGGGCTCTGCTCAGCGAGGCCATGGGGACTCCGGGCTCGGTACCGCAGGAAGCTGGGGAGAGAGCCAGGGCTGGCTGGGGCGTGGAGGGGTGGGGGGGACCCAGGGACAACCCCCCCATACCCTCCAGGCCCTCCTTCCGCGGCCTCCCCGGGCCCGAGCTCCCCTGCAGCCCGGTGCTCAGGGACTGCGGGGCCTGTGGGCGTCGGCTCTGTCCGGCTGGGCCCAGGGTGACCACGGTGGGAGGCAGGGGGTCCCTGCCAGCCCAGGGGCAGGCCGCTGGAGCAGGTCGTAGAGGGGACTCCTCACCCCCTCCCCTGTCCTGGGAGTGCACTCTGCCCCCCCTTCCCACAATGGGAGCTGTTTTCAGGAAGGAAGGCTTGTGGGAGCCAAGTGTCGCTGAGACCCTCCGGACAGTGTGTGTGGCTGGGCCCCGTGAGGCCTCTGGAGAAACTAAGGTCTGGCGGTTGGCGTCAGAGACCCGCTGTCTCCCAGCCCCTGGTGTGCGAGGCCCCTTGCCTGCTAACCCCGCCCCCTCCACCCGGAGTGGCCTGCTTCTGTCTGTCTCTCCTGGCCCTCTGGGGACGGACGTGGACAGAGCACTGGCCCTGGGCTGGGCTGGGGAGGGGGTGTCAGGGGCACAGCGGAGACGGAGAGCAGGGGCCGATAGGAGGACCTACCCAGGGAAGTAGGGTCGCCAGTGAGGGAGGGCAGGGTGGGGGGGACCTGAGAGCTGAGGACAAGAGGGAGCTCAGGTGTCAGGGGCACCCAGGGCCCAGAGAGACGACCTTGAGAGGGGGAGGGGTGGGCTGCAGGGGGAGGGGCGCACGACACTTCCGCAGGGCGTCTTCCAGAGCACAGAGCCCCATGGGTGCTGGTCCGAGGAAGAGCCCCTGTCACCCAGGTGTGATGAGGGGACAGGTCGGGCGGGGGGGTGGGAGGCCGAGGGAGGGAGGTGCCACCCGGGGCAGGGGCCACGGGTGACGGTGATGGAGTCACCTGGACCCACAGGCAGGAGTGTGGGGGGAGGGGAGGCCCCTCCCTGCCCCTCCGCCTCCTCCTCGGTGCCCTCAGGGCTCGCCTCGAATCCCTCCTCCTTCAGGAAGCCCTCCCAACCAGAAGTCACATAATTACAAGAACATAACAGGAGGCCCAGCTCCTAAGGAGAGAAGTGCCCCGGGGGTGTGTCCTGCCCGACACGGGAGGAGAGGTCGGCTGGGAGGGCCCTCGCGGGCCCCCGTCCGGGGTCAGCAGGCCAGGTTAGGGGTTTAGTCGTGAGTCCAAGGTGCACAGGGGCACCTGCAGTAATAGTCATGAAAGGCATTAATTTCCTCGTTAATTTAAAAAGTCGACCTCTGTTTGCAAGAGCGTCCATGTGCCAAACATTCTCATTCAACAATCGAGAAACTCTCCCGGGTCCATATGACAGCTGGCCCCGTTGGTACAGGGGAGGAGACCAAGGTGCTGGAAGGCTAAGGTGGCCAAGGTCACAGGGCGGCCGTGTGGCCCAGCCGGGGAGCAAGGCCAGGCCCGTGCACAGCCCTGGCCCGCAGGCTCTCCCGGACCCGGGACACCTGTCCCACCTCACCAGTGGCGACGCGGGTGAAGGGCTAGCTCTCAGCTGGTCAGGGCTGCCCTGCCACCCCCCCACAGGGACCCCCCCGTGGGGAGGGGACGACAGGGGATCTCAGTCCCTCTGTGCCTCCTTTGCCCCACAGTCTGAAGGCGCACCTGCCTTCTGCCCACAGAGGGGCCCTGGGCACAGGGAGGGGCACCCCTGGGCGCATATCTGTACTTACCTTCTGTCTTCAAAGAGCCCTAATCTTCCAGGAGCCCCCAACAGTGGCGCCCTGCCAGGGGAAAGTCAGCGTCAGTGGTTGCGGGGCACGGTCAAGGCTAGGCGTCCGCCCTGCCCCCGCCCACGCTGCCCAGCACTGCTGCTCGGCCTCCTTCCCCCCTGCTGTCCCGCCGGCTCAAGTGCCTTCTGCCCTGGGAGCTGCCGCACGGGCCTCCCCCTGCTCCGGCCAGGCAGGCTCCCCCAGCGGGGCAGGCGTGGGGACCGCCCGGCAGCCTGTGCTCCTCCCGCCAGCAGCTGCTTCGGTATTAACCCGCTCTCCTGCCCTTCTGACCCCCTCCCGCCCGGTCAGCAGCGTGTCCCGGGGGGTTCCCGGGGTGTAGGGCGCAGGACGGCCGGGGGCTTGGGGGCATTAGGACGGGGTGGGGACCTGAGCGACGATTTCACCTGAGCTGCGAAGCCGGAGCCGGAGGAGCGCTCCTCAGAGGCTGTGGGGTGAAGGAGGTGGGTGGAGAAAGGCGCCGGGCACGCCTTCACCCGGTGCGGGAGGGCGGGTGGCCCGGGCCCCCGCCACGCACACAGGCGCCTCCGTGCTCGCGCCCACCCAACCCGAAGGTTCCCGCGGCCAGAGGCGGAGAGAAGACTTGGTCTGTGCCAACCTGCCCGCCCAGGGGAGGCCCTGGGTCCTGTGCTGGGCCTGTGAGGCCTTCCTCCTTCCTCCTGTAGAAACAGGACGGCCCGCCCCCGGCCCGCCCCCGGCCCGCCCCCGGCCCGCCCCCGGCCCGCCCCCGGCCCGCCCCCGGCCCGCCCCCGGCCCGCCCCCGGCCCGCCCCCGGCCCGCCCCCGGCCCCACTGCCAGCGCCTGTCGCCGCCCGCCCGCCCGGGCAGGAGGGACCGCCCACTGCCTCTGGGTTCTCCGCGAGCGGCCAAGCAGGGCTGTGGACCCTGAGGCCCCATCAGCCTTGGGTGATGAGGGTGATGGGGCGGGTGACCTCACTTCCCATCTCTAAAACAGGGGTTACGGGAATGCTGCGGTGCCCCCGCACCCCTGCCTGCCTGTGCGTGTCTGTGCTCCCCAAGGCCCCAAGATGAGCTAAGCACAGGTGAGGTGGGCATAACGTGCTGGCGAAGCAGCAGGGTGCCAGGTGCCAGGCCCCTGGCATCTCGCAGGCCCCCTGGGGAGGAGATCCAGGGCCTTTGCAAGCACCTGCCTGTCTAGCTCCAGCTTGTTCGCTCCCAGGGAGGGGGTGCTCAGCGCCTACGGAGGTCAGCCAAAAAGTCTGGCTGTCCGTACCCGGCCCTCCAGAGCTCCAGGATCCCTCTGTCGCTTTGTGAGATGTCCCGGAGCTCTGGCTGGCCGCCGCGTGGCACCCAGCTCCCCCGCACAGGAATGTCTGCCTCCATCTCACTGCTGGGGACGTTGGGACCAGAGAGGGGCGTCAGCCTGCCTTGGGCCACACAGCAAGCTACGGGGGAGCCAGACCAGAAGGCTTCAGTCTGACTTTGAGCCTAGGGCGTTCAGTCTATGCCCACAGCAGACACTTGGAGGAAATCCAGAAAGAATAAGTACCTATACCTCTGGCTGTGCCAAGAATTAGAATAGGTGTTGATATAAAATGGACTTCCTCCTCCCATGGATTGAGGAAAGTAGAATTCAAACGACTAGCTAGGAATACAGTAATGTTGGCCACTAATAGAGGGAAATAATAGGAGCGATCCACTGTAATTGGTACAGATGAGATAAATGTGTTCTTATGTGCACCAAGGCGATCCAGCTGTCCCGCTGCCAGTATGTCTATCTTCTGCGTTTATCGAGCACCTACTGTATGCAGTGCACAGCTAGAAGGGCCAGAGACAACTAAGAGCCCTTGGGGGGCTCAGCGTTCAGGAAGAAGACAGATTTGGGGCAGGTGGGGGGCTGGCTGCGATGGGCTCTCCTGAGCGAGCTGCCTTCCAGCATCTTCAGGGAGGTGGCCTGGGCTCTGGCCTGACCACGTGCTGCCACCATTCTGAGCCCCCATCATACGGACAGAGACTGTCATTCATTCCCCCTGCCCGCCCCACGAAGGAAGGCCGTCCCACCTGAGTGAGGCTTCCCTGGGATGGGGCCCAGGCCCAGGGCGGGGGTGGGGGGGGTGGGGGGCAGCCGCTCACACAGCACACAGCGGGCCCGCCCAGCAGCCCGGGGCCAGGGTGCACTCACTCAGTGGGGTGAAGGACAGGTCAGACAGGGTGAAGAAGGAGCGTGGCCACAGCGACTTCAGAGCCCTAGACATGAGGTGCACGGGGGACGCAGTGGCTGCTGGGGCCCCAGGGTAGCGGCCGAGGCAGCCTCTCCCGGCCCTGGACTCAGAGACAAGCTGCGGCTGCGGACTCGTCCCCAGCCACGCCAGCTGCACAGTCACCCTGGACCTTGGACAGGGGGTGGTGGCTGGCAGGCCGGGCCTGCTGGGGGTCAGCATGCAGGCTGTGTGATTGATCCGGCCCTGCTGGGGGTCCGGGACAGGCGGCTGGGCCGCCCCGTTGCCCTGGCTGTCGGAGGGCACAGCTCCAGGGTGGGCCGGCTGCAGCCAGGGGCGCTGAGGCAGGGCTGGTTTCCTGTGGCCGAGCCTCAGTTTCCCCATCTGGGGAGCAGGGGCTACCACCCTTGCAGGGTCAGTTTTAGGGAAGTTTCGTAAATTTCCCTGCGTATGTTACCTCCTACTTCCAGTGCACTTTGAAGAGAGCCATGGTGCAAAGCGGAGTGACAGTTGACCCCGGAGGGTGAGGGTCACCCCCGGTCCCAGCCCTCCCCCGACCCTGGACCTCTGCCGAGGCGGGCTGCCCCCTGCCCACAGGGCCTGTGCCACCCGCAGCCCCTCCTCCCGGGACGGCCCTGCCCACGGGTCCTGGCCAGCCCTCTGCCCCCACCCGCTGGCCAGGCTTCCTGGACAGAGGGAGGCGTCTGCAGGCTGCCCTCTGACTGGGCAGACGTCCAGGGTGGAGCAGGGGCCTGGGGGGCGGGGATGAGGCTCCTCGAGAGCTCTGTGCGAGGCCCCGCAGAAGAGGGACGCGAAATAACAACGTCGACCCAGAGGGAGGCAGCGCCCAGCCTGGCCCCTTGGCCTCTGCGAGGTGCCCTTGGAGCCCCTCTGGGGGACCAGCAGTGTCCCCTCAGAGAAAAGAAAAGATCAGTGCCGTCGACTGAGGCACAACCTAGCCAAGGGGTGTCAGCCAGGGCAATTGAGGGAGCAGGGAAGTCCCCAGAACGACTTTGAGAGCCGGAATTAGAATGCTTTGTATTCGAACGTCTTTGTGTGTGTCACCCTGGAGATTTCCTACAAAAATGCAGATTTCCAAGCTCCTTTTGAAAACCTGAGGGGGGGGGCACACGCCGCTCCCCCCGCCCCAGCCAGACGCACTTAGATGGGCCCGTTCTGTCCAGTTGGCCACTGTCCCCACGCGGCCAGTTTGCCCCTTCACATTTCCTGCTGGGCTCTGGGAGCTTTGCTTTTCCACCCCTGACCGGGAACCGGGCATTGCCCGAGGTAAAGACACTTCCTGTCTGTCTCCCGCTCAGGGGCCCGAGCACCAACAGGAACCCAAACAGGGAAGCGGGGGGAGGCTTGCAGTGAGCAGAGGGGGAGGGGGCTGTGCAGTGCTGTCTTTGGCCCCAGGATCTGAATGCCCTCCGTAGGGCAGCAGCTCGCGGGGGATGGGGAGCTGGGTCACCGTCCCCGCCCCAGGAGGCAGAAACATCGCCCCCTGGTGGTCATATGTGAGCATGACACCCTGGGAGAGCTGGACCCCGAGACAGGGACTCAGCCCCAGGATGGGCACTATTGCCCCAAGAGGGGGCCGGCAAGCTGACTGGAAGGTGGAGACCTCCCCAGCACCCCTGCCCCGGGACCGGCAGCCTGGGCTCCTTCGGGCTCTCACGCTGTCCTCACGGAACACGCCCCTGGCAGGGAGCTTCCTTCCTGATTGCCACGAGCTTTGTCTCCGTTTCCAAGAATAGCGTGAGACGCGCCCTCTCCTAGTGGGATGCACCCATTTCTCTCCATAGTCCTGACAGCTTTTATATTTTCAGGCTATGTTGTGAAGTGTATTAAGCTTCAGGGTTGTTCTGACTTATCATTTCTTATCATGAAATAATGAGCCTCTTTATCCCGTGAGATGCTGCTATTTAACATTTGGCTCTCGGGGTGCGGGTGTGGCAGACTTCTTTGGTGTGAACACTCCCTCCAGCGCCAAGTTCAAGCTGCCAGTGCGGAGCCGCTGAACCCGGAGTTGGAATGAGGCACACGGGACGGGTCACTTGTGACGCCCACTGTTTTTACACGTTAAAGATGCTTTGTGGCCCAAAGCAAATATTGGTCTGATATCAATATTGGGTGTTTTTCAAATGTTTATTCATTTTTGAGACAGAGAGAGACAAAGTGTGAGCAGGGGAGGGGCAGAGAGAAAGAGTGAGGGAGACACAGAATCCGAAGCAGGCTCCAGGCTTCGAGCTGTCAGCACAGAGCCCGACGCAGGGCTTGAATTGAATTCAGGAATGGTGAGATCATGACCTGAGCCGAAGTCGGACGCATAACCACCTGAGCCCCCCAGGCGCCCCTCATACCAATATTGTTCTATCCACTTTCTTTGACACCTGCCTGGTGCGTCTTTTCCCATCGCTCTGCTTTCACTATTCCTGTGACACGTCTCAGTGGTGTCCGGCACATTCCTACTTTGGAGGGTGACACAAAAAAGCTGTGACCTCCCACCACTGGGGACAACAGCTTCTCCCGGGAGCCTGCAGAGCAGAATGGGGGGCCAAAAAAGAGCTCTCTCCTGGCCACGCTGCCTGTCTCCACCCTGGGAACACGATTTGCCTCTTTTCTGCTGAACTTGCTGAGCTCCTTAACCAGGGGTGGGGTGGATAGATGCACACACTTGACACGTTGGTTAGGGTCTGGGGTTTAATTTTTTTTTAATGTTTTCTTTCTGAGAGAGAGAGAGAGAGCATGAGCAGGGGAGGGTCAGAGAGAGAGGGAGACACAGAATCCAAAGCAGGCTCCAGGCTCCGAGCTGTCAGCACAGAGCCCGACGCGGGGCTCGAACCCACGAACTGTGAGATCATGACCTGAGCTGAAGTTGGACGCTTTAACCGACTGAGCCACCCAGGCACCCCTGGCTCTGAGGGTTAGAGGTGGTGTCAGAAGACATTTCTCCTCCTAAGAAAATGTGTCGGACCAGGGGCACCTGGGGGGCTCAGTCGGTTAAGTGTCCAACATCGACTCAGGTCATGATCTCGTGATGGGCGAGTTTAAGCCCCGTGTGGGGCTCTGTGCTGACAGCTCAGAGCCTGGAGCCTGCTTCGGGTTCTGTGTCTCCCTCTCCCCCATTCCCTCTCTCTCCTTCAAAAATAAACACTAAAAAAAAATTTTTTTTTAAATATATCAGACCATGGGGCGCCTGGGTGGCTTAGTCGGTTAAGCGTCCGACTTTCGCTTAGGTCATGATCTCGCGGTTCGTGGGTTCGAGCCCCGCGTCGGGCTCTGTGCTGACTGCCAGCTCAGAGCCTGGAGCCTGTTTCAGTCTGTGACTCCCTCTCTCTCTGACCCTCCCCTGCTCACGCTGTCTCTCTCTCTCTCTCTCTCCTAGAAAAAAAAAATATATATATATCAGACCAAAAAAATCCTGGGACAGTCGAAACAGAAACTTTCGTTCTCTCCCAAGTGTGTGTGGTTTATTCCCTACACCATAGAGGATGCAGGCGTAGCTCACTTGTGTGAGCGAATTGAGGATTATTCAAGGTGTTGTTCAGATTCGAAGTGGGATTGGACTGTGGCGAGTCTGAGAAAGCTCAGCGTCTCGTGCACTTTCCCAGGAATCAAGCTGATCCATCACCAAGACATGCTTGACCTGACCGCCTGTCTTTGCGCCGCAGCCCCCTCGTGGCCGTCGGTCTCTGTTGGCAGAGGCTGCTCTCACCTCCCGTTCTCACCCCACGCTCTTATCTTTCTCTGGAAATCAGACCCAGAATAAAGACTACGTTTCCCAGCCCCCGTGGCAGCCAGGTGTGACCAGATGACCAAGTCATGGCCGGTGGGAGTTGGTGAGTGAACCTTCCAGAAGGTGTCCTTAAAGAAAGATGGTCATGCCCCTTCCCTGCTCCTTCTCCTTCTTATTGGCCGGAATGCGGATTCCAAGGCTGGAGCTGAAGTCCCGTCTGGGAGCATGTGAGGGAGGCCACACCCCAGAGACCAAAGGGAAAACCCAGAAAGGCCCAGGTCCCTGATACTGTGAGCCAGGGTCGCTGGCCAGACTGTTAGGTGAGCAAGAAATAGCCATCTCTTGTCATAGGTTGCCCATCATTCGTGGCCAGATTGTAACCCTAACAGCCCAAGGCTGGCACTGGGGTTAGAGCTGCAGAGAACGGCGGGTAGGGATCTCGTTACAGCCCCAAGGGCACGCAGGTGTTAAGATGTGGAATGACTGTCCAGAGAATCCAGGGGAACAAAACTCCCATACAGATCCACTGTGCATGCGCAGGCTTCCTTTTTCTAGGGAAGTAAAGGACCAAAACTAAATCGTTAAGGAATAGAAATACAGCAACCACGACTAAAGAACAGGAGTCTGAGTTTGACTCACAAACGTAAAATCGTATCATGGGACCTCCCCCACCTGCTACTCTCTCCTCCAGCAGTGGGGACAAGCCACAGTCAGACACAGCCATCCAGATGAGAGCTGCAATTGTAAAGCCCTATAATTTGTGGACATTTAATACATTTGTAATTTTCTACTTGGAAAAATTACATTTTAAATAGATAATTTGAACATGCTTAACAGAGACATAAAACTTTTGTTCAGAGAAGCCAAGTTTTGTTTCAGCCCGAAAGAAGGCCTACCTCCAGTCTTTGGCTTTTGTAATACCAGCTGTCAAGGTCACCAATTTGCGTTCAAGTTCAGTTTCACTAGTACACTACAAGCTGCGCTATCAAATATTTTTATCCTTTAAAATTTAAGAATTTGAAATATTTTATAATTTGCTTCTTAATTATTTAGAAGTATGTTTCTTAGTTTGCAAACATACGGAGGTTTCTTGTGTATTTTTTTTTATTACTGATTTCTAATCTCACTCATCATGGTGAGAGAAACTAGTCTATGATTTAAAATTCTATGAAATCTGCTTTGTGGGCCAGTATGAGGTAAATCTTCATGGAGATGATGTGTACTCAAGAGGCTACAACGTTCTGCATATGCAATAGCTAATTGTTATTTTACTCTCTACCCTTACCTTTTTTTTTGTTTGCTTCAAAATCAGCTTCACTTTTAAGTTACAGAGAAAGAAAGTTGTGTTAAAGCCTCCCATCTATGATGATGGGTTTATCTCATTCTTTCTGTTCTTCTGTCAATTTTGCTTTATGAATTTCCCAGTTATATTATAAGGAGCATACTAGTTTAAAGCTGTCATGTTTTTCTAATAAATGAGAATTTTATCATTATGTACTAAGCCTTTTAAACTCTGGTGATGCCTTTCTTTGTTTGCCTGCTTGGTTTGCTTTAAAATCTATTTGGTATGACATTAACTTTTAACTTGACTACACTGTGAATTCCTATTTTCATCTATTTTTATAGAAGTCTAGGGTTAACTACTTTGTGTTAATTCGTCCTGGGGCAAACCAATGCCTTTCCATTCTTTTATTTCTGGAAAGTTAACAAACTGATTGAAGCCATTGTCCTGTTTGGTGATTTTGGTTTTAGCCACGTGTTAATTTCCTTATCACGATGTTGGTGCTCCTGGAGATGCCTGGCTTTATGCAGGAGGCCAGTTTCCGCTCCTGGCCTCCAAGGTCCTGGGGCCAGCGGACTGAGTGCTGGAATTCCTGGTCTCAACCACAGAAGGCTTGAGGTCCGAGAGCCTGCCTTGGCGTTGGCTCCCAGTAAATGCTCTGGTTTTGTGGCTCTCCTTTCTGGGACAGGCCACCGTGTTCCCAGCTCAGTCCTGCATTCTCTTGTGTTTTGTATGGTGTTCCTATGTTTGTGGTGCAGGAGATGTGTCCTCCTCACTCAGAAAGTGGGTGGTTCCCACCTCTGGTCCAGGGAGCTTTCCTAGAGCTCCGTGTGGCAGCCTCTGCGGCGGCCCCACCCAGGAGAGTCCACACTGTCAGAATGAAGGGACATGGTGCCCAGGTACCCCTAGAGCCCTGTGGGCAGCAAGCCCTCTGACCAGGAGTGGGCGGCTCCCATCTGCTTTCCCACACCCCGGGGTGACCTCAGGCATACGGGCTCCTCCTCCCTCCCGGCCTCCAGCCCAGTCCACATGCAGGCCTTGAACAGGTCTGGGGCTTCCCACTCCTCCTGGGTCGGGACTCCACAGCAGGTGCTTTGAGGCCCTCCCTCGGGGATTCCCGGCCCCTGGCATCCCCAAGTCCCCCTGCACTTCCCCTCACGCCGCTGTGGCTCCCTGCTTCCTGGCCTGGGGCTCTCTCCAGCTTGCCTGGCCCTGCTCGGGAGCAGACCTGAGGGCTGCTGAGGGAGCGTCCGTGTCTGTCCATCCCCCACGTGGGCGTGAGAACTCAGACATGCAGCTGGCTCTCGCGGGAGATGGGGTTGGGACAAACAGGCCTCGCTGGGCCTTGGGCCTGAGACACTGTCCAGAGGGGGCGGCTCCAGAAAAGGCGGGCCTCCCATTTGGTTCTCAGGGGCATCAGTGAGCCAGACTCTGGGGCTCTGGGTCCTGGAGACCAGGGCTGGGTGGGCTCCAACACTCTGTGTCACCTCAAGCGTCTGCACTCGCCTCCTGGTTCGCAACAAGATCTGAGCACCTGCTGTGTACCAGGCTCCAAGTCTCATCTGAGCCTCCCAACCTGGAGGCGAGTCCCTGGGCTGGTCACCCGCCCCGTCAGCTATGCCCCTGTCTCCTCAGTGGCAGGACCCCAACACTCTCCAGGGGGGCCATGTGTCCCGCTCAAGTCCCGCGGTCAGTCTCCAGCCTCCACCGCAGCCAGGAGTGGCCACGTGCCTCAGCTCTGGGTAAGGAGGGGGAGGGGAAGCACTGTACTCACATCTGCCTCTGCCTCTGCCCATGGCCTCGATGGCAGGAGCTCTAGCAGCCTCTTTGGTCCATGAGACCACGGTGAGGATGGAAGCACATGCTGGGGGGGGAGGGGGGAGGAGCCTGGGTTGGGGGATGGGGCACCAAACCATCCCGGGACTACCTCGTCTGGACTCCTTCCCCGTGAAAGAGAAATAAGCCTCTCTTTTACTATTCTGATTTTCTCTACCACAGGCCACAGACCCACTCTCTGGAGAGAATATTATTTTTTTATCTCCAACATATACATATAAAGAAACTGGCTCAAGATCTGAAGGACGTGCCCAAGAAGCGGCAGGACTGGGGTTGGATCCCACCCAAACCGGAAGACTGTGTCTCTGATGGCCACGGCGCGGGAAGTCCGTGGCACGGGGCCAGCCGGGAGGAGGCGCCCGGGCCGTGGCCCTGGCATCATGCTCTCTTCCAGACCCACGGCCTCTGCCTCCCCAAGGCCTCTATCTGGCCCAGGCCACAGCATCCCAGGCCAACAGGGTCTGGGTGAAGCAGCCTCCGCCGAACACAGAGGAATCCAGCCACTCCCTCCTCCCTGGCAGGAAAGGCCAGCCACTCCTGCAGAAAAGAACCTAGGTTTATTTGCAGTAAAAACCGTGGTCGGAAAAAACCTATTGGCAAATGTACAGTTTGTGTCCTTCTGGGGGTCGGCACCAGCGCCGGGACCCCCAGACCCCTGACCCGCATGCACCAGGCTCCTAAGTGTTCACAGCTAATGTCAGGCCCCAGGTCCAAAGTCCCTCCGGAGGGCGTCCTATGAACCCCCCACCCCCGCCTCCCAGCCTGCCCCGGCCCGCCTCCCCTCCGGGGTCATGCAGTGCACACCCAAACCAAACACGGTTCAAAACAAACGAAAAACAAAACAAAACATTCACAGAAACCAGGTTCTCAATTGTTTTCTCAGCATCCTTCGTTGCCGTGACGCCTTGTTCCATGAGGGTCTCAAATATACATCACTTTCCTGCTCTCATCAAATATCTTCCTTATTATTCACAGATACATAATGGGAACTCTGGGTGAAATAATTACAAACTGTTTTTTCCCTTAAAAAACAAGCCAAACCGAAAACAAAACGATCAAAACAACAAAAACAGAACCTTTTTGACAACAGTAAACACGAAAGGGGCCGGCTGGTTTCTCCCCACCGCCCCCAACCCTAGGCTTGTGGCCGTGGGAGCCGCGGGCTGCGTGCAAAGTGCCGGGTGCGCCCTGATGGTGGGGACGCGGGGCTGCTCTCCCCGAGGCCAACTCTCCGCTTCCCTCCTCTCAGCCCTCTGCCCCCAAACACGATCCTGTTCATGCTCGCATCTCAAGCCTCTGCAGACCACCTTCGCTCTTCCCCTGGCGTCTAACTGCCCCCAACCCCTCCCTGCCTCCTCCCCGGGCCGGACACTGTGTGCGGGAGTCGAGCCTGGAGGCCACGTGGCTGACCTCAGAGGGAGCCCAGGGTGCAGCAGGAGCTAGGCTTCCCCATGCCGGGGCTTGCCTGGTCCCCGCCCCCTGCAGCAGGCAGGGCAGCTGATCAAGGGGCAGGGGACACACACAGCACAGCCCGGGTCTCACCAGCAGCTGCGGCACAGAGCTCGAGGGGTGACGGCGCCCCTAGGTCTCATGCAACATCCAGGCAGAGAAAAGGGTGTGGGCGAGACAGCCAGAGGCCAAAGGCCAGGAGTCCGGAAGGGGAGTTCAGGGGGTAGGGCCACCCCCAAGAGCACTTATTTGGAGCTGGCCACGGCCAAGTTCACGGGCTGCAGGAGGAAGACTTGCGGGGGCGGAGGCACCGGCACCTGGGCGAAGGCTGGGGGCCCCGCAGGAGCCACGCGCACGACACAGGAGACCCGGGGGCGGCCACCTGCTGGTGGGCCCGGGGGACCTCCTTCCGGAGAGGAGTGCGAGTAGCAGGGGCCGGGCCCACGTCGGGGTTTACGAAAGGTGTATCCGCCTGACAGCAGGACAGGACAGACACACTCCCGGGACTCGGGGCGGGGGCAGTACCGTTGACTGGGGAGGAGGCTCCGCCCCTTCGTCCTTCGCTTGGGCTCCTTCCTGAGAGGGACTCCCCCCCCCCGCCCTGGGCAGTGCCTGCATACCCCTAGTGGGAGGGTCGCGAGGAGGTCAAGGGGGCCTGCGCGGACGCCTTCGCAGTGCTCCCTCCTGCTACACCTGAGCACAGCCGGGGCTGAGCAGGGGCTGCGGCAAACGGCCCAGCTCTGGTCCCTTCTGACCCCCTAGGCCCGAGGCTGCCCCCCTGGGAGCAGCAGGAAGCAGGCAGGCTGAGTGTTCCGGGCTGAGCAGACGGGGCTGGGGGGAAGGTCCCCTCTGTAGTCCCCGTCCTCCCTGGGCGAGCACCCACCGTTCAGACCTGGGCTCCTTGATGCCGTTTCAACAGGACAGGGGCCAGGTGAGCTCTGGCCTCAGCTGTCGCCCAGAACCTGGCTCAGGACGCCCGGGGCGCTCCCTCCCCTCGGCGCTCCGGTGGTGGCCGTCATGACAGGGCCGGCCCAGCCCTCTATGTACAAGCAGCGTACCCAGGACGGGCCACCGAGGGCAGACTGACGGGGGGCCGGTTCGCACGTGGGATTCTCTCCCATCCCCATGGGCTGCTGAAGACTGGAAGGTTGGCGGGCATGTCCCCTCTGAGTCACAGAACTAGAGACAGACGTCAGAGCTGGACTCTTCCGAGAAAACCCACGAGTCCTGTCCACGTGGCTGTGGTCACTGGATGCCTTCCTCCTCTACGTACGTCGACGGAAACCAGCCGATCTGAAAAAGATGGCAGGCTCACGTGAGCGCGCGCACGCACGGTCTGCACATGTATGCGCACATGTCAGGGTGAGGGACGGCAGAGGCTCGTGGGAATGGGGGATCCTTCAAAAGACTGGAGTTCGGAGTTCGAAGCCAGGCTTGCCCCAAGGCGGGGGCCCTGGCAAAGACAAAGAGCCTGGTGGAGCTGCGGCCCAGGGTATCCCTAATCCATCAGCCCCCCAGCAGTTCATGATGACTTACTGGCGGCCAGAAAACAATTACATCCTCCCTGGAGAAAATAACATGAAGCCAAGCCTCGGTAGCATTCTATACACAGGCTCATTATTCGACTGGGACCGGGTCACAGACACCAAGAGGAAATGCAGGTAATGGAAACCAATCTACAGGTCATCCACATACGAGGGTCATCAGTCTGGAGATGTAAGTGACTCTGACGTAACATGTTCGAGAAAACAGCTGATAGAGCATAAAACTTTACCCGTGAACTGAAGTCAGAAATCAAATAGAAATCAAAGAACTGGGAAATACGACTGAAATTAAGAATCGACTAGGATTCAGCAGCAGATGAGACAGAGCGGAGGAGAGCCCTGGTGAACTGGAAGATGGGCCGATGGAAAGTAGCTGGATGGGAAATAAGCAAATGGGTGGAAAACTCATGAAACCAGGTAAGTAACATCTGGACCACGATGAAAAGACCTGACACCTGTGTGAAAACAGCCGCAGAGGGAGAAAACTTGAAAACTAGTGGTACAGCCCTCCAGGTCAGCAGCGAGGACTCGGTGGCCTCACACTTCTGAGGGGCTGTCAGGTTGAAAGCGGATCTGACCTGAGGCCTCAGAGGGGCAGACAACACGCTAGGTGGAGGCTGACCAGCTCCCGCCACCCGGCAACGGAATGGTGAGCAATGGGAGCCAAGGCAGGAGACGCTGCACAGCCCAGTGTGTCTGCCTGGGTGAGTGCTGACAAACCCAGTCAAAGCCAGGGGATCCAGACGGGCTACAGGGATAAGGGGCCACGGAGTGTTGCAAGGTCATGGGTGGACAGGGAAGAGAGTCCTCAGGAAGAGCACGAAGGGGCAGGCAGAGTGGGTGGGAAGCCGGTGTGCCTCTTCCCATCTGCCCAGGGTGGGAGACAGGCCAGTGAGGACACCTGGGCCCTGCTGTCGAACTGCAGCCGCTCAGCCTTCAAAGGAGGCTCGGGCACGTGCAGGTGACGCGGAGCATGGGTGCAAAACACATCCCCCTGCACGACCACAAAGGGCCGCAGAGTGGGACCGAGGGCGGATACGGGGTCACGCAGGCCCGGCTCCGGCCCCAGCGGGGCAGCTCGGGGCCGTGGCTCAGCAGGGCTCGGCAGGGCGCTGGGGCCGGCTGAGCTGAGGTGCCGGCCTGCCCGCACCCGGCCGGAATGGGCGGCTCACCCGTCCGTTGGCCTCGCCCTTCCACCAGCCCTGGTCCCCGCCAATGCGGCTGTAGATCTTCACCAGGTCGCCTTCCCGCAGCGAGAGCTCACGCATGTCCCGGGCTGCAAAGTTGTACCTGGCCACGGCTGTGCCGATGACACGAGGTGTGAACACTGTGGGGGGAGACAGGCAGGGTCACAGTGCCGGCGGGGGCCGGGGGGCAAGCTGGGTCCCCCTGGGGCCTGGCCCTGTGCCCAGAGCGGAGGGCCGGCCGGCAGAAGGGCTCTGAAGGCACAGACTGTGCTCCAGGTCCACCAGACCTACAGGCGGTGGCCCCCACGGCCCCCCCGCGAAGGCCCTGCAGAGTGGCCGCCACCCGCGCTGGCTCACAAGCAGCAGGTGTGAGCGTGGGCTCAGAGTGGAGGCTGGGGCGCTGATCACCACAACCTCCTCGGGCCCCAGCCCTGCCTGCCCGGTGCGCGAGGGCCACTCAGCTGGCCCGGCCTGCACGCCGACGGAGTGCCCGGGGCCAGACCCCAGGGTGCCGGGGCCTGGACACCGGGCTGCACCCACCCAGCTGGGGACAGTGACCGTGGTGGACAGGACACACAGAGAGGACTCTGGCAGCGGAGGGCCAAGCAGTCGCGCCCAACTGAGACCCGGTCCCCCTACCTCCAGGCCCACCCAGTGGGGCCGCCCGGTGTGTCCCCGCCATCACCCCGGGGGTGGCCACCGATGCTCCCAGAGGCAAAGCTCTCAGCGAGCGAGGAGGGACAGTGCTGACAAGCTGGGGAGCGGCCATGGGGTGAGCGGGCGAGAGGTGACAGCAGTGAGGAGGGTGGCGCCGGGCCTGACCGTGCCCTCTGCCCCACCCCCGCCGGCCAGGCGATCCCTTCCCTGTGCCTGTCCCCTCCCCTCGGCCCCGCCCTGTGCCGGGCCAGGGGTCGCTGCGGGAGCCTTCCAGCGGGGGCTGCGGGCCAGCGGGCGGCAGGCCGGGCCCCCCCACGCCCCGAGCGCCCGCGGTACCTGACCAGAAGGGAGTGGAGGAGCCCTGAGAGGCAAAGCTGAGGCCCTGAGGACTGAGAAAAGAAAAGTTGTAGGAGGCGCAGGAAGCTGCAAAGAGGCGAGAGAGAACGTGAAAGGGGAGCGCAGGCAGAGCGCAGGAGTGCGGGGGTGCGGGGCCAGGCCTGCCGGGCGGGGCTGCCCCTCCCACCACCTCTCTGTGCCCCTTTCCTGGACCCCATAGGACCTCCTCCCAGCGGGTGGGCTCCAGGGTTTCTGGAGCCCCTTGTCCAGCCCGCACTAGGTGCTCCTCTCCGGACCCGTGGGGACCCGCATGCCGGGCCCACCCTGCCTCTAACGCCAGGTGGCCTCGAGCAAGACGCTCCCCTGTCCCCGCTGCCTGGCCGCAGACACAGGTGCCAGATCTGCTCCCTCCCAGCAAGGACCTGGGGGGGGAGGTGGGCTGGGGCCGGGGAGGGAGCTAAACGCAGGTGGGGCCTGCCCTGTTCTCACCCCATGCTGACCCCCGGGCAAGGGCGTCCAGGCAGGGAGCCACGTGCCAGAGCTGGCACTCCCCGCCCGTCACAGGGGCCACAGGACACCCTGGCTCAGGGGCTGCGCTTGTGACGGGGGAGGGGCACCGCCCTGGCTTGGCTCCCACAGGAAAGCCTTCCTCGAGGGCAGGTGGGCAGTGAGAGCCGGGGCCGTGGGAAGCGGGCAGAGCAGACGCCTCTGGGCGAGCGCCGGTTTGCCGGGCGGGGGCGGGCGTTACCTGGGGACCGGCTGGAGGCCCTGGTGGCCGCGCGCTCCCGTGACTTGTATGGGTACTTGAGCGTGGTGTCCAGCTGCTTGAAGCTCTCCTTGAGGGAGTGGCACTGATAGTATTCCACCAGCTCCTGCAGAACACGCGTGCTCACCGCTGCTCACCGCCTCCAGGCAGTCCTCCCCGGCGCCCTGGCCTCCCTCTCCCACCTCAGTTTCACTTGGGGGACTTGTCTTCTTGACCCTGCGAGCTCCCCACTCCTGCTCTCGGCCCAGCGCCCTGCGCAGGGTGAGTGGTCAGAATCTCAAAGGCTCTGAGCCAGCAGCTTCCCTCCAGCTGCTGCTGAACGAAAATCAGGGGCCGACGCTGAGCATGACGCTGGGATCCCCTCGCTCTCTTTCTGATGGAGAGAGCCTGACCCCCTCACGCCTCCGACAGCAGGGAAGGGCTTCCAGAAAGAACAGCACGTGCCAGTGACCAAATGCCCTGTGATTACCGGTGTGGAGAGGAGCGGGCAGTGCCAGCGGCGAAGCTGACCGCGTGGAAGAGTCCGTAAACAGAAACCACACCCCAGCTATTGTTCGAGTCGAGGGGCCTCCCCTGAGCCTGAACTGGGGACACCTTTCTGCTTGGTGCTTTTCTGCGGCCTCGGCAGCCTTGTCTAAGAGCTCACGTAATTTAGGAAAGACACAATAGGTTTAATTAAAAATCATGCTAAGAACTGTGCCTTGGGACACCTGGGCGGCTCAGTCGGTTAAGCGTCCTACCTCGGCTCAGGTCATGATCTCGCGGTTCGTGGGTTCGAGCTCCACATTGGGCTCTGCACTGTTGGTGCAGAGCCCGTTTCAAATCCTCTTTTTCCGCACCTCCCCTGCCTGCATTCTCTCTCAAAATAAGTACACATTTATAAAAAAAAAATAAATAAATAAAAAAAGAAGAGGGGAAAGAACTGTGCCTTTACCTGCATTCTGACTGGGGGGCTGCTGGAAGCCACCGGCTGGGAGCCCGGCTGCAGGGTAGGCACTGGGGGGGGCTGGGAGCCCAGGTGCAGGGTAGGCATGGGGGGGGCTGGGAGCCCGGCTGCAGGGTAGGCACTGGGGGGGTCTGGGAGCCGGGCTGCGGGGTAGGCACTGGGGGTGGCTGGGAGCCCGGCTGCGGGGTAGGCACTGGGGGGGGAAGCTGGGAGCCCAGGTGCAGGGTAGGCACTGGGGGGGGCGGCTGGGAGCCCAGGTGCAGGGCTGGGCCCTAGGCTTTCTGTCTGCAGTGATGGACACGCAAGGCAGGCCGGGCCCTCCCCTCACTGTGCACGGAGCCCACCTGGCCCTTTGGGGGCAGGAGCCTCAACGCAGGGGCTGTGACCTAACTGTCCCAAGGTGCTCTCCAAACCCACTTCCCGGACCTTCCCTGCTGGCAGGAAAGCACAGCCTACAGGGGGCGGGGTGCAGGAGGCCACGGTAGCGGTGGGGCCTCTGGGCCTTCCCATGAGCCCTGCAGCAAGGCCGAGGGAGCCACGGGATCACCTACCAAGAGGCTTTCGAATTTCTTCGCTTCCGTGATGTGGACCCAGCTGTCCTTCTCCACCACCTTGATGTGCTTCACCTCGTCATTGAACCTGGGCAAAGCGCAGGGCCTGGAGGTCACCACTCAGGCCACGTGGCCCCCAGCCGGGGGTCCAGTCTGCTGGAGCAAAGACCCCTGCCCTCGGCCCTCCTGCCCCCCTCCCCCGGGCCTCTCCAGGGTCAGCCTGCAGGGTCTCAGGCCCCAAAGCCCATGCTCTGTCAGCCCACGGTGGCCTCCTGTCCTGGGGTTCTGCTCATTCTCCTCTCTGCGCGGGGGACATGGTCCTTCTCCCCGTTTCCCCATTGCCCATGGCCCCGGAGGCCCCAGGGGAGCAACCCCGCCCAGCCCTGATGCCACTGAACATTCTCCTCCGCACCCTCCACTCCAGCCGACGGGCTCCCCAGACGGAGCTGCCCCTCTGCCGGGAAGGCTCACCCTCCCGCCATCCTCACCCCCTGAGCCCGCGTCCTCAGGTCTCAGTTCCAGTGTGATTCTGCTGGAGCGTCCCCCCCTCCAGACGACATCACGAGGAAACACACCAACATCGCTACAGAGCAAAAGCCCTCAGCAAGACTCCCCACGCATACGTCTACATAAACTGAATATTTAAAACCTCACAAGCCACAGCCAGATGGGACATTCCGAGAATGTCAGGCTGGTTGAACAACTGGAAACCAGGTAAGCAAATGAACAACTGGCAAATAACCAGGTGCCGGCTGGCCAGCGTCCCCTCCCGTGGGGCCTTTGCACACCGCCCGCCGTTCCTCAAGGATTTAAAGTTGCCCACACATGCTCAGCCCACCCCAGCTCCCTGGGCCGCTCTCAGCCCCACGGGGGAGCCCTGTGAGCCGGGCACACAAGGTGCTAGGTGGACTCCTACCTGGCGAGTGATGTGTCTGTCACCTCCACTGCAGACCTGCCACCCCACTGCCTCCCTGGGCCCTCATGAGCCCATTACCACCCCACCGCACTGTCACACCTCACGAGGCTCCCCTCGGCCACTGCAGGTATGTGGCAACCTCAGCTGGGGAGCAGGCTCTGCCTAGTGGGTGACCTGGGCCATGTCTACCCGTTTCACTGGACATCTGTCCCTCCTAATGCTGGTCTTTGTTCTCAAGAGCCAGCAGGCTGGTTTCGGGCTCCAGGCAGTTGTGGGCGCCCTGGAAAGGCTGCGCCTCCAGCACTCCCACCTCTGGGGGTCTTCAGCCCCCATCTGTACCTGGGGACTCCGGCCCTGGATGAGCGGAGGTACCCACACACCATCTCTCTTGGACTTAGAACGGGGGGGAGGGGCATTCTCACACACGTGCGCACACACAGGCGTGCCTGTCGACCGCATGTGAGGGCCGGCACCTCAGGCGCCCGGGATCTCGGTCCCCACCGGGTGCAGGAAAGCGGTGACACAGAGGAAGGGGCGAGCCAACGCTGGGGGGTGAGGCTGGGAGGGGCCTGCCCCTGGACACGGGCCACCCTGTGGGGCAGCAGATGAAGCAGGCAGGACCTTGAGGGTCACCACGGCAGACCCCTCTATTTGCTGGCCTGCGGGCGGTCGGGGGTCCTCAGCCAATGGGACCACCCAGCAGTCAGGCTCTGTCTCCTGAAGGGGCGGGGGCAGCTGCTGGGCAGGAGGACCCCGGGACAAAGGCTGAGGCCACAAGGCCACAGGGGTGTGACCTTCCCATTCTCCCCGAAGCCCCTGGTGCCGGGAAGACCCCGACCTTGTATGGCGTCCCTGCCCGGCTCTGACACCTGAGCTTGTGTGGTCCCTGCATTCTTAACAGGGGACGGAGCCCACGGGGCGGCTTCGGGCTGGACGTCGTCACACACGTCCCGGGGCCACCACGTACTTGATGCTTATGGCGAAGCGCTCCGCCTCGGCCGGCCGCTCCCTGATCAGGTAGGTCCCGCTGGTGTGCGATTTCAGCAGGTTGTCCGTCTGCTGTCTCTCCATGTTGCCCGCGAACCTAGCGGGCGGGACGAAGTGGGCGGTGAACACGGCGACAGTCCAGGACGCCCTGGCCTCTGCGGCGGCGCTGACCTGCGTCAGGAGCCCGTCCTGCGGGAGGGGCTCGCGTGGGGGGCGGGGAGACCGTCGTGGGGAGGGATCCGGCCCCCAGACCCCAGCCCGGCCCCAAGGGGTTTCCGCAGAACCCGGCCCGCAAGAGGCGCTCAACGCACATTAGCGCACATCTCTCGGTTTTCGTCGTTGAAAGCGCGGTAGTAAATAAAAGCTCGCGTGTGGGGTGGACCGCAGCATCTCAGATGCAGAGGAAGAGGCCACACCGCGTGCAGAGGAGGCTGGGACACCGAGCTTGCACGCGTCACGCCGCTGGGCACGCGGGGTGAGCCCCGAACGCAAGCCCCAAGGCCAGACGTTCCTGGGGTAGAGGTTTGCCCACTGCTCTGGGGCCACCTCAGGGCGCGGCGCACAGGGACCCACTACCACTGAGGCTGCGCCCGGAGGGCCCAGCAGGCAGAGCGATACAAGCTGGACCCCAAGGCCGACTGGGGTCTGTGACCCATTCCTAGAAAACCCACCTTCATGCTTTCGTCAGTGCGAACAGCCCTGTGATCTCACGGAGCAACAACACGGATTAATGTGCAATTATAAATCTGGCCTTAAATGTACCGCTTTTATATACTTTCCATGAGGAAGCACCATTAAACTCATGTAAACAAAAAAAAGAGCTTCGTTCTCCCAAGTGAATTGAATGTGATGACCTGTTTTGGCTGTGAGGAAACCCCAGTCTTGGGGTCTGGAAGACACCCCCAGGCTCCCAGACACGGCCAGCGAGGCCTCAGCCACCCTGGGCCCCCCTCGTGGGCGGGGCTGGAGGCCACCGCGGCTGACCCACTCACCAGGGGTATTCCGCATAGTCAATCTCCCGCGAGGGCGGCCGGCTGACGGGTGGCTGGTGGGAGAGAACATACACATTAATGTGTCCCTGGGGGCTCCCTGAGTGGGGCCCGAGGGGGCTTGTCATCAGGGACCCGACACTGGCTACCAGGGAGTCTGAGGACTCAGCCCCAGAGCCACTGGACGGGGACGTCCCTAAGGGCAGCGGCCGGGACTCACTGTCCCTGAGTAGATGCTCAGGGGTTTTGACTGACTGAATGAATGTATGATCGACTGAATGAACAGCAACCAACCCGACAGGGCACTTATCCCCCAGGAAGGGGGTGACGAGAGACCAGGGCAGTGACCGGGGCACACCCCAGAGTGAGAGTTCTCTGTCACACAGGGGCTCACAGCCCCAAGGGTAGGTGTCCAGGCGGCAGGCAACACACAGGCCGGGCAGCCCAAGACCCCTGACTGGGCCCCCCTCACTTTGCCACAGGGTGGGCAAGGCCCTTCACCATGCAGATGGGGAAACTGAGGCCCAATGCGGGGCCTGAAGGCCATAGCAGGGCTCCTGTGCTGTCTGGACCTGCCTCCTGCTCCCTCTGGAGAAACTTCCCTCTTGCACCTTTTAAATGCCTTTTTCTTGGGGGGGGCGCGTCTGGGGGGCTCAGTCAGTTGAGTGTCCGACTCTTGATTTCAGCTCAGGTCATGATCCTCGGACTGTGGGATCAAGCCCTGTGTCTAGCTCCACGCTGAGTGTGGAACCTGCCTGAGATGCTCTGTCTCTCTCTGCCCCCTCCCCTGCTTGCTCTTTTTCTCTAAAAATGAATAAATACATACATACCTGAATGAATGAATACATAAATGAATAAAATGCCTTTTTTTGGGGGGTGGAGATAATTGAATTATTGAAGGCTGATTGCATGATGCCTTTTGTGGCAGAGAAAGGAGAAAGACTTGATTGACATCACTTGGCCAAAGGAAAGGCCACACTACCCTTTCCCCAATCATCACAGAGTCCGGCTCTGAACTCTGTCGTCTGGGGAGTCTCCTCCCTGGGGGCCGTACAACAGTCCCCGGAAGACTTACAGAGCCCCCGAATTTGGAGAAAGGCAATCTTTTTGGTCTTTTGTGCATCACGACTGCTGCAGAAATGCCTGTTTTTGTGTTTCTAAAACCACAAGAAATGCAGCACCCTGGCCCCACCCCATCTGCTCTCTGGGCACAGCCCCCCAACTCTGGGGCCAGCTCACAATTGCCACTTAGCAAGGGTGTCCTGAACGAGCCCGGACACCCCAAGGGAGGAGAGAGCCCACAGAGCCCCCAGGCTCTTAGCCACAGAGTTCTAGAGGCTTCTGCGCAAGTGCTCACCCTTCCATCCACAGGGCAGGGCTTCACGGACGAGCTAGGAAAGTAGCCTGACTTCCTGGTCTGCACCAGCCGACCCTGGAAGGAGACAGGTGATGGGGGCTGGGCCTGGCCAGAGGGAGTGAGGGTGGGCGGCTCATCCCAAGGACGCGGTGAGGGCAGTTCCTAAGAAGAGTGTGTGTTGGCACTACTCCATGCTGTAGCCTCAGCCGACCTCACGACCGCTGGGCAGGAAAGAGCGTGATGCCCCACTTCCCAGATGGGAACGCTGAGGCCCAGAATTGAGGGCTAGAGCCCCACCCCCTGGTGCATCTGGTAGAAGGCAGACACTGCCCAGGAGTCTGCAGGGGCCGAGGGCCGGCTTTTGCTCTCCCGTCTGCCTGGAACAGATTCCCAAAGTCCTCAGGCAGCTCTGCCTTGCCTCCCCCGTCACACGGGGGAGCAGAGCCCCCTGCAAGTCCACCCAGAACGGATGGCTCTGGTGACACATGGGCCCAAGAACTGGGCAGCTGGGGTCAGAGTGTGGCAGAGACTTTATACTGCAGACACCCTTCTGCACCTTTTAACCTGCATTTCTGTGAAGGCACGGTCTAGTACAATAAATTCATAAGTACGTGTGTAGTGACACGGACCATCACAAAACACGGACAGCAATGAGAGTAATGGGGACATTAACAAACATTTGCTCTAAGCAGGGCTCGGTCACCCCTGGTGGCCCGGGTGGGGCTGAGTCCCCCGAGCTCCTGTGGCACCATGCCGACCTCTGTGGGTCTCGGGCTCCCCTGGGCCCTGGGGCGGATGGGCGCAGAAAGCTCCACCTTTGAGGACCTTTTAACCAGAACTGTCAGTTTTGTGGCTCAGAGCTGTGAAGCGTTGGGGGACACCGTGTCCGTGTCTGTCTCTGCTCCACCAGATGGCACTTCTTGGGGGAAGGTGGCAGGAGCGTCTCAGTCATGGTGTCCCCCCCAGGGCTGAGCTCGACGGGTACCAGGCTGTCCCCATAATAACAGTGCTGGGCCGAGCTGGGGCGGGAGGGTGTGCGGGACACACCCCTGCAGGGGGCACACGGGAGGGGACATGGCACCCCCTTCCTGTGAGAGCAAACAGGGCTGGGGAGACCCCCAGAGCTCCTGCCCTGAAGGGCACAGAGGGCCGGCTGACAGCCCACTTCCCTCCCCCCGGGACGGTCCCTCACCCCCACACCTGCCCCTGCACGGGGACGGGACTCTGTACGCCTGCCCCAGGGGGCTCCGACCCCCCTCCCGGCCCCCAGCACCCACCTCCCACCACTGAGACTCAGGGTCGCCCCTCAGCAGCTCGATCACATCGCCCGTCTGGAAGGTCAGCACTGGCTTCCCGGGGGGAGCAGGGTTGCCATGGTAATTCTGCACGGCCACCATCTTGGGACCTGCGGGTACAGGGCAGGAGGGGGCCCCCCGCTCAGCAACTTGGTCCTGGCTGGCAGCCTGCCCCTCACGGCTTCCACCCTCGACGGTTAGAAGCCACAATCCTACCACGCAGCGCAAGCAGGGGGAATGAGGACGTGGGGACCAGGCCAAGTGACAGCCGAGGTGCTGTGACGCCCACCGTGCACAGGCGGGGTCTCTGGCTGCAGCCCAACCCTCCAACCGGGCCCTGACCCCCCTGTGCGCGCTGGGCCCTGCCTGCAGCCTGCGGCTCGTCAGGAACGATCAGCGGGATACAGTTATGCGCGGAGAGGGAGCCCGGAGCCCGGGAGGCCGGGCCAGGCTGGGTGAGGCTGGGAGGCCACCGCGGCGTGGCTCCCAGAGTGACGGCTGGCACGGACGGTGGCTGACAGGGCCCGGGCCCCACGGACTCACCCGGTCCTGCTCCTGAGGCGTCCTGTGAAGGCAAGGGCAAACCACAGTGATCAGAGAGGGCGGCCGAGCAGCGCCACCCCCTGCCCCCCACACTCCCAGAGGGAAGGGTCGAGGCAGGAAGCGGGGGTGGGGGGGGTGGGGAGAGGGACACATCGCAGACTCCCACAGGTGCTTGTGACACTGCTTCACTATGTGACAACACCCCCCCACCCGTTCTCGCCTACACCTTCCACCGCTGTGCCCTTCCACGGCCCTGGGACATCCATCCCTTCCTCTCCCATCCCTGGGCATTAATTCCCGCCTCCTCCAGGAAGCCTGCCCTGAGCACGCCAGGGCCTCCCTGCTCTGAGCCTGGAGCTTGTCATCTCTCTCTGGGACATGTCCCGCTGCGTGTGACTAAATGCTAAGTCTTTCCTCCTCCATGAGGGCATTTTTGTACCCCACACAAGGCCTAGGAAGCACCGCCCAAGTGCTAGTTCATTTGACCAGATTCCGCAAGGTGGGCAAGATGTGATGTCTACACTCCATAAGTGAATTCAGGGACGTCATCCCTGAGTCAACTGGACAGAGGGCTCTGAGCCGCAGCAGGATGGGGGGCAGGTGGGTGGACACATGTCACGGAGCTGGGCTCCCACAAGCCACCGGGCTGGCAGAGCCTGGGGGCAGCCCAGGCAGGGCGATGGCTGTAGGGGCCTCCAGCTGGCTCTGCCCGGGGACCCACGGAGGAAATCAAAGGCCCCCGGTGACCAACAGTGGCCTGTGTGCTAGCCGGTGTGGCCCCAGGAGGGGTGAGATCAGGAAGGGCAGGGAGTTCTGGGCTCGGGCACACGGGCCGTGTGGGGTGCGGAGCAGCGGGAAGAGAACCGTCGGGAGCACTCACCAGGTCTGCAGGAGAACCTGAAAAGGAAGCAGGGGAGGCGTTAGCAGACCAGCCACCAGCACCGAGGACCGGGGGGCTCCCGCCCGCATGGCAGGAGCTTCCGGGGGTGCCTAAGTGGGTAAGCGAGGCAAAGGTCAAGGCCATTCATTGCAGATGTGGGTCACGGACATGCACAGCTGGTGACTACACATGTCTCTCAATTGCTTCTGCTGGTGAATTCTGAGCTCTGGCTTTAGGGGCCCTGGGGGGACCCCGGCCTGGCAGATGGATTTCCTGCACGGGCCAGGTCTGCTCCAACGGCCGCAGCTGCCTGAGCCCCTGGGGCACACCTGGGCTCGGAGGCAAAGTTCCCACAACCGATCAGTGATGGCCGCCACGGCGAGGGACGAGAGGTGTCAGTACGCGCGTGCCTAGCGGCCGGCACGCTCACTCCCAGGCCTGTCAGACAGAAGGCAGATATTCCCAGGGCCCTTTCCGCCTGCCCCGGGGTGGCCCGAGGGGAGGAGACAGTGCCAGGCTGGGCCCCAGCCATCTGGCTAGCTGGGCTGCCAGTGCACCACCGGACAAAGCAAGACCACGACACCTAACGTGCGGGGCTAATGTGACCTCAACACCATCCGACACGCACAGGGGCAGACTGCTCTGGACAGTCTCCAACGGCCCCAGCAGAGCAGGCCCAGCGGGCGTCTGACGGGGAGGAGCGGGTGACGTAGCTGGCACCCACACGGAAGATGCCAGCTTCCCACAGGAGAGGCTTTCTGCGGACGGCCAGCACCGTTCTGTCATCCTGGCCCCGGGGGCAACCAAGACTTAATCTGCCTTTCCTCGGGTCACGGGCACAGCCTGGAGCTAGAGCCGGTGAAGTCCAAGGGGTCCTGTCCAGAGCCCGCGCCCAGTACGAAAGGCTTGAGTGCTGGCCCAGCTCAGAACTCTCCGGAATAAAACCAGGTGTCCACCGCAGGCTTTTAATGACATGTGGGGGGCGCTCATGAGAACCTGGACTTGAAAAGATAGGAAATTGCCCGTCTGGTGACACACCAACTACAGGCATAACGAAAACACCCAGATGTAAGAAGAGACTGGGCGGGCGGGCGGTCGTGCTCCTGCAGAGGGGAGAGGCGTCCACGAACAGCGGCCTGCCCGGCTGGGTCATGAGTGGTCTGTCTTCTGCTTTACCCTTCACTACTTTTCCCACGTTTTCTATGGGAAACCAGGGGACTAAAAACCCAGAAAGTTTCATTTTAAATCAGAAACCTTAGAAGGAAATAGTATATTAAAATATCACCTTTGGTTATTTCTTGATAAGTTCAAGGGTGATATTTATTTTCTTTTTATTGCATTTTTTCTCTCCCTCCCCCGTCTCCCCCCAAATCTTTGGTAAGTGAATATATTACTTGTAGGCTCAGGAAAAAAAAAAAGCCAGAACACAAGAACTGTCCCGTCGCCTAATGTGAGGGACAGGCTGCCACCAGAGGGCAGTATGCAGAGGCAAAGCTGAAAAGCAGTTGGTGACTGTGGGCTGTGGCCACAGCGTCTGGCCCAGAGGCTCGCGGGGCAGACTGGCCATGCGACTGGCCATGCGACAAGTCTGCCTGACCCGTCTGGCCCTCCTCCCAGGTCAGGGTGCCAGGCCAGCTGTCCCAGTAAATGAAAAATGGACCAAATCTTCCACTCTGGGCGGTGGTGTGTCAATGACAAGCATCCCTGATAATTTTTCCATCTCCCTGGAGTGAGTTAATCCCAACTCTGAGCACAGCTTGCCCGAGTGTGGACGCAGTGAGACAGACCGCCTCAGGGGGGTGTGGGAGGATCTGGGGTGCCCATGTGAAGTTCCGGGAGCAGAGCTCACCCAGGCTGGTGCTGCAGGATGAAGGCTCGATGCCTGTTTCCCACTCAGTTTGGTGCTCGGCCAGCCCTGCCTGGGGTGGCTCTGAAGCCTTCAGCTGCCGCAGGCTCGGAACTCCCTGAAATCCGCCGCCCACAGGAGCCCGGCAGGCCCAGGTCCCTTCCCCTCCCTGAGCCTAAGGCTCCCTGCTGACCAACGGGCCGGCAGAGAACGAGAGTGCTGTAGGTGCTGTGCGTATGTATGCACACGCGTGCGTGTAAACCACCTGCCGACGGTCTGCAGCTGTGGCTGCAGAATGCCAGTCCTCTCCGCGTACAGGAGAACCAGGCATAAGGGACAATCACGACCACGTTCCTCTGTGATCGAAAACCTCCACGCACCTGCCAAGAATGTTCTGTGCCCGTTTTGGGGTAGAGAGTCTCCAAGTTTTAAGCGAGTGGGGCAGGGCATGTAAAGAGGCAGAGAGAAATGCCGGAGTACCCCAGGAGAGAAGGTTCTGGAAGGGGACGCCCCACCCGCTGTGCCTCTTGATACGGCATGACCTGGGGCAGGTGTCCTGTCCTCTCTGAGTCTTGGTTTTCTCATCCGGTCCCAGGCCCACGGGGTCCCCGTGGTAGTAAAGGAGAATATGTGAAGACGGCCTGGGCCAGGAGGGAGGAGCCAGGGCAGCCGTTGGCCATGAGACCCTTAGGTGGGAGCAGGCGGGAGGTCGGGGGGGGGGGCGCCAAGGACCAGCTCCTGAGGCCTGGGTGCTGTGGGCGGGGCGGGGCTGGGCAGGGGGCGGTACTCACTGATCTTGCAGGGAGGTGTCACTTCCAGACACTCCTTGTGCGCCCCGACGCCACACTTGGTGCACAGGTAGCCCTGGTAGAAGGTACCCCTGCCCGGGGGAGGGTGGGATGGGAGTCAGACACGGTGCCAAGGGCAAGGCCCAAAGACCACCAGGCCTGCCTTGCCGTCCGCTCCTTGGATCCCCCATCGTCCCTCAACACCCCAGGCCTCCAAGACCCCCGCCCGAAGATGCAGCCTGGTGCTGGCTCCCCGCCCAGGCAGCCTCTGGTCTTGCTCTGCCACATTGTGTAGCAGGCCCCAGGCACCCACAGGGACAGTCACGTCCCCTCTGGCTACATCCAAACACCTGATGGACGAATCTCATGACACTGAAGGGACACTCCCCGGCCCCTCTGGGCCCAGCACAGCTCTGTCCTGGTGAGGGGCAGGTGGTCAGGGTGATGGGACATAGGACAGACACTCCCCTGAAAGTGGGCTGGGGGTGGGAGGGCAGGTAGGGGCTGGGGCAGGGGCGCAGGCGGGCGGGTAGGGGCTGGGGCCGGGGCCTCACCTGAGGAACATCCTGCAGGCTTTGCAGTTGGTGGTCTTGTCAAAAGTGTACATCTGGAAGCTGTGGTGGTTGGCGTTGGCTTTGTCTGGCCTGATGTTTGACCTGTCGGGGGAACGAGGGCGGGGCTCCCTGAGCTCCCCAGAGTCAGTGTGTACGTGGGGACTGGCCAGGTCAGGAGCGGGGGCCAAGACTCACAGCCAGGATCGGCCCTGACACCCCATGCAGAACGAGGATCTGGGCGGGGGCTTTAAGTGGTGCCACGCTGGCCGGAGGGCCTCTGGGAGAAGGTAAGGGGCCATGTCTGAGGGTCTGCAGGCAGGTGCGGGATCTGAAACAACTCAGCTAACGAACGCTTAGGGGCCTCGCTGCACACAAACCTCAAGTGGAAAACCTAAACGGCACACTGACCCAAGTGCAGACGGGATGTGGCACGGCTAGGAAGGCCAGAGGCAGAGACGAACCGGAAGCTACCTACCGGGGGGGGGGGCGGGGAGCGCACCTGTCCAGGGCCCCAGCCTGCCCCTCTGCAGGACCCAGGTCAGAAGGACCCTGCCACTCTGGCCTCAAGGCCTCGTGGGTCTGGGGACCCTACTGGTCACCATTCTCTGCTGGATGTATTGAGGCTCCTTCTCGATTTCATGGAAAAGGAGCCCTGTGCTTTCACAAAAAAGCAAACACCCACTAGCCTGTAAGGCCCTGAGGACACAGATTACCGGGGGTCCAACTGGCACTGAAGCCGCCCACTGCTCTCTGGGCATGCGTGCCAGGCTCAGCCTCAGCCTCAGGGGCCTCAGGCAGAGTATAACACAGCTGGGGTGCTACCGAGGTGCGCCTGGGGTCTTGGGGTGACAGAGCCTGTCCCAGTCCCTGGGCGTTTGAAATACCCCCTGTCTGAGGGGGTCCTGGATAAAGTCCACCCGGGGCTCCCACGCCCCACTCGCCGTGGCTGCCCTTGAACTCACATGGCCATCTCAAACTGCTCCATCCACTTCCGTTTCATGTCTTCCGTCTTGCAGAAAAACTGGAAGCCCTGCTTTCCTTGGAGGTGGATTAAATAGAAGCCGTAGGACCACTGTGGGAGGGGACAGGGACACGCTCACAATGGGCATGGGCTTGGGCACAAGGACACATGCACGGTGTGTGCATGGCACACTCATGCCTGTGTCCGCACGGGCACACGCATGTGCATGTATGTGCGGGCACGTGTGCACGCCTCCAACAAGATGTCCCGGGACCCCTCTTCTACCCCCTCCGAGGTGTGCCCTCAACTGAACTCTCTGCGGGTTCAGCCAGAGCCGCCTCTAATGCTGGAGCCGGGTCCCCAGGGAGCCTGTGCTCAGAACTGGCCCACCCACTTTCAATTCCTAAATGTGATGCTCAAAAACTCGCTGCTCTGAAGTAAAACAGAAACCAAACAAAACAAAAGGCTGGAGAAGGCTGCGGCTGGGAGGCCCTGACAGCAGAGCCAGCCCACAGCTGCCCTGACCACCCACCAGGCCTGGCCATCTCTGGGGGCTCCCTAAGAGGCCCAGAAAGAGTGTGGAAAGTCTGAGCCCGTTTATGTTAGAAAAGATGAAGGGAGAGAGAAATGAGGGAGGGAGGAGACAGGGAAGGAGGAGACAGAGAAGGAAGGGGGGAGTGGGGTGGGAAGGGAAGGAAGCAGAGGAGGAAGGGAGGAGGAGGAGGGAAGAAAATAGGGCAGATGGAGGATGGCACAGTGAGGACACACAAATGCCCCGCCCACTGAGACCCGCCTGGGGTCCTTCACCTGGAGGGACTGGGAGTGGGCGGGGCTGGGGCAGGCAGGGGCCCTTCCTTCCCACCCTATGTGATGGCATTCTTTATCGTGAAGGCACACCACCTTCCTGATGAAGACACCACCGAGGGCAGGACGGGGGCAGGATGGAGGAAGGAAGCCGGGAGCCTGGCCCTACTCGGTCCCTCGTGGGGCACTACCCCTCCTCAGGCTCAGAGAGGAGGGGCTGGCTGGCAAAGAAGGAGGGTCCAGGTGCTTACCATTTTCCCGTGAGACTAGGAAGCATGAGGAGAGGGGAAGAAAAGGGGAGACAGGTGATTAAGAGACACAGACTGGCCCTGGGCTGCCCTGCCACCACCAAGGGCAACAGCCTGCCTCCCAGAGGAGGGGTGCCAGGGGCTGGGACCCCGGGACTGTGATTTCAGCCTGGAGTCTGGGAACTGTTTCAGACATTGGGTGGGGTTGAGTGGGTTAGCCCGGATAGCCCCTCCAGATGGTTAGCTGCATTCTGTAGTGCAAGCCCTGAAGTCCAGAGTCTGGGATTTTTAGCACATTGGCTCTTGGCCCGCAGATCTAGCCAGGGATGCACAGGGCAGGTGCTCAAACACTGAATGCAGCAGCCTCTGAACCAGACTGAACCAGAGGGCGTGGCAGCCCCGCCCCCAGCAGCCACGGCCTCGCCCCCAGTAGTCCCAGCCCCACCCCCCAGCAGTCAGAGCCCCACCCCCCCGCTGTCACGGCCTCGCCCCTAACAGTCTTACCCCCACCCTCAGCAGCAGTCACTGCTCCACCCTCCGGGAGTAACGGCCCCACCCCAAGCCCTCACAGCTCCGCCCCCAGAAGTCCCAGCCCCACCCCCCAGCAGCCATGGCTCCACCCCTAGAAGCCATGCCACGCCCCCACCAGTCAGCCCCACCCCCCAGCAGACACACCCGCCCCTAGCTGCCAAGGCCCCACCCCCAGCCGCCATGCCACGCCCCCACCAGTCAGCCCCACCCCCCAGCAGACACACCCGCCCCTAGCTGCCAAGGCCCCACCCCCAGCAGCTATGCCTGACCCCGGGCAGTCAGGGTCCCATCTTCCAGCAGTCATGCCCCTGCCCCTAGTGGCCCCACCCCCCAGTTGGTCGGTCCTTGGGGTCTAAGGACCCACAGCGAGGCCCACCCAGGGCCCTCCTCCAAAGGGAAGGCCTGCTTACTGCAGGCGGGAAGGTGGGCTGGAGTCAGACGGCCATGGTCTAAAGCTTGGCTCTCTCCAGAGCCCCTCCGCATTTCCCTCACCTGGGAACCATGACCCCAGGGGTGTCTACCCCCAGAGAAAAGTCAGACGCAGGCCAGGGAAGTGCGGGGCTAGGCACAGAGTGAGCATGCTGTCAACACAAGTCAGTGTCAAGAGGGTGACAGAAGGGAAGCCCACGTCCACACTGCAGGGCCACCCAGTCCGGTCAGCAGCCTGTTCTCAAGGCCTCCCCACGACCCCTCCCTCAGCCCAGGAGGTGCCGGCCACCGCCACCAGGCAGCCCAGGGCCCACCTTCTTGACGTCCTTGTTGTTCATGGGGTCGTCGGTCATCTTATGGAACAGCAGCTCGATGACCTCCTTCAGCTCATAGCTGTAGCCCCTCCTCTTGCACACGATGACCACCTTGTCAAACAGGAACAAGTACCTGGCCCAGCAGTGCGGCCAGGGGCCCCGTCAGCGCGGCCAGCGCCCTGTGCTCTGAGGCCCTGGGACGGCCGGCGCGTGCCTAGGGTGGGCATCAGGAGGGCTGATCCCATGGGGCACCTGGTGGCTCAGTCGGTTAAGCGTCCGACTTCAGCTCAGGTCATGATCTCACAGTTTGTGGGTTTGAGCCCCGCGTCGGGCTCTTTGCTGACAGCTCTGAGCCTGGAGCCTGTTTCAGATTCTGTGTCTCCCTCTCTCTCTGACCCTCCCCTGCTCACACTCTCTCTCAGAAATAAAAAATAAATAAATAAATAATTTTTTTTTAAGGAGGGCTGATCTCTCACAGAGCCAGAGCCCCACCCCTACACCTGGCTCACCTGCCAACTCTGACAGGGCCCCCGGCCTCCCCCCACCGGCAGGTCTCAGTTTCTCCATAAAACTCCTCCAGGAAGCCCTCCTTGGCTACCTACCCCCATGGTCCAAGCCTCATATGGGCCCCTCATGCCCCCACGCCTCATCTTCCACTAGACTGGAAGCCTTGTGGGGGCAGGACCCCTATCTACTCTGCCCGCAGCCCCAGCCCCAGGCCTCGCACAGGGGTGGTGTATGTGCAGGGCTCTGAGCAAGCAGGGGCCGAGCTAAGCTCATCTGGAGGCTGCCTGCCGTCCCGCAGCAGAGCTCAGGGGGCCGCACCACCTGTCTCAGGGCGCCGGGGCCTCTGGCTGCCCCCTTGCCCAGCCCAGTGCCTGCCAAGGACACAGGCCTGAGCGGGCACCCAGCTTTCCACGGGAAAAGCTGCTTCCAGGCCGGTGGGGAGCCAGTGCCCACCCACAACGCGCTGCCATCCAGCCCGGGGCCGCCGGCCCGCTCACCTGTCCTGCTTGGTGTGGTTGACTATGGACCGGACCTTCAGCTCCCCGTCAATCTTCGGCCTCCCATATTCCTCCAGTTTCACTTGCTGGAAAGAGAGGGCGAGGCTGTGAGCCTCGGCGCCCAGGCGGGCCGGCTTCCCACCGGCACGGATGGCAGAAGGGAGGGAAGCGAGGCCGTGCCTCCCAGCTGGCGCGCAGGACGGGGAGGGCTGGGCCCTGCCCCAGCCCCGAGGAGCACTCCCTGCAGCACGGCGGGAACAAGGAGCGACTGACGGCCTCGTCGGGGCAGCGGGAACAGGCCCCTGTTGTGTGCGGCGCGGAGCGGGGCCCTGGAAGGAAGGGCCAGAGAAGCGGGGCCGAAGAGAACAAACAGTGCCTATCAGACGGGGCTGGCCGGGCGGCGGGCCTGCCGCTTCCGCTGAAGCCCTCTCTGCTCTGCCAAGACCTCAGATCTCACGTTCGCTGGGCTTGTATCTCCGCTCTGCTTTGATTCGGGGCGGGCGCGTCTTGACACGTTCCCTGCGTGGCTCACAAAGGAAGGGTCTACCCACACCGGAGAGGGGAGGGGGGACGTGTGCCGCGCGCTGGCGGGGCCGTGGCAGACGGTTCTCACGCTGCGTGTCCTGAATTCTGCAGGAGCTGCCGGGCCAAGGCTGAGAGCCCAGCTCCGGGGTCACACAGGGCGGGGTGAGCACCCCGCGCAGCTGCCTGCTCCTGTCCCACCTCTAATGTGCCGAAGCCAAAGAAGCACGCCCACCTGCTGGTGACGGGGCCTTGGGGGACCGCAGGGCTGGGTACACGCACCCGGCCCACGGGGACGCTCCACACCTGCTCGGCACCGCTGTTTCATTTTTGTTATTTAAGGAACACGACTACTCACATGTAAAAACTTTAAAAAAAAAAAAAATCCCAAAACATTGGTGATCACAGGGGCGGAGGACCCGACAGCCTTGGGCCCCACCGGGCGCTAACTCCACTGCCAACGGGCTGGGGCACATCTACCCTTCACCTGCTCGGCCCTTGGGCAGTTTCCTGTCTTTCTGAAAAGGCAGAAAAATGGGGTCGCTTCATAATGCTAATCAGCAACCTCTGTACACGAACGTCTCCCGCACCACTCGTGTGTCAGGTGGCCTGGTGGGTGAGGAAGGGGCAAACGGGCATCTAGGGGCTAATCTGTGTTGACTTGCCCCGGCAGACTCGCCCGGACTCTGCCTACTTCAGGGACAAGACAGTGAAAGTGCTTCTCGGCCAGAGGAACTCCGTACTCAGGGGACATCCGGCCATGTCTGGGCCCCCCCAAGGGTGGGGTGCTATTGGCACCCAGGGCGCCTGGACAAGGCGGGGCTGCTGGAAATGCTATAATGCACGGAACAGACCCCAGAACAAAGACTGTTTCCAAACATCAACAGTGTCATTTAACATTCGGCAGATCTCGACGTGCCTGGGGGCTCAGTCAGTGAAGCAAGCGCCCGACTTGGGCTCCGGTCATGATCTCTTGGTTCATGGGTTCACGCCCCGCGTGGGGCTCTGTGCTGACAGCTCGGAGCCCGGAGCCTGCTTCCCATTCTGTGTCTCCCTCTCTCTCTGCCCCTCCCCCACTAGTCCTCTGCCTCTCTCAAAATTAAATAAACATTTAAAAAAAAACAAACATTCGGCAGATGTCTGAGAAGCTGCTACAGGCTGGCAGGAAGCAAAGCGTCTGCCTCCCGGGCTGCCCATCTCCACTTCCCAGCAGGACACAGCGGCTCCCCGACGCCCCAAGGCCGAGCCTCTGATGAAACAGGCGGGAGAGAGGGTCCTGTGAGGTGTCAGCCCTGCCTAACGAAGTGGGGGGAGGGGAGAAGCCGAGGGCCGCTCCCAGACATTGCGCCCCTCCCGGGGACAGCGGAGCTGAGGGTGGACAAGGTGCCTCGGGCCTCCGGGAGCCACAGCCGGCTCGTGGACCCAAGAGAGTCCAGGCCAGGGAGGGGGAAGTCAATACCATTCCTCCCCCAGACCCTGCCCCTCAGCAAGCGGGCCACCTTTGTGCCCCACGGGGCGTGTGGGTGACCAAAGTGTGCAGGGTGCACGGACAGACGGACAGAGTGTGTTCACCCACCTGCTTCCTTATATCAAGATCGTGCAAGCAATTCCTAAAACGCATCTATATGGTCATAATTAGTCTCCACGCCTTGGAGAATCGGCCACACTTACCAAGTTTTCTATACAACTCTGAAATTCGCTGATTTTCTTCAGAGTCTCCTTGTCCCGCTTTACTTCATTTATGTACATCGCCAAGTCCTGAAACCAACGAGGTGGGGGAGGGGTTGGTGGGCCGCCCCCCGCCCCCTCGTCCACGTTTCCAAAGCACCTGCCACCAACCACCACAGCTGCTGGGCCTTCGTGACCCCATGGGGGTGACACAGGAGTAAACTGAGGCAAGGAGGTAAAACCAACGTCCAACAGCCCATGTCCCTGGCCTGAGAACCCCAAGTCCCTGCCTCCTAGGACAGTGTCTCTCTGCCCTGTCACTCGACCCCCTTCTAGCTCAGACTAACTGGAAACAGTCAGCGAGCCAGACTTGACCGGCCTGCTCCTTGGCCCTGGGGAAGTGGGCGCGCGGCAGGCCCCAGCTCCCCCACAGCCGCTCCAGCTCTGGCCGTCCACGTGCTGCTGCCCTCCCGCTGGCCGCCAGGGGGCAGTGTCCGCTGCAGTCGGGCAGCCGGCAGCCGGCACTGGCCAGGGCCGGAGACCCAAGGAGGACAGGCTGCCTCGGGTGGAATCCCTGAGTCGGCTCCAGCCTCCCCTCCGGCACCCCTGCCCGTTCCTACAAGGAGCCCACTGGCGGGGCAGAACCTGAGACCTCAAGGCAGAAAGGTTACAGGACAGGCCTGGCTCATGAGTGACACCCCCCCCAGCACAGACCACCCAAGGGTCAGGGGACGGACCCCTGCCTTCTGGAAGGAGCTCTTCCAAGCGGGTCCTTGAGGAAGGAGAAAGGAAGCCCAAAGCCCAAAGGAGACAGATGTCAGGTTTGCGCCCTGGGAGGCACTGGGGGCATGGCCCTCCCTCTGCCCAGCCTCCGTGCTGAGGGGACCCACCCCATGCTGGGCATTGTGCTAGGCCTGGGGACCCAGGTGAGCATGACTGGGAGCAACGGGCACAAAAGGGGGGACAGCCATCCCCGGGGTCAGAACCGTGGGGGGTGGCAGTCTTCCTGGGAAGTGTCACCTTGCAAGACTAAGGATGTAGAGGCCATAGCCAGGGGACAAGGAGGAGGTCCAGCCTGAGCCAACGGAGATAGAAGACGACGGGGAACATCATTTTGGCCTGGGAGTGGCCAAGCTCATCTGGAATTTCAGGCATCAGTGGCAAATACAGCTGCAAAGCCAGGCATGCCCAGACGTGGAGCCGGAGCCTGACTCAGCGGGCAGTGGGGAGCCATAGAAGGGTTTTGAGCAAGGGGATGGCATGAGCTGAGCTCTCCTGCCGGGGACTTACTGCACAGTGGGCTTCCAATGGACAAGCAGGAGGGGGAGGAGGTGCGGCTGGGCGGAAAGGGCATTTCAGAAGCCAAGGCCACAGGACCGGGCAGTGGGCAGCCCAGATGGCCCAGACCGAGTCCGTGCCTGGGAACTGGCAACGGCCCTGATGGACGGTCGGGAAGGCAGGAGGAAGGGAGGCCCAGGGAAGGCACCGTGGGCCGGGCAAGGCGAGGGATCTGGACCCTTGGGGCGAGTGCCTGAAGCTCCCTCCACCCCCCTCCCTGCCCATGGGTGGGTCTCACCACCCCCCTCCCCCTGCTCTGCCTCTTGTCTTTCCAGGAAAAGCTCCATCTCTGGTCACAGAACAAGGCTTGTGAGTGAGCCCAACTCCAGTCAAAGAACAGACTTGGTATGTGAAGCCCCAGGTTGGACGGGCCCCTCCCCTGCCTCAGTTTACCCACCCACCTGCATGGCTTCCAGTGCTTCTTTGAGCTGCTGCCTCTCAGGCCGATCAGTGGAATGGCTCAGAAGTTCCTGGACGTGCGAGAGAGCGGTCACGGGTCACGGCTCGGGGTGCCGGCCTCCCACCAAGCACCGGGTGTGGGCACAGAGCAGAGTCCCTGCCCCCTGGCCCTAGGCTCTGGTGCAGCTGCCCAACCCAGCAGACCGACTGCAAGGCCCCACCCGGGGACACGCTCCTTCAAGGTGAGGGGTCCCCAGACCTTGTGCAGAACAGGAGGGACTTTGAGGCAGCAGGGAGACTAGCTGATTCCCTGAAGAGCCTCACACCGCGCAGAAACCAGGCTCTCTGCCAAGTCTGTCCAAAAGGACTTCCTATTTCTATTGCTGTCACGGCTACCAGGGAGCTCCGAGTCTGGGTCACACGATCAAGCCCAGGCCATCTCTTACTCCCGATCCGAGGACATCCTTCTGTCTCAGTTTTCCGGATCTCTTACTGATTTCAATCCCAATTTCCCTTCGCACAGTTACCGCGATAAACATTCCTAGTACAGCCGCACAGGTCATTCACACGGATTTGCCTGCTCGCTGCTAGCTCACGCTGGCCCACCTGGGGCCCATTCAAGCCCCTGGAGGCCGCCAGGCCCCCACCCCCTCTGTGGAGCTGGCTCACCTTCAGGAGGAGGTGGTATTTGAGCACCCTCTGCATGGGGACCACGAGCAGGTCTTGAAGCTTGAACTTCCCGTCCTGGACCTTCAGCGTGCATTCCTGGGCAGCAATGGTGCAGGGAGTAGATGCCGACTTCCTTGCCGGGACCGCGGGATCCCAGCGCTCCCATCCCCCAGCCGGCGGTGGGGGGTGGACCTGAGCCCTGAACTGAGGCCGAGTGTCTGGCCCTTCCCTGGCCTGCGTCTCCAATCCGGCGGTGTCTCCCAAAGCCCCTTCCCAAATCAGGTGTGTGTGGGGCGGGGGGGGGGTGGGGTTCCCAGCAGGCAGGCGGGGGCCCGCCCCTCTTCGTAGCCTCTGGAATCCGCAGCGGCCCCTCAAGGGCTCTGGGATTCTAAGCGGCCCTGGCGCTGACCAGCTCTGCCTGAGACCCCAGGGAGGCCAGCTCACGCCAAGGCGGGGCCACCTCAGGAACCAGGGCCCCCCACTCATTTCCTGGACACACAGGGCATCATGCGTCTCCAAGGGACGTCCTTCCCAGCATTGCCAGAGCAAAGGGACCCTGCACCAGGATTCACTCTGGAAAGGATTTGGCCAAATACACCAGGGGGCCCCTGGCCTTGGGGAGCAGCTCAGGTCCCCCCGAACAAGGGGGGTGGGGAGGGGGCCTGGAGAGGGGCTCAGGTGGGAAATTGGACAAGTGCCAGAGACTGCCCTAAGCCTGGAGGGCAGGTGATGGGAGGGAGTCTCCCTGGCTTCCAGCAAATGTCTGTCACCTGGGGTCCCCATGGGGTAGTGTCAGGGCTCAGTCACAGCCCCTCGCTGAGCCGGACCGGGCCCCAGGGGTCTGCTCTGCTGCACCCAGCGGACTCAGGCCTGGGTTGGTGACCTCCCCCTGCCCTCCCCGCACCAGCAAAATGCCGAGGAAAAAAATCACCCAGAAAAACATCTACAAAAACCATTCATTAGTGCCTTCATGTCCACTTCCCCGCAAAATGGGCAAGCGAGGGACCAGTGAGCTGCAGCCTTGGAGACAGGGACGGGGTTGGGGGGGTGACGGCCGTGAGCCCCCATTACCTCGACCTTCTGTCGGAAGTCCTCCCGGCCGGCCAGGAGCTGGTTCAGCGTGTTCTGGGCGTGCTCCATGTGGCTGCAGTATTCCCCGTAGATCAGGAGCCTGGACGGAGAGCACACGTGTGCACGCACAGCTTGGTGACACACCGCGGCTCGGGCCTCGGTCTAGGGCCCCGGGAGGCACCGCAAGTATTGGGCAGACAGGTCCCTCCCGGAGGCAGCTCCTCACTGGGGAACCTATTTCGTGGTTCCGTTCTCTCCGTGTGGCTGCCTTCCCCCCTCCCGAAATACTGCCAGGCCAGGGAGGGGGGGCTGCGAGGGTGCTGGGGACAGGGAGCTTCCCACTCTCTCCGCACCCAAGGAGGCCCCCCTTCTGTGGGCCTCACTGCCACCCAATCCGGTCCCCGGAAGAGCCAAAGTCGGAGAGGAGAGCAGCCCCTCCCCCAGGGCTGGGGGGCCCAGGAAGGCTCAGGCTCCTGCCTGCACACGGAGGCCTGTCCTCTGCACCTGCCCGGGGTGGGGGCCACTGGGGTCAGCCCTTGTCGCCTCCACAGGACACCGACGCTCTCTGCCGGGGTCCAGGCACCCCCTCTCTCAGGGCAGGGCGACGTCGGCCCCAAACGCCTTGCTCCACATCCAGAAAACGGGCATGGCCACCCAGGCTCAGGGCGCTGGGAGGAGCCTTGGACCACTCCTCCCCCCAAGACCCTCTAACACCACGAGTCCCCCATGGAGCCCCCGGCACCAGGAGCCCAGCACTCTCTGGGCCTTGGGTACTAGCCTGAAGCTTTGTCTCTGAAAGCCGTGTTGCCCGACCACGGACTCGGCCCCAGGAGCACCACACAGGTGACGATGCTGGTCGTGACAAGTGACGACAGACACTCCTGCCTGGTACCACCTGTGCGACACTGTGACCCCTTCACCCGCTTATAAAGGGAGGAGTGATGAGCCCCATTCTTCAGGCAGGGAAACCGAGGCTGCCGTGAACTTGCTGAAAGTCACCAGCTAATAACAGGTATGGCCTGGCCACCGACGCAGCTTCATCAGGAGGCTGGGCCCCATCCCAGCCCCTCCAGTGACGCCCTGTCAGATGCCACTGGATGCTGTGTGACAGCAAACGTCTGGAGGCCACCTGCCTGTCCCTGTGCACGCTGCCGCCAGCGGGGCCCTGACGAGGTGCTCAGGGCAGGCAGGCGGCCCGGCGCCCATCCGAGGAGGCTGGTACTGAGAAGGGGAACCCTGGTCGGGGGGTGGGGCCTGGGGACAGACGACACAGACATTGCTCGCAGCCCTGAGAGGACAAAGCCGCAGGCCCGGAGCGTATTTTCCACCCCGCGAACGGGCGACCCCAGGGCGGGCAGCTCCTCCCAGCTCCCACTGGCGTCCGCGCCCGTGTGTGCTCAGAGGCTGCGGGGCGCATGCTCTGCCCAGTGGCTGCCCCTTCTCAAGCCCCCCTGAGGTATGTGGCCGGTGCCCACCTGCAGGGACGCGGCCGGCCTCGAGAGCAGAGACCCCGCGACTCCCGCGAGGGACGGATCCAGCCGCGGACCTCGCACGGAGTTCACCTTCCGGCCACCGTAAAGGAGAACGTGCCACAGCCAGGGCCGTGTCCGCGGCCTTGCAGGCACCCGGCCTGGCTATGCCTACGCTGCGCGGACCCGATGCCACCTGGCACGAGAACCCGGGCCCCGGTTTCTGCTTAAACGAGTCTGTTATTAGGCCAAGAATTCTGGCATAAAAGTTGATTAAAACTCATCATCTCTGCAACCATCTGGGGCTGGAGACTCCAAGGTTTCTGCCAAATTGTTTCCAATGAGCAGTCCTGGCGACGGCCCAGCCGCTCCGGTGCAGGGAAGCCTGTGTGGGCAGTGGGAGTGCCTCTCCTAGGCACGGGGCGCTCACAGCTCTGGGGTGGGCCAAGCCAGCCCGAGGGACTCCCCTCCTTCACTTCAGAACTACCCTGGCTCCTCTTGGCCCCAGGTTTTGGACAGGGTGTATGGAGAGCGGGTCCCAACCCTGCTTTCCTGATGGCGCACCCCACCCCACCCCTAGCTCCAGACCGCACACTGCACTTCCTGCAACCTCTTCTGGCCGGCAAACTTCTATGCATCCCTCAAAACCCTGCCCCATCATTTCTAACTCTGTGACCTTTCCCCTCCCAACCCCATCCCCGGGTTCAGGGAGGCGAGACAGAACAGAACGACACAGTCAGGGAGTCTCTGGGGAGAGGCCTGTCCGAAGCTGAGTGAGAGTCCACCCTCTGCACCGGCTCTGAGCTCGAGGCGGGTCTCATGGGTCCTCATGCTGCAGCACTGAGCCCGGAGGCCTGGCTGCGAGTGAGCTGACCCTACACCGCCTGCCTGGACCCAGGAAGCACAGCCACAGCCGATTCCGGGGGACAGGGGAGCCACTCTGTGTAAGAGAGCAAAGCTTTAAGCACTTGAAGAGGCTGAGCCCTGGGAGGCGCTCACAGCTGAGCTCAGCCTGTCCTGGAACAGCGGCCCGAGGCTCTGGGCGGCGATGTAGCTTCTCAAGACGCCTAGCAAAGAGCAGCAAGCCAGAGCCCAAAGGGCATCCATGAGGCGCCCAGACCAGTCTTCTGGGCCCCCATCCTGGGACCCAGGCCATGCAGGTCTGAGCCCTCATTCACCTCTGCCGAGCCGGTGAAAGGAGTGCGGAAAGGTCGGGCTGAAGAGTGAGCCCGAAACGCAGGCGCACGGAGCCTCAGGATGCGGGGGTATTTGGAAACAGGGTCTTGGCAGTTACAGCAAGGATACAGAAGAGACCACGCCTGATGAGGGTGGGCCCTAAATCCACCGGGAGTGTCCTCGTAAGAGAAAAGGACACAGGGACATAGGAGAGGAGCCGCGTGAGGACACAGTAGAGACCGGAGGGCGGGCCACTGGCCAAGGGACACCCAGGGCCACCCGCAGCGGGAAGGGGTAAGTAAGCTCCTCCCCAGAGCCCCCGGCGGGAGCACCGCCCTGCCCACACCTGGATCCGGGCCCCGCGAAACCGAGAGAATACATTTCCGTCCCACGCGCACTCCGGCCTCTGGCCCTGCCCTGCCCCGTGCCGGGCGCCGCGGGCCGCGGACCCTAGCGGCCTAGCAAAGGAAGTCACTTAAGGAAGTGAAAGCCGACAGTCCCTCATTTTAACCTTGAGCATCTTGTGCTGTTGAGAAAAATTATCCAACGCTTGGAAGTCATGTGACCCACGCACAAGGGCTTCATTCACGGCTCAGGGGCTCCGGAGGCACCTGGGAACAGCAGGAGGCCTGGGCCATCGGGCCAGGCAGCGTCGGGGACCTGGCAGCAGACTGCTGGGGTGCAGATGCTCTCTGCCCTGTCGGAGAGGACACCCCAGCCATGTGCGGCTGGTGGTGCTGCCTCATGTCTGCCTCCTTCCCCGCTGACTCGGCACCCTGGCGCCCTGTGCACCGGCCTCACACACCGTTGGTAGATGTTAGACTCAAGCTGGGTGTGTAGCCGGGTGCGTGTCTGTTCGAGGGCTACGTCATGTAACTTCCTGACCACACATGTCGGACCCCGCTGTTGGGGGAATAAACGCATCTTTCAGGGGGACCCTGACCTGGCCCCTGAGTGACTGCATCGCTCTGGCCCTCATCACAGAACCCCAAACTCCTGCAGGGCCCAGGGACGAGGCCAGAGCAAGTCCCGGACACGGGGGGTCGCTCCCAGCCATACGCTGAGGACACAGGAGCAAGTCAGGACCACGGCCAGGTGGCCACTGCTCTCCTGACCTCAACTTCCCCACCTGGGAAAGGAGGCTCAGAAGGAGGGGAGGGGCCTAAGGCCTCTCCAGGTCCCAGGGTCCCAGGCAGCGCTGCCGCGGGGGCTTGAGGAGCTCGGCCACAGGTGGGCTCTCCCCCTGCAAGCGCTGCCGTGACCACCCAGCCTCTGCGACCAGGCCTGCGGGCAGGATCACAGCCAGTGGGCAGCACAGCCCGGCCCACCGCCCGGAGCAGCCAAAAGCCATGGGGCGCTAACTGCCCGCCTGTGGCACTCCCTTTCTCTGGAAACGTCCAGGGTGCCTGGGCGGGTGGAGATGCCTTCAATCTTCTTCTGATGGGCGCTCCTTCTAAAAGCACTTGTAGAAAGATCCAGAGAGTTCCTCCTCAGAATCAGGCCCCTTGGCCCTTGGCCACTCAGCCAGCCTTTCCTGCTCTGGGGGTGGCTCAATGTGTCCCAGAGCCACCCTGGTCCGCAGCCTCCCTCCCACACAAGGATGAGGGTCGGCTCCCCTGGCACACGGGCTTGCAGCCAGGGGAGAGGAGGCTCTGCTGGGGACAGGCAGCGGGTAAGGGAGCCAGCATGTCCCCTACCCCAGGGCCCGCTGGCATGCCCACGTCTGCCCGTGCCTGGAGAAAGTGCATCTGCCCTCTGGCCACATCGGCCACCTGTCCTCAGGCACGGCCTGCTCCCTTGTGCCTGCCTGGGACCCAACCCATGGCCCGTAGAGGAAAATCAGCTCAGGGATACCTGCCCACACGGAGGGGACAGAGCGCCCTGGCTAGAGCCGCAGAGCACGCCGGGAAAGCCGCTTCAGGGGCTCGTAGGTGAAGGCCCAGGAATCCAGCCCTGGGATGGGCCGCCTGGCCAGGAGGCTGCGTGAGCTGAGCTGATGGTCACCTGGCAGGCGCTGCTGGGGGCTTCCTCGCAGACGAGGACGAGATGGACCCAGGGTGCCCACCAGCCGCCACGGGCTTCCCCCTCAGACGCTGCAGAGTGGACTCCGGAACTGGCATTCTTAAGCTCCCAGGTGGCTCTGATACAGGCAGGCAGAGGAGCCGTCAAACACAGAAGCTTCAGGCACCTTCTCAGAGTCCGAGGGGCAGGAGCCAGGGCACCGTCTCCCAAGGGGCCTCCGGGACCTCAGAGACCGGAGCAGCGTCCTCTGGGGCCCCCGCAGCACCGGGCATCTGGCGAGTCCTTGCGCCGTCTCGTTTCATGCCTGGCTTTAAAGACGTGGCTGCCCACGCTCCGTGAAGAAAGGCGGGGTCGGAGACCTTCACCAAGATGGCAGAGCCATAGAAGCTTCCAGAATCCCAGTCCTCCCCTGCTGGGCTCCAGCAGGACATTCTGGGGCTCGGAAGGTATCTCCGCACTCCTCCATCCACGGGGTCACAGACAGAGGAGGTTAACAAACAGACTCAGGGAGGCCTCCCGAAGGCAATGTAATTCTTTGAAGAGCTTCCTGCGCTGGTTCCTAAGGGAGCTGCCAGTCTCCTCCACCAACAATGCCGGATCCGGACGAGGGGCCCAGATGGTTGGAGGAGCCATGTTCAGGGGCATGTTTCTGGCCGTGGGGGAAGCCGCCACCATCTGCACGTCTAGACTCAGCCTGACTGCGCACGGCGCCAAGGGGAGGAGAGGCGGCCTGGAGGCTGACGGGAGCACCTACGCCCCCTGGCGCTGCGTGGGCCCTTGCCCTGACGCTGCAGGCACTTGGATGAAACCGGGTCACCATCAGAGGGTCCAGGACTGAGCTTGTTGGTGCCAGAAGCACGGCTTCCCCGCGCTGGGGGCTGCAGCTGGCTTATGCCGGGATGGCCGGGTGCCTGTGCCCACAGCTGTGCTGCATACCCACCCTGTCACCGGGCCCGGCCTCTCCGCCTGCCCGGCCACCAGAGCCCTTCGATAGACACAGACAAGCCGCGTTGCGATATAGGCCTGGCCTCGGTTAACCCTCAGGGCGCCACGTGGTTCAGACACCATCATCGTCCCTCAGAGACAGAGTAGGAAGTTGCGGCCCTGCGACACCACAGGCAAGGGAGCAGGGAAGTGGCCTCAACCCCAGGCACCCTAAGCCCGGAAGCCCCTTCCCCAGGCCTGCAGGGGCAGGTTAGGGTCTGCCGTGAGGCCCCGTGGACGCCCCAAGGGCAGGGAGGGGCTTGAAGACAGGCCTGCCACTCACCTCTCTTTGAAGTCAAGGAAGACTTTGGCCAGGGTGCTGCCCCCGGCCATCATGGACACGTCGATGGCCCGCAGGAAGCTGTGATGCACTTTAATTAGGTCCTGGGAAGAGGAAGCAGTGAGCATGTGAACGGGCACGGCGGGCCAGTCTCTTCTGCTGCACTGGACTCAGAGAGGCCCGGGCGCTGGGCATGCACTCCACGCAAACACTAGAATGTGCTGCAGGGCCGGGCATGTGAAGGGACCTCTCGGCCTGCTCAGACACGGGGGGCCCAACCGGGGCTGGCCCTGGCACCAGAGCGGGACAGTGACGACCCCAGGAGGCTGTTCCTACCCAGCATCCTTGTACCGTCTTGCTGTGTGCAGACAGAGGGGCTCTCTGCCGTGCTCTTAGGTTCTGCAGGAGGGAGTCCCTCTGTGGGGAGTGTTCCTCCACGTTTCAGAGCAGTTGGGCAACCAGCAGGCAGCACCCCGGGGCTCCCCACGGCCCAATCCAGGCTCCCGGCACCCCAGGGCTCCACATGACCCCCAATCCAGGCTCCCGGCACCCTAGGGCTCCCCACAACTCCCGATCTAGGCTCCCGGCACCCTGGGGCTCTCCACGACCCCCAATCCAGGCTCCCGGCACCCCGGGGCTCCCCATGACCCCCAATCCAGGCTCCCGGCACCCCAGGGCTCCCCACGACCCCTAATACAAGTTCCCAGCACCCCAGGGCTCCCCATGGTCCCTAGTCCAGGCTCCCATTCTCCCCATGGCCATTTGTGCTGGCCACCACCCGAGGCAGGATGGAGTTTGAGTCTGGAGTCTGCCTTAGCCTCAACCAGGAGACCAGCAGCCACCCCTCAAGCTGATGACGGGCTGAGGGGGTCGGGCAGGAGCTGCTGTGCCCGCCGGGCATCCCTGGAGGAAGCCCACCCACGTGTAGCTTCTGGATCCTCACGCCAACCCTCCCCACGCTGCTGACCATGTCAAGGTGAACCTCCTTACAGGGGACCACCTTCCTGTGTCCTCGTTCAGTGTGCAGAGCAGTTGAGGGGCTCTCCTCAAAGAGGTGGAGGGGACACAGTTCTCTCCGGCTGCTGACACCCCCCATGTCTCTTCTAGGGCCGGTGTGAGCGAGCTACACTCACAGCACAGACAGTGGACAAGGAAAACTCTCAGAAACCCTGTCCTCTGGTCTCCTAAGACCCAAGGGAAGGGCAGCTACTCCCCTCCTATCCATCTGTCGGAAAAACACCCATAGTTCCGACCAACCACGCAGCTCTCAGGACCTGCGGGGACAGACGGGCTGGAGCCTGCCTGACGTCGGAGCCGGTTAGAGCCCAGCCGGTGAGCTGCAGGCCGGGACCCTTACCTCCAGGTTGATGAAGATGGCCGTCATGTCCGCCGGGCTCAGCACTGGCCTCAGCGGGGCCATGTAGTTCTGGAACAGAGAAGCCCATTGCTGTCAGCTCGCCTGGAGAGGGCCAGCCCCCTCTGAGGCCAGAGCCGCCAACGTAACTGTCCCCAATAGTGTCAGCACACTGCGTGCCCTGGTGAAGCACACTCCCTGCTTAACCTGCTACATGCATCACTTCCAGGACAGCAGCATCTGCCCTGGAAGGTCGGCCCCGCCCCGGGGCAGAGACCGACTGCCGGCTTAGCACTCGGCTATGCGGAGGGAGGGTGGAGGCCTGCCGGGCCCTGGAGGAAGCTGACCTGGGAGCTGGGACTGGCGGGGGCGGGGAGCAGACTGCCTGGGGAGATGGAAGGCGGGGGCCAGGGTGTGCAGCAGAGATGAGGTCGGTGTGCTTGCAGCAAGGCCGGTGGCCAGTGGGTGGGAGGGAGGGCAGCCACACGGGGGGGCTGAGACGGGAGGCGGGGGACTGGGGCCCAGGGGCCTCGCAGGACCCCTGGCTGGAGGTCCCACTGTCATGGCCACACTTGCCCTGCACTGCAAGCAAAGAGCCACAGAGGATCCACTTAAACACATGTCAGGTTTTCACCCAGAAAGCACCGGCAGTTGGCAACAAGGACACTCAAGGGACAGGGAAATGTCACTGAGCCAGTGTGTACGGGAGGCCAGAGCAGGGCGGGGGCAGGAGGCCCATCTGTGGTCCCTTAGGAGCTCAGGAGGATCAGCGGGGCAGAGAGGACTGACCGGCCGTTCAGGGGAGCACGGTGTGCCATGGGGGCTCCCATCAGTGGGCCTGAGCACGCCCCAGGGGAGGACATGCACAGCCACCTATGGGGAGGCGCTGCTGTGACCCCGACTCACAGAGTGGGAAGCTGAGGGCAGAGAATGTCTTGGGTGAGAAGGACAACAGAAAGCACTTAACCTAGCGCCCAGCCTGCATGAGAGAGTATACAGAAGGAGATCAGCCCAGGGCAATCCGGAACAGAAGCCGTGATGATGCCCCATTTAGGCGAGAAAGGGCAGTGGAGACCAGCTCGGGGCAGTCCAGGACCCAGGGGGGAAGGGAGCCAGGGACAAGGGTCACGGCCGACAGGACGCTGGCCTGTGTGGGGAGCGGAGGGCAAGGGGTGCCTGACGCCAAAGCCCAGAGGGCCATGGAGCCCGGCGACAGCACCGCCCCGGGGCCGCGCCCCACGCCCACCTTCTCAATGTCCTCCAGCGTCCGGTAGTACTTGGCCTCGGTCTCCTGGATCTCCAGCAGGCAGCAGTTTCTCTTGTCGTCCTCGGACATGCCCATCTTCTAAAGGAAGGACAGTAGACATGAGCCGGGTTCCCGCCAGGCCTGGCCGCGGGCTCACCCAGTGTGAAGTGGAGGGGCCGGACAGACAGGGGACAGAAGGGGGCCCGAGCCCTTCCCCTCCTGTTTGCAGATGGGGACACTGAGGCATGGGGAGGGGACGGGCACGTGCCTGAGGACTGGCAACAGCTCAAGGAAGGCCGAGGGGGCTCCTGGGGTGTGGGCTCCTGCTGCCTTCTCCTGCGTTCTAGCAGACCAAGCCCCACTCCAGCCCCTCCAGCAAACACAGCCAGTGTGACGTGGCTTAAAGCACCCCCTGTGCGCACAGGGAAAGGCTGTGACCAACTCCCTGAGGACCTGTGCCCAACAGCTGAGCGTCCAGCCCAGCACAGACCCGTGAGGGCCTCTGACAAAGACACCAACTCCCTGCAGGCCCGGGCCTGCCCAGTGTCCCCTGGCCTCCACGAAGGGTCCTGGGGGAACAGCTCATTGCAGGGGTCACTGGGGACACACTTCGGGACAGGACCTGCTTCCCAGCTCCAGGGGGAACGTGGCTGGAGGTGGGATTGACCAGGAGTCCTTGTGGCCACAGGGGGAAGAGGCAGCAGGCAGGGGGAGGGGGCTGTCCTGAGGCACCGTGGGTTTCCAGACCCCCCTCCCCAACATTCTTTTAGGCAGAGCAGACCGTATCTGTCCCTAAGTGAGGCTCTGGGGAAACAGCACCAGGCCATGTGACATGCCATTTGGACTCCTGTCTGCCCTTACGCCATCATCCTTCATCCAGACAGGGCGCATCCCCCAGGGGGTCCTTCCCAAGCCCACTGACCCCCTCGGCCTGGGTGCCACACTGCTACTCTAGGAGCTTCAGGAGGATGTTGGGGGCCCACCATCCCCCTAAAACCAGGTATAAAAATGCAGCGCCTGACAGCATCTCCCTGGGGACAGGGAGGCTTCTCCCAAGAGGTCTGAGGCCCCCCCGAAAGGTGGAGGAAGGCGGTGCTGGCAGAATCTACCCCGGGCCCCTCCACCTGCCACTTACCTGCATGTATCGGATCTGCAAGCATGGAGAAGCAAACCACAGACAGAACCAGTTAGCAGTGTCAGCTCGTTATCCGGGCCGTGCTTGGGAGGTCAGGGGTGACCCAACGGCCCCAGGGACACATCACAACTGCCTGCCCGCCCAAGTGTCGGCCTGGCCGGGTGGTGGGGGACAGCACATCTCCCTTACGTGTGGGCTCTGAGAGCGACACCTGCCATCCCCTCCCTTTATCGTCCTTGGGAAAGCTCTCCACTACCTCCCACTTAGACTGCTCAGATAGCGCCACACATGACCGGGGAGGAAATACAACCAGCTGTTTTATCTCAGAGGACGGGCAGGAGAACGGAGCTCCACCCCGTCCGAGCGACAGGACGGCTCGTGGGCAGCCGTGCGGAGTGCTGTTGGGACACTGAGCAGAGCAGGGCAGGTGGGAGGCGGGCCTGTCTCCCCACAGCCCCCGGCAGGTCTTGCAAACAGCCAGGGGCCTGCCCCTGTGCACTTCAGGACCAGGGACAGCAGCAGGCTCTGGGGGCTGCCCCCTCCCCTCCGGGGCCTCTCCTCCAGGCGAAGGCCCAGACGGCTCGTTGTGCTCCGTGTGGCCACAGGACATAAGGGCTTGGGAGCGAGCTGGCCCCAGACCCAGAATGCTGGCAGGTTTCCAGGCCAAGGATGCCCATCGGCTGGGCAACCGCCTGGTCTTCCAGCCCCTTCCAGCCCCGTAACTGACCTCCCGGGAAGGTTCAGGGCAGAGCTGCCCCACAGCCAGGCTCTCTGGGGGAGGGGCAGAATTGGCCCTGGGCAGACCTGGGGTCACAGAGAGAGACCCCTGGAAAACTTGGGGACCCTTCAGAGCCTTCAGGGGCAGAATGAGAAACCCCTTCTGAAAAGCAGCCTCAGTCACATTTCTCTGCATCTTCTGGCATGACGCTGGGAGAGGGCAGGTCCCCCCACCGTCGCCCCCTCCGTGTCACCCCACCGTGTCCCCCCCTCCCTGTCCCCCCACACCAGCTGGCCACTCCCACACTGGAGAAAAACAGAGATTTGCCTTTTGAGACATTCCCATTTCTTCAGTGAAAAGCATCAAAAAGCCTCCACAGTTGGCAAGTGCATCTGAACCAGCCCCTGGGAGCGCGGGGACGCAGGGGGCTTCGCTCGTCCCCTCCAGGCCCTCCCCGTCCCCATCCCAGGCCTGCAGGGCCCCCACCCTCCGCACAGCAGCTGCCCACAAGGAACCCGCCCTGCGGCACACTGGTGTCCTGGACAGCGTCAGCCAGCGCCCATGGGAAACACGCATCCTCCCGCCACATGAAGGCGCACAGCTGCTGACTGAGCCACTGGGCTCCTCGCTCTGCGCACAAAGGAGTAAAGCGAGGCGCGCCGGGCGCATCCGAACACCCAGACTCGCCAGCAGAAAGCGCCTGGATTCCTGCTCAGTCCTGGGGGGCAGCACGTCCGGGGTCCTCAGTGGCAGTGGTGTTACACCCTGGTCTCTTAGAATGTTCTGGAGGGAGGACTGGGCCCAAGGAAGGGGAGGAACCCAGGGGGTCCGGGAAGGACTGGGGTGCAGCCTCTGGGGCTCCCTCTGCCCTGCTGTGCCCCCCGCCCCGGCGGCTCGGAGCTCTGAGAGAAGGTGCTGGGCTGGGCTGCGCGCGACGGACGGCTCACCATGGGCTGCTGCACCTCCACCTTGATGATGTCCTCGTAGATGTCGTCTCCCTCGTGCTCGCACGGGACACAGTCGTAGATGTCTTCCCCCAGGTCATGCTCACTGCGCGGGAGAGAAGGGGGGTCAGGGGGATGGAGGGCAGGTTCCGGCCACGTCTGCACGGGGACGCAGTACAAGGGGCCTCGCAGGGGAGGCACAGGCGTGGGGGGCCTGTCTCCCCAAGGCTTCTCGGAGTTTGAACCAGGCAGCGCTAGAGCATCCCATCCCCTCGTGCTGTGCCTGCCGCCCTTCTAGAAGGACGTACCGTGATCACCCCCAACTCCTCCACCCTTTAGTCAGTACTGGGGACTCGCGCTGGAGGCCCGGGGTGAGTCACTGCCTGAAGAGAATTCTCATGCGGCTAGTCACCCGGAGTGCCCTGCTCTGGGGCTGTCTCCGGGCCTCTCCCCCGGTCAGCCCAGGTGGGGGGGTCAATGAGCAGAGCCCGCACCTGCCCGGTGGTAAAAGGAAGCAGAGCGAGTGGAGACGGACACGGAGTTTGGGGTGCAGCTTCCCAAACCAGCGCCAGGAAGTCACCACTCACTTTATAATACAACCAAACTTTGTTTCAGCGCCTGACCATGCTGATTCTCCTCTAACAAGCTGTCCTCTCCCACCCCCCAGCCCTGCCAGATGTGGGTCATGGGACACCTCCTCCAGGAGGCCTTCAGGGATGCCGCCACCGGTGTTCTCATGCAAAGGACATCCTTCCCTCTGCATCTCCCATTAGTTATTTTATAAGTGCCTGAGGATGAGCCCATTTCTTCCCTGGACAAAAGCCAGCTACTTAACCCCTTCAGATCATCCTTCCTGGTAGGCGTTGGGAGCTCAGCAGATATTTCACTGCTGCGGCAAATGAGCCAATCCAACTACGTGTGGCGGGGTTACTCTGTCCCCGACCCAGGACTGACTAGCCCTTCCGTCTGCTGTGGGGCCCGTCCTCAGGGCAGGCCGTGCTCAGAGGGCAGCTGGCCCCGGAAGCCCAAGCCATCCCTACATGTGCCTGGCCACCTGAGTCACAGAGCCTGGGCTCAAAGTGGCACGTGGCAAAGTCGGCTTCCGGAAGGCACAGAGATTCAGGAAAACACCTCCCCTCCCCCACGGCACCAGGTGGCCAGAATTCAAGGCGACCAAACGACAGGGGACGGAGAGAGCAGAAATGACACCCAGCAGCTCTTACAAAGGGTTTCTCACCCCGTCTCAGACCTGGCTTGTGAATATTAGCTGTCATCAGACAGGCGGGGACGGCCTGAGTTAGGGAGGAGAGCCTGTCTTCGGGAAAGGTCTCTGCAGCCAAAGCCCCAGGGGCCTCTCGGTGAGACTGGGCATGACCGGTCTGGGCTTCCCTCTGGGGGGACCTGGGGGGCCATGAATCAGCTCCGGACTGGATGAGACCCCCCACAGGCAGCCGATAGGCGAGGGGAGGAGAGGAGGCTGTGGCTCTGGGTACCTTGTTTCACTCCATGTGTGAGGAAGCCCGAAGCTGGCCACAGGGCAGAAGCTGGCCGGGGACAGGTCACTTGGCACTGGACTCGCTAACCACACGAACAGACACCCGCCCCCTGGTGAGCCCTGGGAGGCACTTGAAAAACATTTATGCCTTTTAACCTCACAAATCCTGGGAGGCAGAGAGCATCATGGCCATTTCACAGAGGACGGACCCACACTTAGGCCCCAGGCAGCTGGGAGGGGAGAGCTCGCCCAGGCACATTCTCTCCCCTCCGCCGGCCCTCTGTGTGGGTCCGGATGGCCGTCCTGAGGCCTCACATGGCAGTGCAGCGCCCAGACGGAGGTGGCAGAAGCCCTGCTCGGAACCAGCAGGGAGCGGAGCTGGGAAGGTGTTTGCAACTCACGGGTAAGAACGTACAGACTCCGAGGCTGGTGCCCTGGGCGGGCCTGAGGAAGGGCCCTCGTGTAAGTAGACACAAAGCACCTCCCTGCCTCTCCAGACTCTGTCCCCAAAGGAAACACTCCGGTAGCTGTGCCCGCCAGGTGACTGGGCATCCAGGCAAGTACTGTCTGGGTTCTCCTTGGCGGGGGCCCGCCCACCCAGATGTTTGTCCCGCGGCAGAGCGAGGCTGGTGACAAAGCCACTGTCAAGAATTCTGACGGCGCGTGACAGAGCAGAGACAGGGAAGCTCGCGGGCTACTAAGTAGGACAAGTTCAAAGGCAGCTGAGGCCATTCACGCCGTCTGGAGACAGACCTCGGCTCTGCTCTGATGGGCTGGGGGAAGGAGGTGGGGGGCCCATGACAGTTAAATACGCCAAGAGCTGATGAGGTGATAACGCAGACTGAAAACAGGCCCGGAGAGGGGTCTCAAGGTCACCTGGTTCGGGGACAGCCAACCGTCGGCACAGGGGTCCCCCTCTTAGGCCCAAATTTTCAGGGGACATCCCAACGGACCCCCGGACTCCATCCCACCCTGCTCAGAAGGGAAGACCTCGGCACAGTCCCGCCTCGGGTCAGCCACAACCCGAGCTCCAGATGCAATTTCTTTGCTTTCGCCAACAAGCGCAAGGTGCTCTGTGGTAGAGTCGAGAAAGCCGGGGTGCGCGGTGCCAGGGACCTTGCCAAGACCTTCTGGATCTTCTGGATCCTGTTCTGCTGCCTCCCGGCCAGGTGGATCAGTCACCACACTTTCCTGCACTGAATGCCTGATGACGTGCCAAGCTCTGGACTTGGCACTGAGGAGCCTTCGGAGAAAACGAGGGTGGATCTACGGATCTCGGGGTGAAGCAGGCACCAGCCCCACTATGAGCCTAAGAAGAGCCGTAGTATTTTAAGGAGAAAAAGGGTGGTGAAGGCTGGAGAAATATCCTGCACAGGCTGGACCAGAGAGGATGCTTTGAGCAGCGGGCCTTTCTCCGCCTCTGCATTCCTTGACCACCTGCAAGTCTGAGCTCACTCATCCGCTCAGGCACACCCCACGTCTACAGAGCCCTGCTGGGTTTCAGGCACGGCCGCAAAGCCCACGATGGGTTTCCACCAAGTTTCTGCTACACTTTCCACAGATCAAGACACACACACCCTTACTATACCCTTTGAGAAATGGATACCACCGTGTAACTCACACCCGTCCCTTTATAGAACATTCCCATCTGCCCCGAAAAGTTCCTCCTCTTCCTGATCAATCCCCTCCTCTTTCCCCGTGACCATCCTACAGACTATGCTTCTCCAAAGACTTATCTTTCCTGTTCTCGAACTGGACATCCATGCCAGCCCGTGTTACGGTCCCTTTTGTGGCTTCTTTGCCCCCAATTTCACGTCTGTGATTCATCGATGGTGTTGCCTGCACGGCAGTTCACTCCCGTTTATTGCCGAGGACCAACCACTGTCTGAACAACCCACAATTTGTCCCCCATTCTCCTTTTGATGAACGCTGGTTGCCTCCAACTTTTTTTTGTAATGTTTGAGAGAGAGAGAAACAGAGACACGGTGTGAGCAGGGGAGGGCAGAGAGAGAGGGAGACACAGAATTGGAAGCAGGCTCCAGGTTCTGAGCTGTCAGCTCGAACCCCCGAACCATGAGCTCATGACCTGAGCCAAAGTCAGACGCTCAACTGACTGAGCCACCCAGGTGCACCGAATCTAAGCTACAAAGCTTATTTTTTCTTCTAAAAGCTACATAATTTCAGCTTACAGCCCTCTGATCCAGCTCAGACTTTCGTGTATGGCATGGGGAGGAGATTGTCTTCCGTTTCTCCTCAGGCATACCTGGGAGTTTTCAGGACAATTTGTTGAAAACTTTCTTCTTCCCACTGGATCGCTTAGATCTCTTTGGCCAAGACCAACTGACCACAGGAGTGCGGGTCTACTTTGGAATTTTACTATCTATCCCGTCAACCTATTCACCTTGTGCTCATGGCAATAGCACTCCTTTTTGATTAGTTTTTTTTTTAATAGAAAGTCTTGAAACCGGGTGGTTTAAGTCCCGAGCTTTGTTCTTTTATGAGACTGTTTAGGGCTATTCTAAGGTCCTCTTTATTTCTGTATAAACTTTATAATCATCTTGTCAATTAAAAAAATCAAAAACAAAAAGCCCAGCCTGCTGGGAGAATGAGCATCCTGACAATATCCTCCTCCAATCCATGAACATGGTATATATGCTGCATTTCATTCTCTCTCTCTTCTCTTTCTAGGACTCCAGTTACACCTGTGTTGGACCTTTCGGTCCCATGCGCCGGAGGCTCTGCTGGTAGCTTCCACTCTCCTTTTCTCTGTCACTTAAGGTGGACTGCTTTCACCGAATGATCTTCAAGTCGGCGACTCCCTCCCCTGCCATCTGTCGTCTTCTATTAAAGCAGATCCAGGGACTGTCCATTTCAGCAATCATGCTTTTCAGTTTTAACGTTTCCACTTGGCCCTTTTTAAAGTGTCTACCTCTCTGCTGAGGGCCCCGATCTGTTCACTCGCTTGGCAGACACTTTCCTCTAAGTCCCTGACCACATTTACAAAACTGCTTATGGTAACACCGAGTCTTCTCAAGGTTGGCTCCTTATTGACTTTTTCATCCCGAATATGACTCTTGTATGTTTCTTTGCAAGTTTGATGACTTTTTATTAGACATCAGACCTGACAAAGGACACATTACAGAGATTCCGTTATTTCTACTGAATACATGTTCTAGCAGACAGTTAACTGGACTCAAACTTCAAACTCTCTTCCCAGCAGTGAGCGGCCAGCCCAAGTGGATGCTGAATTCTGCTTCTGCCTGTTGTTTTTTTTTCTCCCCTTTTTTACTGGAAACCTCAGGGTCTTTCTTGTGTGATGAGGTTTAATGGCCAGCCAAGGCTTTTAGTGGAGTAATAGATTGTGGGGCTCCTGTTCTCCCGGGTCCCTCCCTTCCAGCATTCTCCTCCTAACTTTCTGGCCACTCTACCAGCCTCAATGTCTTTCCTCTGACACCGCAAGCCGGCGGGACTGCAGCTTTCTACTTGGGCTGGGAAGTGCCCTTGGGCAAAAGTTACAGACTCCCCAATCCCTCTCACAGTGAGCACAGCCTGCAGAACCTGGGGTCCCTCCAGGGTATAGTGACAGGACACCGTCCCCTCCCCCTTCCCTG